TCTTAGGGTCGAAGAAGTAAGATGGAAACGTTCTGAAGCATAAATAGTCAAAAGGTGTAGTTTCGACATAAGAACAATACAATATATCAGATAAGTCAGTAGTAGATTCTAGATCACAGAAAACAGTATGTTGTACACTTTCATGATACTGCAAATTCACTTGTCAAAGATTAATTGATTCAACTGACGAAATTGTCTCGAATTGATCATTTGGACTATCAATTGCCCACCCCTCCGAAGGCAACGCAACTATCAAGGGACAAAGAGATTCTATGTGATTGAGATTTCCAATGAAAAAAGCTTCTGAAAGGTTGTACGTCGACGTTTTCGGAAAAGAAATGACGACTAGTTGCTTCATCATACTATCATGAGATAACAAATAAGTTTGTTTCAAGAATCAAAAGATGAAGATTTTTCTCAAACAGAAACAAGAAAATCGAAAATCGACCAGTAAAGCAACTCGATACCCTATTTGTTGTTCAAAATCAGGACCGTATGTAGTTCTACTAATAGTAAGGTGCAGGAATAGTCGTAAATGTGCAAATAATGCCTTTTTCTTTTATAAAGTCAACAATGCAATTTTCTTGTATGGTAAAAAATAGGTCAAATTCGTACTTTTATCACAAAAACTATTATTAATATTCCATGTACTACTAACCAATACACTATGGCTTTGTCTTGTTGTTGTCGTTCTTGTTGTCTTTTTACAATTCCAAGTAAATAAAACAATTGCACTTTTCCAGTCATGCCAACAACGAAGAAAACAGTAAAAGATAGAAGCAGGAGTCATTCTCTTTGTAGACTTGATGACCTCTGCCATACTGTACTAGGCTTGGGCTCATATTTGTTGTTGTTGCTGTTCTGGTTGAATTTCAAGTAGTGGCGAATGGTTTGATTTTGCTGCGATAATCGAAAAATGTTTTATGGTTCGTGTCAATGTATGTGCAAACCACTTTGTTCGTCTGCGTATGCTTTCTAGGAATTATTTACCAAAAGTTGGACTTTATCTTCAGAGTCAAACCAAAAACTCTAGTCGGACACGATGACATCAATGTTTGCACTCGTGTAATATTGTTGAAGTTCAACCAATCCTTCGTGAGTTTCTTTCAGAGCTACTTTGTATACTATCCAAACGCAAGCTGTTTGCACAAAATGTGAAGTCTCCTTTTCGCTTTTTGACAGCTACAACTACCACTATTTTCAACAGAATGACCTTCAGTGTGTTGAAAATAAAAGCAGATCAGCAGCACTCTTGACAAGGCAAATATTGTTTTACACAGTCTCCTTGTTTCCCATTCATACTTTGCTACTACTGTTACCCTCCTTTTCAACTGTACTATGGACCAAAGACGATTTGCAATAGATGCCTTTTAGAAACACTATCAATACTGGTTTCACCACTATGACTCTTATGACTTACATATCCTTTTAAACATATTTCACCTTCGGTAAACCCAGTAATTCATAAAAACAAAGGCGTTTCTCAAAACGGACTAGTAGCTACAGTCGCCATCGTCAAAACATTTTACCCAGGTGAAAACAACCAAGATTTTCAACAATGTCCTTTTGCTTGCTTTATTTCATGGTTCCCAACAAGTATATTTTGAACTGAAAACTTTTCCCTTGCTTTCAAAATACAAGTTTATTCAGCTTTCGTTATCTAAAGCCCACATCCATAATGTTTCAAAATATATACTCGTATCAATAGAGAATTGATATAAACGCTCGACAACACAAACAGCCATTAAAAATATGCAATGATGGACTCGAGACTTTCCTTTGCTATTCTGGAAAAGGAATGAATTTTACAAAGAGTGCGAATATCGTTCGTTTACACTATAAAACCTGTTGCAGAGTTACAGACCAAGTTTTCCATCTTGAAAGAAGTCACATAAAAGACAAAAACTATCATACGGAAAGTAACTCTTTATACTGACCAAAACACTCAACTAAGTGTCTAACTGGTTTCTTGAAAAACATCTTTGAAATATGAACCCAAGACTGATTCTCAACGACCGACTACAAGACTAGACTGTCAACTGCTAATAAATACGCAAAAATGCTCTGTAACAATTATCAGTAAAAACTAAATCTAAATGAACTTGCGAGACAACTAATTGAGTAATGTAGTTAAACTCAACAACAGCTTAAACTCTTCTGTCTTTGCTCTTTTCTTGACAATACAGCTCACAGATTTCCATACAAGACCAGAAGTGAAACAACAACAAGTCTTGCATAAAGTATGTAAAATTCAAATAGATAGTCAATGTTGTACATATCAAAAAGATACTACAGTCTATCCGGAACTCAGAGCTCAAGACGACTCGATGGATTTTTATAAAGGAATGAACTGCAAGGCTTAAAAAAGAAACGTAGATAATAGAAGTCCACTTGTCCAACTAAAACAACGAATGAGTTGGAAATTAAAGTCGGAAAAGTTTCAGAAGTAAACTTAACCAAGTTCACAGCCTTAACAACACTGGCCCTTTTTAAACTATTGTGTAATTTCCAGTTGGACTATGATGAGAAGAATTGCTATGTATTGTCTCCTTTCTACTGGAGGTATAGTATCTTGCATGGCTAGTGAGTTTTATGAAAGAAACTATTTTACTTGGAGACTTGGAAAATGCTGCTTTAATAATAAATGTGCTGGATACAACTAATCTCACAGCATAGTAATGTTGTGAAAGGAGAACAATAGTGTTGTAACAAAGTTCCTGTTCAATTTACTATCGACAGTGGTGCCTTTTCACAGAGTTGAGTTTGATCAATCTTTATTTGTAAGGTGAATTTCAGACTTCTTGTGACGCTCTTTTGATTACAAATCAAGAAACGGGTTTTGCTATAACCAGTTTTTGACTCGTTCTCGTTCTCAGAATCTTCCTTTGTTAGCCTCTCAAAACCTTGGAAAACTGCTTCACACAATGTGTAAAATGGTCGTTTTCCAGTTTCAGTAGAAATAATTCTGTTGGCTTTCTGTGTAAGAACCATAGCCTTTCCTTCTACGCAAAATAGGCTCAAGGAATAGTCTTTGTACCACTGTGAACTGCAAAGAAGAAATAATCTTATATCCAACACTAGAGTTGGAAAGTATAGAGAGGACAAGGCTACAACAAAAAACTGACAAAAGGTTGGGAATACTTTTGACTATACACAAATTCGTACATAAACTACTTGCGATAAGGAGGATCGAACCTCAAAAGTTACAAGGGTCTCGCATTGTTCTCTTCATAAACAACTTGTAGAGAGTTTTGACTGTTACAAGAGTAAAAGTGGTGACGCTTTTGCTTCTCCTTGCACATATATTTCAAGATTCACCTTTCTTTGTTACTTTGCAAAGAGGAGATGAAAGATTCTTACTTTTCCATTATTTCTACGTTTATATTCCTTTCTTTTCACTAGTAGACGAAATTGATCCAGTATATTTAAGAGAACAAGACCTTTACCAGTTTGGATAACAACCAAAATATCATTTAAGATTTGACTCTGCAGAAGAATCAGATAAATTGTTTTATCTTATTCTGCTGAATATTGCTTGCGAGTTGAAAATATTTTTATTCTCTGTAGAGCAACTTGGATAAAACAGCGTTTCGCTTCTTTTTCAAGTTTGACTTGTCCCTAGTAGAAATGAACATTCCTTCTATTTGATTCTCGTTACCAATATCCAAAAGGAAGCCTCTACTAGTGTACCCATCAGGTTATATACTTCGCAGGAGTCTTCTTCCAAGTGCCTAACGGAATGAACTTTTGTATAGTGACTCACTTATTCAACGAGCTGATGGTTGAGATTGGAAGAAGATTAGGACTCAACTGGACAAATCGTTCTTTGAATTTGCAGAGCTTTTAAAAGTTTTACCTTTTTTTATATTGGAAGAGATAATAGCTCTCTTGGAGTTATATCGTTTCTAAAGCAGCTTTGTACTTTTTATAGTTTGCTTTCTTGTATATCTTTACAAGTTGTGGTTTTTACAAAGTTTATCGTACAAGAGGATGCAGCAAAAGCCTTTAAACCTAAACAGTCATGTTTACCTTCAAAAGCACCTCAATTGTATAGTCGACTATTGAGGAGAAGGAATTCAACTATGATTCAAATGTTATGCAATGACAAGATACGAGAAGAGAGTCGATAGAATAGACTCAATTCGATTGAATTGAATTTTTCTTGAAAATATCTTTTCTCCTCTTAACAGAATCCATAGTATCAAATGCTATTATTGTCTGTTAGTATTTTCAGAGGAGAAAGAAACAGGAGTTATTGACTCTTACAGAAATTGAGTATTGATGATACACTTGTGTGAGTCATTGTTGTTTCTGAGATTTGATAAAACCACGCGATATTTTGGATCCTTCTTTGCACATTTGTTTTGGTTTTGTCTTTTGCTATCATCAACTTTTGTAGCTTTAGTGATAAGCTGCTACTTGTCATGATATCGTGAGAAAGGAATTTGATGATTGCTGAAAATAAAGCAGTGCTGTGCTTGCGGGTTTCTGCATTTCTACTAAATAATAATATTTCAATTGGAGCTTTTGAATAGACTGTACAAGAGAATGACTTGGTTCATACTCTAGTTCCGTGTTTCGAAATGAAGCAAAAGTGACGTAAAAACTGTTCTATAAAATACAGAAAATCTAGAGAGAGACGTCTATGGAACAAATTCTTCATGAACAATCTATATTGCTTGGAACTCTCATGACTACTCTCGAAAATTCTGAAAGAAACTTTCTTATCTATGTGAGAATGGGCCATGTTCAATAGCTTTATACTCTCAAAGAGCATAAAAAACTTGTGAAATAAACATTGGCTTCCTTCTAATCCTTCTTGTACCCTATGAGAGTTGCCATTATATTAGCATACGAGAATAAGAATATCGATAGCGGAAAAAGCCATATTGATCGTTCTTCCATAGTTCAAGTCATCTCAGTCCAAGCCATAAAAGGTATGACATAGTCATCAGTTGATAAAGAGAAGAAGTTGGATTGGTATCCTTTACTGTTTTCCTTGTTGTTGTTGTGACCGACAAACAGTCAATCGTTTATTTATATTTGTACTCCGAAATAAACAAAAGATTGTTTAATTTCTCTTTGGCGATGGCGAGTTTGGATGAAAAGTGGGAAGCTGTGGACAACTTTAAGTCTGTTGTGGTAGATCGTGAAAGAGATGTTGTTCGAGTGACAAAAGAACTGTATGATCTTCATAGCAACAGAGAACAACTCAGGGGTGTAACGAGTAGTTGCGACTATCGCTTGACGATACCATTTGCTCCGCATCTGTTTGGTTCTGGCAAGACTACGTTTTGTCATAACTATTTGGAGTTGGTGCGAAGGTTTGGTGAAACTTTTCTGTCGACTTTTGCTTCGGACCCTTTGAGGAGAACCTTTTTGGAGAAGCTGAAAAGGGCTTCGTTGCTCTTTGTGGATTTGAGGGAGTTGAAGCCCACAGAACCGAAAGAACGCAACCTAAAGTGGGCAGTCTACTATCGAATGATAGAAGCGTGTTGCACTTCTGTTGGACAAGAACCAGAGGATGAAGAAGTAGTATTTAAAGAATGCCGTACACGTCCCTATAAGTTAGTTAGGAAACTTCGTTCCATCTTAAACATTACTTCCGATCAATATCTTTTGGTAGCTTTTGATGAAGTTGGTGTTTTGGATACGAATGGAATTCTTTTTGAACTGGAGAAGAACGAAAAAGGTGTGATTCGACCTTACAATGACTTTTTCGGTATCATTAGTCAATTGTGCAAAGAACCCGACTTGTTTTTTATAGTTGTTGGGAAAAGCAAGGGTTTAAGTATTAAGAATGATGTGGCTTTTGGGCTATCGAGAGTTATACTACATTTTATCCCTTTATCACCTTTGGACGCTTGCAGTATCGTTGAATTCCTTGGAAAAAGTCTTCTAAAGACACCTACTCAAGTTCCAGTTTGTAATGTCTTATGTAGTTCTTCATTTTCAGTAAATGAATTGGCAGACTCATTATTGGAATGTACAGGTGGAGTTCCTGGTTTGTTGACTCGTGCAGTGAATATGCTTTTGAATTATGTAATAGCAAGAAACCAGCCTTTCATATCGAAAGAAGAATGTTTGATGTGTATGAACGACTACGATTTCCGAATAATTTGTGCTGAACCATTTGTGGAACGAATATTGAATTTGGACGAAGATAGAAGAAGTGTTTTTGATATGCTTTTGATGATGGCACTTTATCGTATACCGTTTCCAGTAGATGACATATTGACCTCGGAGTCTTATCTATTTGATGCCGTAACTGAAATGGGACTATATCGATATCCTGTTGACCAGAATACTTTCCAAGTCCTAATTCCAAAAGTATTTATTGTAATCTTCAAGAACGACCCTTCCATATCTTCTTTGGAAAAGATACTTCTTGGATCACTTGATGTAGAACCAGTAGATTGTTTCTTCTATTCAAAGTGTCGTGTATTTGAAGGAATTGTTGCTTTACGACTAGTTTTGATGTTGTCTTAAATGAGTTGAGGGAATTGTTGTGTCAATTGTCTCCGATATGGAAACAAATGAAACTTCCAATGAGTACAATATCACCTATTCACTATATGAAGTCTGTTGTTAGTTCTAGAGAAACAAGAAGTGAATCGAACAAGAGTCGAAGAACTTTTGCCAATACTGAATGGAATAACATTATTCGAGAGACACTTTATTTAGAGACTATTTACATTCCTTTGGACGCCACTTCTCATAGTCCTGATATTATATTCCAATTACAATCTGCTGTGGAACCCAAAGTTCTTACTGTTGGAGTTGCATGTAAAGGACGTTGGAGGTCGGAAGGAATTGGCTGGTCAGATATTATAGATGAAGCCAAGAAATTTTTAGATCCTGTTTATGATCAAGTCTTATCCAGTGCAATGGATTATCATCATTGTATGCTTATTATCGTTAGTACAAAGTTATCATTGAAAGTTTCTAATGAGTTGGATAATCAGAGTCGTTGTTACACCAGTGGAATGTTTATTGGAAATGATTCTTTCAAAGTACCTGATAATTGTGAACTTGTTATTCTTTGTGAAAGAGATGTCCAAATGCTGATTGACGAAGAAATATTGAGCGTACTTGAAAGAGCATTTCATATTCATAATCCTACTTTTTGGGATTTTGGATTAGATTTACTTCATAGAATCCGTAACAGTTTCTTAAGTTGGCAATAGATTCTAACTCAGTCCTTCCCTTTGTTTTGAAGAGCAAGTAAACTTTTTTGTATGTTTGAAACTTGGTTACAGCTTACTCGCTTTTACTCTGAGGAGTATCGTCGTAATATGGTACTAACCACGAAAATCAAAATAAGCCTATTGTTGTAAAAGTCACTGTCACAGTTTGACAGGTCATATTTGCTTCTTGTTACTTCTCAGGAGAGTGTCTTAAAGTGTTGACGATTGGGTTTTATACAAGGTCTTGTATTCATCAAAGACTTTATTTATGGTTCGCCTTAAGTTGAAAGTTCCTCAGCTGGTTATTTTCTAATAGCTCAGAGAAGTTGTCTTTATATACAATTGCACAGAAACCAATATCCACTCTTTATTACAAGGAAATGAAAAATGATAATTGATATATATGTAGTTGTGCTGCATATTTGTTCAAAGCTTCCAACGATTTTCGTCTCAATCATGAGTTTGAGCATTGGAAACAATTGAAGAAGATCGATCATTGTTGTATTTTTCTGTCGCATAGTTTACTTCACAGCTTACGATATGTCTAGTGAATTTGAACCAGAAACCGTATATGACATGGTTGTAGTACACCGAGAAAATGATGTTCGTGTAGTAACACTGCAGTTATTTCAGCTATACACTCTACGTAAACTTGGTCCCCCTTTCAAACCAGTCATACCCGTTGGTCCCCACCTCTTCGGAAGTGGCAAGACAAAATTCATACAAAGTTATTTGGAACTGTTGAGTAACGTGGGTGAAAGTGCACTGATAGGTCTCAATGACGTTGGTGAGTCTGAGAAGTCCAACCGAAGAGGTTTTTTGAAGAAGCCTGAAAATACTTCGTTACTGTTCATTGATCCAAGGAAGTTGGAGCCCATTCGACCCATCGAGGAAAAAAGAAACCTTGAGTGGGCTTTGTACTTTTTATTCTACCGATCAGCTTGTGATCAGACGGGTCTACCGTTTATGAAGCCTGATGATGAAGCCTACGGACACATTCCTCCCTATCCAAAACTTTCGGTGGTTCTAGAGCTACGAAAGACTTTAAGCATTCCCTTTGATCAATATCTTCTCGTAGTGTTTGATGAAAGTTCAGCAAAAAACGGAAAAAGAAAAATGTCGAGTGATAGATGTTAAATCCAAAGCTTGGTATATGCATGGACCGATCACTATCTAACATAGGCGGAGTCATTCGAGAATACTACATTGGCATTGGAGATCATGTATCAATAAAGGAATCAAATAAAACTCTCGGTGCGTTGTGGAAAAAGAAAGAAAAATCCACGAGAGCTATCGTTGTATTCATATAGAAAACCAATGTATGTTTTTTTGGAAGAATTATTGGGAAAAAACATGGAGGAAAAATTGTTGCTGTAATGAATATGAAGCTGTGGAGCTGTCTCGTGGTGAAACAATACGTTCCTTCAGAATAAATCATTGCATGGAACTTTGAAAATGATAGGTAATCTTTCGTAATCAAGATTTGTTTAGCATGAAGCTTTTTTTGAATTTTTGAATTTTCTTGAGTACCTACACTAACAAAATTCATTTGAAACTGATCTATTCGAAATAGACTGAAGTAGCTAGTTACTGTTGGAAATCGAATCTGTATACAGCATTTTTGTTATTGTAGAAGGAAAAGTTCGGGTACCTTGCGTCTGTTGAAAAGTACCAGTGGAATCGAGTTAAGAAATCCCAAGCTGGCACTGTTTGGATGCGAAGTATTGCTCCAACCTCACTTGTAGTAGAATTCATCCGTCCTTTACTTTTTTTAATACAGAAATACGTATTGTGCGTATTGGATTGTTTTCAAGGACTCGTTTCTTTTATATGAATACTCTACAGAAAGAGATAGAGCACTGTGCCAGCAGATTTTGTTGCCTTTTCAATATTCTTAAAAGTGCTCTCCTTCTTGCTCAATATGGAAGAAGAAGTGCAGAGTGAGGCCTTTTGTGGAAAAATCAAAAGTGCGTATACTATAAAGACCATGAAGTTTATTGCTCTCGCAAGAATCTTATCAAGCCAGTATCCCAAGGCAAAATCAAGGTCCAAACAAAACTGTTGTCTATAAACTCGACTACCTACAACCTATAAATAGGCACGATGTTACGCGCCCTCACTAAAGTGAGCTGCTTCCAATGATTGCGTTTTTCTCCGATACCAGGTTCGTGTTTCTCAACCTATCATCGGTTAGACTTCACGGTTCCACATCAACCTCGAAGTAACTGACAAAACGAACCCTCATCCTTTCTAGAATATGGGGAGGACCGGGAGAATTTCTGTTCATCTCGTGACCAACGGGTCGTAACATTGTTGTTTCGAAATGGCGAGGTTTTCACAAGTTGTTCAAATTTTCTTGGTCGTTTTTGTTTCTTTTATTGTGCTTGTATCCGTTTGTTATCCTTATTGGTTCTGGAACAACGATTCAGATATTGAGTGGATACGAGAGCAGCATTGTATGGACTTCAGTTGCCTCCCGAGAATGATCACGAGTTGGAAAGAATTATTCTTTTTGTCACACAGTGCTGTGATTCCAAATTTTCCTGAAGGAATTTCTGGTTGGAAGTTATACTTACAAGGTGGAATACGAGGCAAGGAGAGCGAGATAGAACCAGTGACAATTCAAGAAATAATTTCCAAGTTGCCCGTTAGAGAAAAAGAGTTCACCTTGTTATGTATTGGAGCAACAGATAGTTGGTCTGCTATTGGAAACGCGTAAGTAAATTTGATTCGATGGATATTTCGTTTATCTCAGCTATTGTTTGAAGGATATGGACTGGAGTAACAGTGCTAGAAATTATACAAATGAGGAATCTTCATTGGACTACAGATTGTGATTATGTTGAAATGAAAGGTAGAGATGGTTATATTGCAAGTATTCCATTGGAAAATTTAGATAACTTGTGGTTGGTTTGGAAAATGAATGGTCAGTGGTTGTCCCCAGAACATGGCTTTCCAGTTCGAATCATTGCGACTTCCTATTATGGAACGAAGAATGTAAAGTGGATCGAGAAAATAGAGTTTCTTTCTCAAGCCCAACATCAGAAGGATATTTTCGAGCTACAAGGATGGCCTGCTGAACATAGGATACGTCCAGTTAGCTTTATCTACTATCCTGGCCAATTTAGCAGAATTGCTGGGTCTAAAGGAAAAAGTACTTTACGAATAACAGGAATCGCCTATTGCGGAAGTCAGGAAGTGCAGAATGTTTCGGTAGCTTACGATAGGGTTTATGGCGATTACAGAGATTGGAAATCACAGTATTCTGGAAAGATTTTTGAGAACGTTTCCTGGATAGCTGCTGAAATTGTTCGAAGAGGCACAGTTGACGTTTGGAGTTTGTGGAAAATAGATATATCTCACGAATGGAAAGGAGTTTTTCAGGTTTTCTCTAAAGTTCAATGCGTTAATGGAATGGCAACAGATGAAACTTGGACAAACGACTTGGGTGGATGGCATGGGGTCGGTTCTGTAATCTTTGAGATTATCTAGTTGGTTATTAGAGTTGGCCTCTTTCGAGCAAAACAATACCTTTTTATTTTTATGTCGGCTTCAGAAGAGAAGGAATCTTCTCGTCCAGTAAACCCAAAAATTCGTATTTTGAATTATTGCCGTGGTTTACTACACGCAACGCAACATATCCATCCTTACACAATATGCACAATTCTGGCTTTTACGAAATTCTGCTAGATATCTTGTCATCCGAATGAGGAATGCACAAGCGTTACTAAGTACTGGACTCCTTGTCGAAAGGGGGAAATTCTCAAGCGAATAGCTAATGTGAAGCGAAGTATAAGTGTGAACTATCCAGCTACAACCATTGTGTGTCTTTTGCTACCAGCAGTATAAAAACTACAACTGGTTACCTAACTTAGCAGTCGAATAAACATTCGGAATTGTAGGTTTTATACAACATTCAAGCTGTTGTTAGGCGAAACCGTCTAGATCAAAGTCTCACAGAGTATAGTGTTTTGAAAGATTAAGAGAAACCAAAATTGCCTTCCAGTCACATATCTTCCTTTAGTCTAGCACCAAAATGTGTCTGAAGTAATTCTATCATGATAGGAAGTAGGTATTTGAAATCACAGGGAATCCCTTTTCTGTATAAAGTTCCCAAAGTGGAGTTCACTCCTAATGTGCCTCCTAGGTAAATGTCTACTCCTTCGACAAGTTTTCCATCTTGTTTGGCTGGAGCTCCCATCAAACCGATATCTGCAACTTGTGCTTGTCCACAAGAGTTGGGGCAACCCGTCCAATGGATACGCACCGTTTGTCCATCAGGAAAGTCAAGCGTCTCTTCCAGGATTTTGCAAAGCTCCAAGGAGCGATTTTTTGTTTCTATTAGAGCCAAACCACAAAATTGAGAACCCGTACAAGAAACCAATCCTTTCGAAAGTGGTCTTGGTCTGTGAGTAAATCGTTCACGAAGAAGTGGTTCTTGTAAAACACTTTCTATTTTAGTGCGAACTATATTAGGCAAGATAAAGTTCTGATCCACAGTAAGTCTAATTTCTCCACAGGAATAGTTACTTGCAATGTCTGCTAAAACTTCGGCTTCCTGTACATTCAGCCTACCAACAGGAACATGACAACTAAGAAAGAATTTGTCCTTTTGCCTTTGTAAATGAATGCCAAAAATTTCCGAACCAATCACGGGGGCTGAGTTATCTGCTATGGAGTTTTTCAAGGGTTCCAACCACACCACATCCTTTTCTTCTAGCCTTCGAACTATCTCAGCCTTTATTCTCTCTAAACCCCATGATTCAATAAGATAGATAAAGCGGCTAGTTGCTCGTGAATTCCGGAAACCAAAATCTCTGTAAATTTCCAAGACCACACGAGTGACAGCCAAAATAGAACTTTCAGGAACCCATAGATTTAGTCTAAGTGAAGTTTCATTTCTTTTGGGAGACAAGAGGCCGCCTATAAGTATCTCGAAAAGTAAGCTCCCTGAGCTATCATCTTTTGCGATGGGTAAGAAAGCCAAGTCGTTGATATGACCGTGCACTGTGTCCACAGAGTAGCTACCCACCGCAATATTAAATTTTCTTGGAAGATTGGCAAAATCTGGTTTACCTTTTCCACCGTTCGATATCATCTCATCCAAGGCAAAGCAGATACTTCTTGTATCATATAATTCATATGGATCTATACCTGCTAGAGGAGAACCAACTATATTACGCACATTATCCATTCCACTTTGAAAGCATCCAATTCCTAGGCGAGTAAGTTCTTCTAAAAAAATACCAGCATCCTCCAGTCTTATTCCACGAAGCTGTAAATTTTGTCTGGTAGTGATGTCAAAGCATGTATTTTGTAGATCATAACGACGAAGGAAACTGCATAAAGCTTTCAGTTGATAGCCCCAAATGATACCGTTTGGAAGCCTCAAACGCACCATAAAGGTCCCGGGAACTCTCTTTCTTCTGTGAAAGAAGCCGGCCCACTTTAAACGGATATCCAAGTCTTCAGGTGGAATATCTTCCCAGTTTACGTTTCCATCCCGAAGCATTTGACTGTACTTCTGTATCTCTTGCCAAGCTAAGCTTCCATCCTTTTCAGCTTTCAGTTTCTCTATCTTATTATTGTTCTCCAAAACGGACTGTTGTATTGTCTTTGGTAAAAAATCCCAACCAGTAATGAGAGGTAAGTCAAAACTCGGCAAGGAATCCTCAAGCGGGGCTGAGTCAGCCGAAGCAGTAGTCTCATTAAGTCTCCGTACAGAAAGTGCGTTCGTCCTGACGTAACACAATGACCTACAATGCATTCTTCTATGGTTTGTCGAAGAAACTGAAAAAGGGCATGATGAATTAGTAAGAAAAAGATAAGCAACATTTTTATGAAAGACAAATGATGATCTATCCATCAAACTTACCAACAAGTTTCTGTAACAATATTGTTGTGAATTGTTCTGTCTATAAATGCATTTCCGTTGAGATTCCGTTGATCTCGAGAGTAACGAGGACAGGCAATGATGAGTGACCTTTTAGACAGTCAAATAAAAAGTATTGCTGTTGCGCCTTCATTTTGTGTACAGAAGTCTAATGCTAGCACCTTTTTCGTCGTCACCGCATGTTTTTCTGGTTATATTCGTATCCCTGTGTTGCCTGGTAACTGGTCATCTCAATTACTTGGATCAGTTTCCTAACGGAGCCAAAGTTCTGGACCCTCAATCCAATACAACTTCTTGGATAGGTGTCGGTCATAAAGATGCGATGGGTACGACCGGCATAAATCAGTTTGGAAAAGACTTTCGTAAGGTTGGTGGCAACTGGAAAAGACTTTGTGTGCTAGACTCCGATGGCGACGGTCAAAGCAACGGCATGGAGTTGGGTGATCCCTGCTGTGTCTGGAAGAAAGGAGACATCCCTTTTCGAGTTTGGGATATATCTCATCCCGGAACCAGGAGTTCTATAACAAAAGCTAAGAGACCAGTTTGTCCAGGAGAAACTGTTCTATCCCGCACATTAGCTTCGTTGTATCGCCTAGGCTTGGAAGAAAGTGTGTTACCATTTTATATGTTCTGTACAATTTTAGTTTTGTATAGTGTTATTTTCAACAGAGTTTCCGCCTGTAAGTACGGTTCTTTACTGTCGTCATTTCAGCGTGTTTGTCGGAAGAAACTTGCCAATGTAATGTCACCTGTTTTTAAAGGAAATAGGTTTGTGAGCGAAACAATCCTTTATATTATAGACTCCAGGGTTGCCATATATCTTATCTTTCAAGCATACTTTTGCCGCTATCTATACTTTCAAAAGTATATTAGTCTGAAATCACCACTTACAAGATGTGCTGGTGAACTGGCAGTTTGTAATCTTGGCATTTTGTTATTTCCTGTCTCTCGAAACTCTCCTTTGTGGTCCATCATGGGGACTTGTTTTGAGAGAACACTCTTGTATCATCGGTTGCTAGGTTACTGGACTTTATTTCTTACCAGCTGGCACGCATTTGGCATGTTTCATTCCTACATGTTCCAATCCCGAGGTTTTGCTTTTTTGTTTAGTTTTTCATCGACGCATGTGCGATTTAACTTGCCTGGTATTTTTGCCCATCTTTTTCTTCTTCTTTTAGGAGTTTTGGCTCTGCATCGCATTAGAAGAAAGGCTTTCGAAGTTTTCTACTATTCTCATGTCATCCTCTTCCCCTTCTGTCTGATTTTTACAGTCCTTCACATAGGATTTGCTGCGTATTACTTAGCTCCAGGTCTTTTATCGTTGGGAATCGATTATATGCTCCGTATTTATCGAACTTATGAAGTAATCCCTTTAAAAATTCGAGTTTTTCAAGATGCTGTCCGCATCACGCTTGTTGGACCCCGGGAATGGACAACAGAAGGCATCGGAGGTCACCTTGGATTCTTCAAAGTTCCCCATTTAGCATGGCTACAGTCTCATCCATTTTCGATATTCTCGTTGGATTCCAATACTTTTGATATTATAGTGAGAAGAGGGATGACGCGTTCCTTCACCGATAAACTATACAAAGCTTGTCAAGGATATTCATTGTTTTATAACAATGATGAGTTGGTCGAAGAACTCCAATTTGCCAATGGAAGAATGCTAGGAGAAAATGACAGGAACATATCAACTGTATCGTGGTTGTCTGTGGAGAAAGACATTTCATCCAAGAGCATCCTTCGTGTGGACTCTAAACAATTGCCACAGATGCCAAGGATAACTTGTTTTTACGGACTGAAGAAGGAATTTATCCAATATCTCCTTCAGTTGACATTTTCCAGAGTGGGTTCAGCGAATCATAGTCTTTCGGAAATAGCCTTATCAAACGATCACGTTTCTTTTGAAACAGGAAATTTCCTTTGTTCGTCATCACGTTCGAATATATGGCCTTCATGTTATAACATGGTTAACGAATGCACTTCTCTGGTAAGACAAGATGTGAGCTTAAGAATAAGTGTCTACGATAGCCTGGTTCGGAATAATGAAAATTCAACAGAACCATTAGTAAGCCTAACTCCAGACAATATACTAGGAAGCAATTTCTTTAGACATGATAAGCAAGGATTAGATTGTTATATAGAGAACGGTTACAAACGACTTGAGGAAGGCTGTAAAGTTTCTTTGAATGAAATGATCATTCAAGTACAAGGACCCTACGGTAGTCTACCCGTTAACCCCTTTCATTTTTCTAGTATACTGTTATGTGCTGGTGGTGTAGGAATCACGGGAATACTATCCATCTTATGCGACATTTATCAGCATTCCAAAAGAAATATTTTCGAAGATATCACATTATGTTGGACAATATCAAACACTGCTCATTTTGAATGGGTTCAAGATGTTCTTTTCAGTATTCAAGAAGATCATTTGCTAAAATACGTGGTTCATTATGAAATTTACATTACAAATGGAGATTTTCCTTGTCTAATAGACTCCTCATTTAGTCAAACAATCCATTTTTACAGGGGACGTCCTGATTGGAATACGGTCATTTGTAATTGGAGACATGAGTCTCTATTGCTTGGGATCCACAAAGGCATTAGTTACATATGTGGACCTCCTTCTATGGTGAGTCAAGTACAGGAACATTGCAGGTTGTTGGAGAATGACAACTGGAGTTGTACAACTTCCACGGAAACATTTGAGTTTTAAATAAAGGAGACTTTTGGTTGCGTAACAATGCTCGTCGTCATCGCATTCTTAGTACGCGAAATATATTTATTGTATTGACAAACTGAAAATTCCAACAAAAGAATAGCAAATATAAGGATTTTCGCACAAGAACCAGTCATTCTTCGAGCTTGCAAATGGCCACGGGTGACTTAAACATGGAATGCACAGGAAAAGAGACGCTTTTCAAAATCCAATTATCTGCGGTTGACAGAACTACATCAAGCAACACGAGATATGATGTTTGAAGAATGGTAATTTCAAGGTTCAAGACATAGCATGCTTCTTCTTGTTGAGATTTACATTTCACCTCATCCGCAAAGCTCGAACAAGTGGCTTGAAACTCCGGAGAAGAAGGGACACTTTCTTCCTTCCTGTTGCACTCTAAACAGCGACAATAGTGACAGTCGAAAGAAAATTTCTTGTTCAAGACTTCCACACAGCTGATGGATAGACTCTCTACTTCTTCATCTATTTTCATAGGAATCCATCTTATATGAGCACTCTCTCGATCTGAATTCTTTCTTTCTTGTATTTTGTTTCTTGGTGAAAAGAACATAGAGCCGTATTTTGGAAAATGAATAAACGGAACGACAAACGCCAGTCCGAGAATAAAGAATGATAAGAAGAAAAAGGGCTTTCCGGGATCGTTGGATACTCCTGGAAGCTTCCAAAGAAAGCCAAATACCACTGAGCCAACGTTCCCTCCAGCTCCAACCAATCCTGCAACACCTCCAACAAAGGTTGGAAGCACAAAAGGCACAATGGAGAAAACACATCCTTGATCATCGTTAGAATAATTACATATGGAATGAATCGTAGATATTATATTTTAACCATACCTGTGCTACACTGCACAAAAATGCTGAATGGTACAAGGACTCCAATGCTCGAACCAAAGCCTGACATTTCATAGAAGACCAAACAAAAGACTCCTTCAAGAATAAGAAAAAGAAACAATGACCATAGTCTTCCTCTCATTCCGAAATATTTGGCTGACATATCACTGCATACTCCTCCAAGAGTCCTCGCAAAAATGTTCGTCAATCCAAAAAGTCCTGCTGCTAATCCAGCCTTGCTCTGAATAACAGAAAATCGGGATTGAAAATAGGAAGAAAGCCTGATGTTCAGCAAAACTTCCACACCAAAGCTGATGGCATATGCGATAAATAACAACCAGGCAACGTAGTTGAACGAAGCTCGCTTCAACGCCTGCAGAAATGGAACTTTCCTTCTCTCAGAAGATGCAATCAGCTCTTTATAATTACCACGAGGACAGTCATCTGAGAAAAAGTACAAGTTCAACCCAACAATCCATAAGAGAATTCCAGGAACAATATAACATGCCCTCCAAGCTTTGTCTTTATCCAGTCCAAAGTCCTGAAACAGATTATAGATTTGTGGCATAAGGGCATTGGCTACACCTGCTCCTGCATTTCCCCATCCCGCAGTAGTTGATGTAGCCAAACCTACAATATTTGGAGCAAAATGAAGGTTGGTCCAGAATTCAGTCACCTATGATAGCTACTTGGTAATATAAAAAATGAACGCAACGAAAACTCTCCTACCACAAATGCTGCTCCAACCATTCCAATAAAGAATCGACAAACCGCCAATGAGGCGTAATTGAATGTAGCACCAGTCAAAAATACAGGAATCGAGAAGACTGTCAAAGTAGTCAACTGCATCGTTCTCGGTCCATATTCATCTGCCAACGGGCCAATAATCAATCTAGCCAAAACAGTTCCTGCGGATGCAAGAATGTCTGTGTTATCCTTCTCTCCAGGAGACAAATGATCAAACTGTTCTATAGTGGTAACTAGCGGAGGGATGGAAAACCAAGCAAAGAAGCTATGAAAACATTTAAAGTCAACATGTAGGAAACCAACCCATTTCTTGACGTACGAAAGGAAAAAGGATAACCAGGCAAAATGAAATGCTCTCATATGAGGTCTGGCAATACTCAAGAGATTAATCTTCGTTGCTTTACTAGCCGGATTCACTGGAAGCTTAAATTCTGGACATCTGCTCGATTCTGTATGACAACAGTCTGAAGAAAACAAGTCTGCATCCGTTGAATAAATACGCGCCTCCTCTTTAGATAACCCTTTCGTCAACCCGGTAAAAAAATTTTCAGTTTCCTCTTTAGCAGCCATCGAAATTATTTTCGAAATGGAAAAATTGCTTTCCTCTGATTTAAAACAACATGGGCAATCTTCTCCGTTGAAGGCGCGAGATAAACGAATTCCAACGGAAGGAATAGTAGATCGAAAAGCCTACTTAGCAAAAAACGTGACTTGGATCTAATTTATTCAGTCAATGTCCGAAGAAGACAAAACTTCTTTTCTTGATGATATATCAGACTTTGAAAAGGATTCTTTTCCGATAAATATCATGAAAAGCACTCTCATAGGAATCTTCTGCGGGTTGGTCACTTTTCTTTATTATTCAATTCTACAGCTGCTCCTTGAAAGCCTCTGGAAGAAGATTCCGACGGTTATATTTTCTAAAATAACCAACAGAATGTATATCAATGAGAATATGTTCCGAGCAGTATGGAGCTTGCTGGTTTCACTCTCTTGTGGACTTGTATGTGGAAGTGCCCAAGTATATCTTGGTAACCCAGGAGACTTGAACGCAACCATCCAATGTGTCCATGAAAAGGCATACATACCTACAGAGCCTTTGAAGAGCTTGGTAATTTGCTCCTTAGCTACAGTTGTGGGAGCAATGAGCCTTGGACCTGAAGCACCAATAGTGACGATGTGTGGAATGTTCTCCGGAGTTCTGTCACGTCGATGGTTCCAAGTTCGCGATACAGACAGTTGCCGTAGATATGTTTTGAGTGGGATGGCTTCAGGTTTTTCGGTTTTCTTTGGGGCACCTCTGGGTGGTTCCTTGTTTGCACTGGAGGTGCTTCATCGAGATGGTTACGAATATTTTGAACACATGATTTATGCAGCTTGGTCAGGATCTATCAGTGCTCTCATATCGCTTAGTCTTAGTGGGAGAAGCTTTAACGGTGTTTGGCAATTTCCTCCCTTCGGAACCTGTTCTGTTTCCTCCGTGGCTTATGGAGCTCTGCTTGGTCTTCTCGGCAGTCTTGTTGCAGTTCTGTTGGGTAAAATGGTAAAGTTACTAAGAAAAAGCATCCAGGAAACTCGCCTTACATACAACCCTGTTCTTTTGGCTCTACTTGGAGCGCTAAGTAACACCTTGATTGGAGTGTTGTTTCCACAAACTAGCTTTTGGGGAGAAATGGAAATTGGGCGACTTATTCAACTACAAAATCAGCAATGGAATTATTATTTCCCTTCACAGCATTCTATCACTTTGGATAATTCAAATCCTACATTTGCTTATTATGTTTCATTAGGCTTTGCAAAGTTTCTTTGTATCGCTATAGCAATAACTTCCAGTTATCGGGGTGGTTTTATATTTCCGGTGATGTTCGTTGGAGTCTGCTTTGGAAGAGCATTTTCTATAGCCATTCCACAGTTATCGGTGGAGACGGCTTGTCTATGTTGCGCAGCGGGGATCAATGTAACACTGACTAGAACTGTATTTGCCACTCCATTAGTGCTTGCCCAACTTTCAAACTCTATGGAAGCCTTTCCAGCGGTGCTTTTAGCAAGCTTGGTTGCGACCTGCGCCTCTCATTATTACCATTTCCTGCCTTCTCAAACGAGTCGTTCAGATATATTGAAAAAAAATGTTTTATTTTATTAGTCAAACATATGCCAGTCCGATCATTCATCAATATCTCTATATGACTTCATTGAGAACAATAACCAAATAGAAAAAAACTTACCTTTCTTATACTATGAAACCAATATCCTCGTGAACTTTCTCCTTCTCCTCCTCTTCCTTGGTTGCACTCGCAGATGAGAATGGGAACCAAATAACGCAGTTCCAATCAAGAAGAGGTTGCACAGGGTCTATTTCAGTATCTTCATTACTTCTTCCACAATTCTCGTCTTCCACTGAAATAAAAGCAACAGAAAAGCCACCACTTGCCATTTTCCTGTTCATGAAATTTGGATAATGAGCTATCCAAATGATGGCACATTTCCGTTAATAAGGATTCCCGATCCGTTAGAGCAATGTCGTCAAACAGGTCGCTCTCAACAGACTTCAAAAGGCTGAAACATAACATTGCGACGAAAGCAAGTCGAAAAAAACTAAATGACTATCTCATGATGCTTCTTCAACTGGTGTCAAGTGACGAGGTAGAAATTGTTCCTGTTCGTTCCAAAGTTCGAGTTCTTCAGGAAATTATTTATCGGGTACAGAAGCTTCAAGGCCGAGTGCAGCTATTAGAAACCAGATTGTTGTTATCGGATATTGAACGTTTCGAGAAATGGTTGAATGAAATGCTTTCTTCCCAAGATTTCCGATTTTTACCTATGTTGACTAGAGTTTGCGAAACAGTTTCACAGTTATCCGCTTGGAAGATTGCCGAAATTTGGTATGCCGATACGTCGCTTATCGGGAAAGACGAATTGTGTGAGAAATCAGAAGAGATCATTCTTAAGCTTGCAAACTCGTTTGCCACGAAAGAGAACGGTCTTGGTGAGTTGCAACTCATAAGAGGATTCTTAGCATCCAGTCAAGAGTACCACTTCCCTCCAAACTCTGGTTTACCTGGAAAAGTCTACAGCAACGAAACACCTCTTTGGCTTAACCATCTTGCTACGAATCCTATATTCCTCCGAGCAAAGTTGGCACGGAAGTTTGGTGTTTGTTCAGCTGTCGGAGTGCCCTTCACATTGTTTGGTCGAATTCAAGCTGTATTGGTTTTTCTGGACTACGTTCCACGGGAAGAAGATCCTAAGGTAACGGAGCGCCTTTCAGTTTTATTTGAAAGAGTATCTCGTCAATTGGAAATTAGACTCGAAAGAAAGCACAGTCTCGTTGTGCCACCAATCCGTTCAGGAACTATTTCTACTTGCGAGTCCTGACATACTTGTACAAAGTTATATCTTTCTTATGATGTCGAGCTATTCTACTTGACAGAAATAATATGTTTATAAAAGGGTTGGTTAAACTGTACTGACTTCTCTTTCGTTCCACTTTGAACTGGAATCCCAAAAAAACTACGGAGATCGTCGTTTGTATGACCAGTTATTCCTGAAAAGAGCTTGACGGTCAAAGCCAAGTATTCCTAAACTCTCTGCTTAACTTTGAGGCGAAAGAAACCTTTCGTTTTCTGACAACCTGCTTGAACTGTTGGCTTTGAACCACTCAGTTGGCTCGAAAGTACTGAAGCGTTTTGACATCCGAGAAGATGAAGCGTTCGTTGTGAGTGGAAACTTTAAATGAGTTACTGTAGCCCTAAATAAACCCTATGCACGATAATATACTCGTTTTCTGTTGTATATCTATGACTGACTTTGTGAGAGTTCTCTTCTTGCAAAGACCATAGTCTATCGGTAAATTCCCAAAGAACTGGTACTCTTGGGAAGTTCCATTTGTAGTTTCTAGGCTTGTTCTGCCTGTCACTTTGTCTTCTTCCTGGAATCAGTTTACTTTCATCATCCAGTAGATGCTGTTTAGTGAGTTCGACTCTATATTATGTCGCCTTGTTGTGCCACTTATTCTTTTAACCTTCATTGTGTACTTTGCAATAGCTGTTGCTCCTTTGTTAACTGGTCTCTACAAGTTCTAGCCTTTGGAGAACTATCAATGGCTTGTTTGTGTCTTTCTTTCTGATTTATTTGGTGACTATTTCTCAACAAGTAAGTAACCCATTCACATACAAATGTATTTCGCTGCGTTATATGACGACAACTCTTGCTTGGAGTGACTTGAAATCTCACTTAACTATGCTCTTCTCCGTTCAGTTTTCTTCCACAAAGCCTTCCTATCCCACTACTTGTGATGCGAAGATACGTCTTCTACTAGGATTATAGAAACACTCCTTAACCGAAATACAAAAAAACAATCACAACTAGGCAAAGTCAAATGAAATGAACATGTTGAATTGCAGGAAACACTTTATACAGTTGTAAACAATGTTGTCAACATAACATTTGAAAGATAGGGAAACTCGACTAACAAACAAAATGCCGAATATAATTTCACTATATGCTATTTTTATGTTAAGGTAACTCGACTAACAATGATAACTGTCGTATATAATTTCATCTTTTGTTCTTTTTTCTTAACGTAATTTTCATATCAATCATGACAAGTTCTTGCCAATTCCTTTTTCTTGATGAGTTATCGATGGAATTTTCAATCAATCTGCAAGTTCTTCAAAGTACGTCATCATGATGAATTATCGATGGTCATAACGATAGAAATTCTTCCGTCTAGAAATAAATAATGTCGGAATGAAACTATGAAATGTTTCAAGATTCAATTGGTATTTTGCGCTTTTATCATACTTCTGATCTTATAGCTGTTCCTTGACTGACTGGCAAACTCCTACCTGCAAGCTTCAAAGATCCACTATGGTGACGAAATGGCAACATCTTTAGAATTTCCTGATGGACTGCATTTTATATCTTGATGAATCAAGTATTTGATACTGCAACCCACAATCAACCCCACTCCAGTCAAACCGCTCCACGAAAGACTCTTCAAGAGTAACTTAGAAACAAGAAACAAGCTATTTATCCTAATCAGTCCAACAAATACCAGAAACTTGGTTGGTCCCAGTGCTTTACGCAAATGTTGCCTCGATAAAGTGATAAGATAGCCAGTGAAAACAGAGACGAAAAAGGTAGCTTTGGTGATCCAAGGCAACGATACGGAATCTTTCCAACTCTGTTGTTTCCACCCATACGGTACCGACCAAAAGGATTGTAAAAGAAAGAAGACACTACAATACAAATTTTCCAAATAGCTCGCTTGAGTCGGACAAATTTTATACTGCAACAAATGCTTCGCGTAGATAGTTCCACCTGCTGTACAAACCACACTCGTCGTTATCCACGGAATAGAAAGGATATTGCCATAAAACTCGACATCTCGAAACGACAATACAGCACCCATAAAAGTCCCCACAAGGTAAAGGAACTGAATCTTACTCCAACGAACGGACTGTAGAACAAACACTTCGTAAAGAGAAGTTAGTATAGGAGCAATAAAACGACCAACTCCAACAGTACGAAAAGAACAGTACTTTAAGGCCTGAAACATGGAATATAAAGAACCTGCATGGAATACAGCAACAGGACCATAAGCTATTGTTCTGTTCCAAGAAGGAAAGAATGACTTCCTGTTGGACATAAAGAAATAATAGACATAATATATCAGTAAAGGTAAGAACGACTGTAAAAACAATATCTCATTCTGTATTTGTGACTTGGAAATATGATGGTTCGAATAGTGAACCAGAATATTCACCACTCCATAAATAGTCATCCACTTCAATAACCAACAACTATCATTCATATTTCAAATCTTAACGGAAAGATTTCGGCGTTACATTAGGAAACAGCTTGGAGTTCGTATTGGCCGTACTCATGGAACAAGAAGCCCTTGTTACCCCCAGTAGTTACGCACACAGCATGAAATGCCTATAGTTTTAAGAAAACCCAACCAGAATAGGTTCTTCACTCTCCAGAAAGGTAAGCAAATATTTGCTCCAACGGAGTTGAGACCAAAAGGACTACAAGGGACACAAGATGCAACCCCCAGCAAAAGAACTAAACTTAGTTATGTCCACACATCTTCGAACCACTTCCGTTGAAAGGCAATGAGCTCCTACCATGTAAGAGGTATTCGAAGTCACTATACTTGTCCTACAAAAGCTCCTTTTTGTACTTGGAACTTCAAACGGCTTCTGGTCCAAAACCTTTCTGAGATCGGCCGCCGTTGAACGCTGAAACTACAAGCCTTTTTACGAAAAGTAGGAGACCGTCCCTTTAATGCTACTGGTTAAAAGTTTCTTGTTATTAAGCGCATCTACGTAGTTAGAAAGCTTGTTTTTTCTTCCAACTCGTCTTCTCACAGTTGTAGTTTTGCGAAGTGGTATTCGCTAACTAGAGCAGAGTCTTCCAGTAGTCATAATATTCTCGACTCTTTACCTTCTCTTGCTGAGAAAACGCTGTTTTCGCACAAATTCGTTCTCCTTGTGTATATTTCCATATCAGAAGTTTTTATTTCTTGATATAAAAACACCTTTGACTAACCTTCCGATAGAATACATCCAAGTAAACTACAAACTTTCAGCATTTCCTTGTTTCCAATGAAACAAGTTCAATTCGTGAAATTTTCAAAACTTAGAAAATATTCACTTGCTATATATACGTAGCATTCTTGGAACTTCTGCCTGTCTCCAAATAGAACACCAAGTAGTCTTTCTACAACCAGAAGCACTAGTTGAGTAGCTATCGACCATACAAGTTTGTCATTCTGACAATATTATTAGACTTTGAATCTTTTTCCAAGGTCTGTTGCAAGGAAACAGAATAGCACAACTATTACTAGCCGTTTGAAAATATATTCGAGAATAGCGGCGCAGTTTGTTCAACAGAAACCAGCGGCTTCTGAGTAGAGTAGTAGTTACTGGTCCAAAAAAGAGTAATCTCTCACAACTCCAGAATTATACCACCTCATACATAACCAAAGATTTTCGAACGCACTTTGTACAAAACAACGCGATCTCTAAAATGAAGGCCTCTTTCCCGCAGACTGTCCAGAAGGAAAACAAGGCTCGTGAAACAATACTTTAGAAAAGTAGTTGAGCAAATCTGCAAAGAGGTCTTTTAGCAAAATGAAAGATCTCCCAAAATAGAAAAGTTGAAGAATACTGTTCTGTATGTGGAATTGATAGGTTTGAAGCCCACTAAATCCCATTGAAAGAAACCTCAAATGGTTAAGATATTATCCAATTACACAAGTAAAATTACAGTTTGGAACATCACTTCCCATTAAACTAATTTCACAGAAACAAATATACGACACCTTTAGCAAACTTGCATTCACAAAGTGCAACAACACAACAGCACAAAACAGAATGATAACTCCAAATTCCATCATTCTGGCAAATTGAAAAAGCCCACTATCCTTTAGTATCTACACCAGTAGCTTTCAAAAATAGATTGTTCTTAAGTTCAAAAGAATTCATGAAACTCTGCAAAACTCTTGCATTAAAAAGCTTAGAAACTTTCTTCTGAAAAAACAACTCACGGTGCATTTCAACGGATGAGAAAACCTTTGGCTAATCTGCTACAAGACTGTTCTTCTAGTTAGAGTGGTTCAATTAGATTCTCCGATGTGAGAGAGAGGCATTCACGAAGAAATAACAACGGCAAGGTATCCAAATAACCTTTATAAACTGATAAAAACAAGGAAGATTTGTTGGAGCGGATACCATTTGAAAACCAATGAAGATGAAAGTGCTGCACTGCATGGCAAACAACCTCCATAGAGAGAACCAAAACTGAACCAATATAATGGAAAAAGTCCAAGCTCGTTCCGACCAAGAATACGATTCTGGCACATTGTGGCTTTGCTTCTGGAAACCCGTACCCACAGCTACTGCTTGTGCTAGACAGTTTTTGAGACTGTCTAAACGTACTTTATTCACCGCAATATACTTCACAGTTTCTTCTGCAAAATTATCTTGAAAAAAACAAAAGTTATAAAAAAGTAGCAGTTTTCCAGTTGAGAGGTGTAGCGGAGTGTAGGAATTCCCGAGCTCCTGAAATTTTTGCCAAAATTACTACGAATATAACGTTGGACACCGTCAATGCGATGGAAACGACAGTAGTCATAGCAAAGGAATCCAACAGAAATCATATGTTTGAAGCTCTTAGGAAACGCACTGCAAGATATAAACCAAGAAAAATCTCTATTACTGCCACATAGTAAATGTATCGGAAAAGAACCTGGCCCAAATCTAGTAAGCAGTAAAGTATACTGCGAAAAGTTTGCGGCTACCTTTTTCCATTTGACCCATCATCTTCCATTTTCTTTGTACATATTATATATAAAGAGATAAGATCGGTTGGCCGGCAACCAAGTCCACAATGCTTTCCACGCGACTGTTCAATGGACATTGCAAACATCAATACTCTTAAAATCGATTACAACTAAACTGCAGCTACATGCGTGCTTAAGATTACCTTAAAACTAGCATGGTGAATTTGAGTTATCTCATCATATATACCCACATAGTCCTCCTCCTCTGCGTATTAGCTTCAACCTGTTTCTCTACTTCCGAGTCAAAGAAACAGACTCAAGGAGTCACTTTATTGGATTATTCGGTGCGGCTCTTGAACAATACTGCATGGCGTGAACTTTTTTTATGTGGTTATTGACTCATGTTCAGGTGGTGGCGGCCCTGATAGCCTACAATGTGAGCGTGTATGCTGCTGACTGTTGGCATCTTTTCATCTCAAGTCAAATGTAGCATTTCTGATTAGTTGGTGAAAAGAATAAAAGCGGGACAAATGAGACATTTGTCGTTCTTTTTATCTTCAAGGATATCTAGAGTTTGTTTCGTTTGAACAATTGTCCAAATCTTCTGTATTTATCATGAAATGCTTGAAACAAAACAGTGAAAGAAACGAATTTCTGACTCTTGATAGGTTCCAAGGTGCAACGATAACTCTTCTACAGTGATTTGCAACTCAAGTAAAAGCTCGTCTGATTTCACGCTTTGTCGGTGCAATCATTAACTGAGAGACAAAGCCATTGAAACCAAGAAAGAATAAGTTAGCATGGTCGCTTTCGAAACAATCTGACGAAAATCTATTCAGTTTGGACAATGAAAACTAGAAACATAAACGAGTAATACTGTAAAGGATCAAGACCTCAACAAGGTTCATTTTAACCGTGTTCCAACTAGTTGCCAATGATAAAAGAAAATTTGGAATATGAGTGATGTTACTTTTTGGTCAACAAGAAAGGAAGGCACTCCCGAATATTGCAACAGAATCTTGAATGATAAAATCTTGTCCCATGTGAGGAATAGATTGCGTTGGCTCCAATGCATTGAGCATAAACAAAAATTTCTACAGTTTCTTCTGCTATAATGATCATATTCTTCAGAGACTTCACGATGGTTCAGTCTTCGTAAATACTGCTTTCCGACAACGTATTTGAAGCACCGATACCTAAATAGAAAATATGCCCACACAGTTTTGAAAGCTACAAAGTTCTTCTTTAAAAAGACTGCAGACTTCCTTTAAAAAATGTTGACTGAAAGTTGCGTTTAAAAAACTGGACGCACACTTCCATCCAATTGAAAAAGATTGCTTGGCAAAATCATAATAATAGCAAATCAAATGCCCGCATAGTTTTTTCATACTGACAAATTACATTCAGTATTAATAGCTCGTCAAACATGACTCATTTGAGTCCATTGTTTCCACAATTGACCAAATGTTAGATGATATTGCTACCAACTAACTAGATTGTCCTTATAGCTGTATATAGATGAGACGCTACTAATACTAGTTGATACTTCATCTACCAACTCTACTTGGGTAAATTTTTCCCACAAATCCATATACGATCGTTGAGCAGTTGTTGTTGAATACAGCATCGAGAAAATATCAATACTATATGAACCAAAGTCTCGGATATGATAACCTTACATATAAAACAGAGAGTTGTATAGTGCTTAGCTAAGAAAAGTTGATGAGCGAACCAACTCATAATCGACAGACAACCCAATCTAGTTCAAAGAACCCAATTCATTCTACTAGCACTATGCAATGAATATTCAAATTGAGAATGCACATTTAACCCTCTGCTATCTATATCGTATACTTTGTATGCAAATCTTTTAGATGGTTACAGTTTTGTCTTTGATTTACATATCAACAAACTGTCTAAAGTGCACTGTTCTATCAACCTTTTGAAAAGTAGTCCTTTCTCTATTTATAGTATACTGGAATCAATCAATTTCACAAATATGAGTTCACATACTTTGTCACTTGATAAATAAGTACGCAGCGATACAATCAACTGAGCAAACAATCAACACAAGTCAAACTCAATTCTTCCATCATAACAATAGTACCAACTCAACTGTGCAAAGGACCATTACCTAGTAAAAGCTGTATCATTTGATTAACTTGAGTTTACAATCGCTCAATGTACCAAAGCTAATAGACAACTTTTTACCATAGGCAATATACAGAGCCATACATGTATCTCAGCATGACTTGAATTATTTCCAATCCAAGGTTATGATCAAAGTACTTGTTCGTCATTTTTGTCAAGATGTTATGGTATTCAAATCTTACAAAGAACATATAACTTAATGTTTTGTGTTCTAAATAGCAATAGAAAAAATGGTCTCTAAAGTTGCCAACCATACAGTTCAGACTGAGTTGAATTGCCTTGTATGGCTATATTTCTGCGATTAACTGCGCCAATATTCATGTCTGATACCGTCAAAGCAGCCTTTAGCGAAGCTTCAATAATGGAAACGATTGGAACCACATTGGTGCTAACAAAACTCTATAGTTTGCAAACACAAAACTAGGAAGGTTGACTGATACCAAATATTTTTGTGAAACTAAGATGCGTGTTAAGCTAGGCGATAAACAGTTGGGAGAGGTTGAGGATAAATGCAAATAACATGTAATGGATACTTTTCCAAGTTCCCACTCATAACGATATGAAAGTATATGGAAATGGTCAAATATCCTTATTTCACACCAAGCTCAGTATAAAAGTGGCAAGGATAGATTATATTCTATTTTCAAGAATGTAAACAAGCTTGAGATTCTCATTGGGCATACATAATGCGATAAAATACGAAGCATCTCCTTTTTTGCCAGATTCGTTCGTTTCTAAAGGTAACGGTTTGTTACCGAGAGAATCAATTTCTTTTTTAAAGTCAAGAATCTATTTTTTATCCGACGATTCTCGACCTGATTCTATGAAGCCAAGGACTTGGCCCATTCACTTTCTTGATAGTTGATTACCATCTCAGTTTTGTACAGTTGCTTTCAATCAATACAGTTTCAACTTGGTTCGACATAACTGCAACTATAATCTTGGAATCAGTTGAATTCAAACTGATTTCTCTACAGTGGGTCATTTCACTTTTGCAAATTATCTTATCGATTTGATAGAAAATTGGATCTGTTCCAAAATCTATAAATGTATTGAATTTTCCATATGAAATAAAAGAGTGATATGAAAACACCAACCATAATTATAAATAGATGAAAAACTATCGAACAAGTAGTGTACTTATGAGTCTCCGAGAATATTGGCATAGTGGCAGATGTGCTCCTATCTCCTCTGAGAGTTGCTCTTGCTGCTGTTGTGAAAGATGCAGACTGTTGGGCAAATTATATTTCCATAATCATTTCCACTCGTTTATGCCCAAAGTTGTACGACTTTTGGATTGGAAAAAAGAATGTTCGCAATTTCGTTCCGGTCAATTGGTTGATGGACATAAGATTGATTGATTCAAATCCAAGAATTGTCTGAAAAGAATGATGGATGAGGAGCGTTTACACCAATAAGAAAAACGATAGCTATGTACAGCACAATCTTTACAAAAACTCCAAAAAATAAACCTGCGAATCAGATTGTATGTTCTTTATTCAGGCCTATATTTTACCCTTTGGAAAAAAAGTTTGATCCTTCTTTGTTATTTAGTGCAATTAAGAAACAGGTTATTCATACCAATAGACTGGAGAACAAGTACGAGATACTTACTGGTAGAGAATACCTTATTTACTAAAAACGCCGACCAGAGTATTCTTGATGTTTTTAGAGAGAATCAAACTCAAAATCTTTGGCTTAAATAAACTGCTTCTCTAGTCTATTGAACTAGAAAACATTTATTCTTTTCCTTTCTCTTTAATATATTTTCTTTCTTATCTACTCGCTTCCAAAGCGTCTTGGCGAGTTTTTTTGTTCATCGAGTTGTATAAAAATTGAGATAAAAAATGAAAAAGTCATCTTTTCCTTGTACAACAAAACATAAGAACAAGGCAAACGTCTAAATAGTTTGTATCAGCATTGTTACTTTGCCGATTACAATCTAGTTGAATCTTATTCTAAATCAAGTGATTCTAAAGTCTGCGAATACTATAATTTATCACAGGTATATTTTTTTTTATAATGAAAGTCCAGTTTCTTCTTTTTAGTAACCGGAACATTTTTGAAAAAGTTACGATAACACGATAATGACTACCTTCCGATTCGTCAATAAGGACAAACAATAGACTCTTACCACGATATCTTTATCAAAAAAGTGACAATTTTATGACAGAAACTGAGCTTAGTACGCAGACAGCAAGATTAGAAAACGTTACAATACCAACAAGAATCATTGAAATACAATCGGTCTAAATTCGGTCTAGACACAAGAACGATAGTGCATTCTAATTCATTTATGCTCATCCACTGTAACATATTCTCAATATTCCAGAAAAACATTTCATTTCATATTCAATTGTCAAAGCTATGCAGATTTGAATCATGGGCATCAACCTACCCAGTAGTGTAAGTAGAATGCAAGTAGCAATCAACAAACTACCAACTATACCTTAAAAAAAGCACCTTATATAAACTCTATTGAATAACGCAATGTGCACATAAAGTCAATTCAACCAAGTCCCTGATAGATACCCTTCAAGAAGTGACAACATATCTAAGTCTTATGTTCAAACAATTGGTTTTGAATCAAACGCTGAATCAATTGATCTTGTCTAACATATTGACTCCATTCATTATTAGGGTTACAATTCAATAGCCAAGTCTGAAAGTTTCTGCTGCAGCAAGATTTCAATGAAAAACAAAGTATTCAGTAATCCAATGCATTTATGTGTGAATACTTGAAAAATTAGATATCTCGTTCCTAACCTTTGTAAACAAAATGACTACGTCATAATCCACATATCCTTGGCTCGAAGTACTATGATTGAAAGGACTTGAAGAAAAGTAAGTCTACATTTGATTCTATGATGCAGTGCAACACAGATATATTCAAATAAACGACTAGTTGATACCAAAGTATGCAAACTAAAAAGTAAGGGATTCCTATTGCTGCAATGAAATATTGCCATTCATCACCAGAGTCGATTCACAAAGCTGTCTAGGATGAAATAATCAACAAAACCGTATCTAATTTAGCAAAAATAGTGCAACGATCGTGGAACATTGAACACTCTGTTGATATTAATCTTTCGACCAAGTAAGCCTTCAACTAGCTGGCATTTTACATTTTTTGTCATACTACTGCTGCTGCTGGTACTTGGTAAAACGTCTCTTTCAAATAAGAACGAAATTCGTCTGATCAATTCCATCTGATCTCTGAGAATTCAACGTTGAATCAACATAAAAGTCCTTTGAGGAATTTATGAAACAGAATCTCGTCTCGATGAAATATTCGACTGGTGGTCAAAAAATGATCAACTCTTTTTCTTACTTGTCCACTTGAATAAGTATGCCACTCCTTGTTATGCTTGAGCTCAAGATGGTAAGTTTCAAAGTAGTCCGGAGGAAGAAAGTATTGCTTGGTTCAAATCAGTTGCAACGAGAAGAGACCAAGATATTTTACTGGAAATAGATATTATCAAAGCTAGAATCAACAAAAAATATGATATTGGTACTGCAGAGATACATTGTCATTTTTCACTGAATCTATGATGGAAATTGTCAAGTTTTGAATAATGGACAAAGAGCAGCCAAAATTGTAAAAAATAAAAGATGCAATTACAGAAAGATAATCTGGTCCTTTGCTGTTATTTGGGTAAAAATCACAGAATTGTTGATTCTTCCTGTGAGAATTAGAGTCAAAACCATTAGATCATTATACATCTGATGCTCTAACCAAGTTGAGGTAGAGAAGCAGTTTTTGACTTTTTTTTCCTTGAATTTCTTTCAACTAGCCTTTTTGTATTCTTCCATTTAACAGCGTATAAAATGAAAAACATAAATTTTTTTCGTATTTTATAAAAAGGCAAATAACCCAATAAGTCATACTAGGACAATTCAATTTCTTCTACCAACAGTCCATTGATTGAATGTCATCTACAATCTAGTTGAATCCTTTTCAAATTTACAGTACTCTGTATTTCGCGAATACTACATTCCAGCATCTTCATCCTTTTGTTGTACAATGAACATTTTCTTCGAATTTTCATGATCCAAAGCAACTCTAAAATTACGAGATCAAACATTCTGCAATCACTCCAAAAAATAAGAGATAAAGATCTTACTCCTTATCCTTGTTGACTAGATGACTAATACACATCAAGCTAAACTTGAGGTCAGGGAGGTAAGATAGAACAAGGTTACTGCACAAATAAGTAAAGTTGGTTCAAATATTGAGTCATTACAATATAACCAAGTAATTCAGCATTAAATTCTAAACCATGCAAACAATATGCTGTACGTGTACATGATACTCCAAGATAATTTGTCAACGACTACTTGAATCAATTGAGGGGGTTGTCTCGAATTGATTGCTGGACTAGATATTTCTGCAACTGAAATGCAACGATCATGGTATAATGAGGTACTACGTGATTGTCAACAGGAAAAGCTTTTGAGTTGTGCCACAATGTTTTTGGATAAGACTTTATGACTAGTAGTTTTACCATACTTTAATGTTGACAAATAAGTTCAGTTTCAAGAATCAAAAAGGTAAAAATTACAAAAGTAAAAAAAGACTCAAGATAGACCAGTAAAGCAACTCCATGGCCTATTACTGTTCAAAATCAGTACTCTACACAATCTCTCTTGACAGTCAGCTACAGGAGCAGTCTGTGTGTGATTTTCTTATGCTATTAAAAAAGAGACCAAATACATACTTTATGACAAAAAGTATCATTGATGTCCAATGTGACAATAACTGATAGAACATCACTTATTTATTTCAAAGCATAATTCTAAGTGAATAAAACAATGAAGATTCTCAGGTCACATCAACAACGGAGAAAACAGGAAAAGATAGAAATTCCACTCTTTCTCCTTGTCAACTAGATAACTATATCATAGCTCAGAGTGCGAGCTCTATTTCGGTGTTCCACGTATGTACCTTTCCAAAGTTCCGACTTAAGTCGTCGATTAAAGTAAACGTCACAGAAGGACTGACAGACTTGTTCGAGTAAAAGAAAAATTTCGAGTGGAATCCTACCTAGTCTAGTTAGCCAAGACAATCAAAGTTAAATAAAGATCCTTGGTAATTGTATACATTTGACATTTTCTCAGTTTATAGTCTTCGTTGGTTTCCTTGTGAATTGGTTGGAAATTTGCAACAGCATTTACAAAGAAGAAGGTTAGCAACAGATCAGAAAGGATAATTTTAACATCTGTTATATTTGCTAAGCAATGGCACCTCTCAACTTTTTCTCTAATAGGAATTTTCTAGACACTGCTCAAGATAAGCTCTCATACGATATGGTTTATGTTCTACTTCTCTTTATCTGAAAGGCTTTCAGACGAACAGCTTGTTGACGATAACTAAGTCGACTTTGTCCCCATTGTCAAAGTTAGTCTGTTTGATCCTCATATGAACTGGAATCTGCTTTGTAAGGAGTTAGAAGTTGCTCTCCTCCCAGTTAACAAGCACCAACTCGGCTAAGACGGGTTGTCTGTCGACTTGAAAATTCTCCTATCAGAACCAACGCTGAGATTAATGTTTTCACAGCGTGTTACTTTGGGTGAGCCAGCAAATCGTACATAGAAATCAGTTCCTTGAGAAATAGACTCTTGGTTAATAAACGAGTCAAGGTGACCCCAGAGAACCAATACAGAAAAAAACTAAACAACTGTCAACCGTCGACAGCTACGTTGGATTGCTCAATAGAACAGATACAAGAAAATTTCAACTTGACATAATTTTTTTCTGTATTTGAACAACTTCCTTTCAAATCCACAGTCTCTTCTGTTTAGTTCTCGAGACAAACCAAAAAGAGACGCAAGATCGTCACTCCTTGTCTTGGAATTTTCAGAGAGCCAAACAACAATGTTTGCCTTGGGTGAGGATCGAACTCACGACCTTAGGATTATGAGACCTACGCTTGTGGCATTTGTAATTCTACCAACTGAGCCACCAAGACAGCAAAGAGCAGAAAGTGACAGAACCTGCTACACTACTGGGCAAAGGAATTTTTGATTATTTATTGTCATGAGTCTCATTTCTTTCTTCTTCTTGAGAGATCCTCTTTAAACAAAAATTTGTCAGGATAATGAACAGTTAGAAACACTCTTTCATCTTGTTTACACAAGGTAAAGACGTTTCGATACAAGATACAATAAGTGCATACTAGAACAAGCAAACTAGGACTTTTTATTTGAAATACCAAATAGAGTATCTACTCTGTTGGCTGTACTGCTGCTACCACAATAGGTCCAACATGATCCCCAGTCTAGAAACAAAATAAGAGAAGCAGTGAAGAGGTTATTTCGCTATCTTACTTCTTTGTTATATTTATTATGTGAACCATCACAGTAAGGATGCTTTGCGGATTTCCAACACCTTAAGAACGAGGTGAGTTTATACGAATATTCAAGTTACACAATCTCTACCTGCAAAAAGATGCACGATCTCCAGTTTTCACCTCCTTAGTTGCCTTCATCTCCATCTTTTGTTCTCCATTCAACAGCCTCAATCCTGTACCTTCAACCATTACCCAAGTCTTTGAAACTTGGGAACATTTTTTCGCTTTACTGTTGAAACAGTTACATTGCTTGTGGACTTTGCTTTCAACGACTTTGTTATTTTTGGAAAAGCCTGACAAACCAGGAGTTACAAACGTCATCATCTTCCACAGGATTCCAAATTCGAAGTGGAGGCATTCTGATATCACAACTTTGAATTCTTTAATGAAGAATAATCCAACACAACTTTCAAAAACTTCAGTGAGTAATCACACGACTAGTTGGATTAGACAATTTTTCTATAAAATTCAAGCTATCGGTAGAATGACTCTGTAAATACTTTACGATCGCTTCCGCTGCCAACTTTCCACTCAACACCGCACCTTCCATGGAGGCAAGATATTGTTGCCTAGTGAAGTCACCAGCAAGAAAGAAGTTCGAAATAGGAGTGACTTGTGATGGGCGATAGCTGTTCAGACCTGGTGAAGTTTTATAAACTGAACGAGGAGTCTTCACCACTTTGTATTTGATCAATTTTGCTGGTGTTTGTGCATTTGGACCAAGATGTTGAGGAAAGAGTCTCTTCAACTCCTCCATAGTTAATGAAATGATTTCTTCTTCGGACTTGGCGATATAGGCAGCAGCTGGAGCAAATACCAATTCCAACATGGATCTGTTTTCATCAAAATATTCTCTACAAGTATTGCTCATATCAGCATAGACCGATAGTAAGTTGGAGCGAGAAAAGAGCAAATGGTCTACATCAGTAAGTTTTCTGTCGAACCAAAGGTGAATATTGATGACGGGAACACCTCGTAAAAATGACAACTGATGGAAGAATTCTATTGATTTCCAACGAAGAGGCAGCAACATTTTCAAAATATCGACTGGCAAAGCAGAGACATAAACATCTGCAGTCCAGTGTTCAGCTTTTCCATGAGAATTTCCAACTACAAAAGAAGCAACTGTGCCATCTTCCCGAGTTTCGATACGCCGAAGAGGATGCTTCAACCATACGGAACCTCCACGAGCTTCAATGGCATCTACCTATAGACACTACGTAAGAAAGAATGTTCTTTTAGTAATCATGAAAGTAGAAAACTAACGATAGGACGACATAGCCGTTCCGGGGGATTGCCATCTAAGAATGCCATTTTACTTCCGTTGGTTTCACGAAGAAAACGATTCAAAGCTGTCAAAATAACCATTGCAGATATGTCATCTGGATTGATAAAGTTGAGTGCTTTACTCATAGCAATAAATACTTCATCGTTGACTCTTGTAGGGATATTTTGTTGCATGAGAAATTCTGTCCAGGAATATTTGTCACATGCTTCTATGTAACCCTGTCCACCAAATATAGCTGGAATCAGACCTCTTGCGAATAGAATTTTCTCTTTCCAGCTGAGCATATCGCTCCTTAATATGGCTACAACACCGTTCAGAGGAGCCGGAATATTTGGAAAAGCAAATTTTGAATAGCTAGCTTGGTTAAGAGCTGAGGCTTCTTGGTTGCTTGCCTTGTTATTGAAAATCATGGAGTGTTCTTTCCATTGCAGTCGATCGTATATACCCAATTCTTTCAACAGCCGTAGCAGATTAGGATATGCGCCAAAAAATATGTGAAGTCCTGTTTCATACCAGTCACCATCTTTATCCTTCCACGCAGCTACTTTCCCACCAAGGACATTTCTAGACTCTACAACTACTGCCTCTACTCCTTTGTCTGTTAAATACTTTGCACAACTCAGCCCAGCTAAACCTGCACCGGCTATAAGTACCTTTGGCTTCCTATCTCCAACAACGTCACAAACTAGTCGAAAGATTTGCTGTCCAGTCACTCTCTTAACTACAACTACATTTCTCTTTTTCTTCAAAATGGAGCTGTTTCCTAGGTGTAAACTTTGGAAACCACAGAGAGAACAATAAGAAACCATCGAGCTCTTCTACACCTCTTGTGTCACTTTCCTTTGGATTGCAATTTTAGAATCGATGCAAGAAAATAATCAACCTTTCTATTTTCCTCCTCCGTTGAAAAACCAAAGACAAAATGTAGAGAGTACTGAACAAACTGCTTTTCATTCGTTCGAAACAGAAAGTGCTCAACAACCCTCAATAAATGAAAACCTGATGTCTCCGCCACGTTTTCAACAACAGTATTCGACAACAGTCCCAACCAACGTGACTCAACAAGTGCCCTTGAACTTTTCTAATAATATTATGACACAGGAAAGTTATCAAATACCTAACAACGGGAACTGGTTTTCAAACACAGCGGCTACTGAACAAGGCGCAACTGGCTTTGACACTCTGGTCAACCAACAAGCTATTGGAGCAACCTTTGCGCGTTTAGGTGTACAGTATGGGTCACACTTACTTCATGCAGGTGGTGTGGGAAAGCAAGAAGTTCAGGTGGGTAATATATTGTTAGTGCTCTTGACATATAATTGTAGAAAACCTTAAACCTGGCATAGGAAGTTACCCGTTGGTTAAGACTCTTGAAGTATTATTTTCTAGTGAATAACCAATATGTATTGCATAAGCTTGCATTGGTCGTGGCTCCTTGGCTGAATAAGGTAACATTATATATCGAAACTTTGCAAAGTGTCGGACCTGAACAGATTGTGTGTAGACTTGGTTACGTCGAAGGAATACGGACGTATTTGAAACCGCAAACATCAGTACTGCTGAAGAATATTTGCCTCCCTCGGAAGATGTTAATGCACCAGATTTGTATATTCCCATTATGCTTCTTGTAACGTATATTTTGCTTGGAAGCTTGGTGAGAGGTACTCGTGGAGAGTTTACTCCCGAAGTATGTGTTATGGGCAAATGAAAACTGCCAGTACTAACCGAAGTTTGTCTTCTTCTGGATAGATTATGGGAAGTATGGCGTCCAGCTGTTTGGCATCTATTGTGTTGGAAGTCCTTTTAGTTAAACTTGGTCTCTTCTTGATTGGTTCGAAAGAAGGTGCTTGGTTGGATTTGGTAGCATATAGTGGCTATCAATTTGTTGGGTTAGTATTTATTGTTCAGATTGGGATTATAAGAATAGTTGAAACATGCACAGATTGGTGTTTACTACCGTGGTGGGTTTACTGTTCCATACTATAATATGTCCTCGCATCGGCAGTATATTATCATCATTTGTTTTGTTTTATTCAGCTTCGATGATGGCATTGTTCCTTATGCGAACGTATCGTCGAGTAATTCATACAACAGAAGTTAAGACGCATGGAGTGGTATCGGGTCCTTCATCGAAACTAGACAGCAGGAAAAATTATTTTTTATTAGCCGTTGCAATCCTACAATATCCACTTTTCTGGATGCTTCGAACAAGACTTTGAAGACGCTTCCTTACTACAAATGCTATTGTTGGAACACTTTTGGATGTATATTGTCTTCTTGTGTAGTGTCTTCAGATGGCAATGGACGAATTGGATAATTTCCTGAGAAGCAGGCGTCACAGAAACTCGATGATTCTTCACCTAAAAAGTGATGGAGTTGATCTAATGGCAAAAATGCCAACGAATCAGCATCGATATATTGTCTAATTTCTTCCTCATTCATATTGTGAGAAATCAGTTCCTTGAAATAATGAGAGCATGTATAACAATAAAATGTTGACTACCTTTGTATTCGGTGTATCTACTCCATAATAACATGAACCAATGATAGGAGGACAAGCTATCCGCACATGAACCTAATGGATGCTTCTCAACAATCATCCTTAATGAAATAGATATCGGAGCATACTTCTTTAGCACCAGTTTCTCTCAACATACGAACAAGTTTTCTACTAGTTGTTCCTCGTACAATGGAGTCATCCACAACAACGAGACGTTTATTCGCTATGATGGATCGAACAGCTGACAATTTCAATCGCACACTAAGGTCTCGAATGTCTTGCGTAGGCTGTATAAATGTTCTTCCGACATAATGAGATCTCATAATACCGGGTTGATATGGAATGCCACTTGCTGCTGAATAGCCTAAAGCTGCAGGAATTCCTAAAAGACAATGTTGTCAATATATATATATATATTTATTTTGGATTGGTCGATAAATACAAACCACTTTCAGGCACTGGAATCACAATATCTGCTTCTGCTGGTGCTTTCTCTGCTAAAATTTCACCAAAGCGAAAACGACTCATATAAACTGAACGACCAAATACAATGGAAGTCGGTCTCGCAAAATAAATATGTTCAAAAATGCATCTTAGTATGTGATTTAGCAAAGTGAAAAATAACTTCAAGTTATACTTCTTACGCTTTTCTTCTCTGCGATGGAAATGGAAAAAATGAATGTAGACCATCTTTCGACACAACTATCATTTCTCCAGGATCAACTTCCCTTACAAACTCTGCACCAATTAAATCAAATACACAAGTCTCACTAGCAAAAATAATGGACTCCATTCTGTTCTTCATCTTTCCCATAACCAATGGACGGAATCCAAGAGGGTCTCTAACTGCAACTAAACAAGAAGGACTCAATAAGAGAACTGAATAGGCACCTTCTACTCGACTCAAGGCATCACTAACGCGTTGTATAAGAGGTTCATAAGAGTTTTTTCCAATAAAAGAGCTCGAGGCTAGTAAAGAGGTTGCCATTAGATGTAAAATAACTTCAGTATCTGAAGATGTATTGAAAATAGAGCCTCGAAGTTCCAAATGACGTCGTAACTTGTTGGCGTTTGTAAGGTTGCCGTTATGAGCAATCGATACTTGAATGCCACTGAGTTCGACCGTGAAAGGCTGTACATTGCGGACGTTCTTTTCACCGGAAGTAGAGTATCTAACAAGCACTTACAACATAAGAAATTCTAACGAATTTTTGTAATTCAAAAAACAAACCTATTATGTCCTATAGCAGCAGAGCCCCGTAATTCGGATAAAATATCCTCGTTGAATACTTCAGTGACTAGCCCCAGATTCTTGTACTCGTGAAGTTTCCCGTCAGACACTGTGGCGATTCCTGCACCTTCTTGTCCTCTGTGTTGCAATGCGTGTAAACCATAAAAGGCATATTTCGAAGCTGATTCAATTCCCCAAATACCTACTACTCCACATTCTTCGTGAAACTGATCCAGCTGAGCAAACGTGTTCAAAGGAGAAATTTTCTTTATGTGCGACTTGTTTCGAACACCAGGAAAAAAAACTCTCTGTGTATACAACTGTATATACACGCTATTTCCGTGCAACGATTTGGACTGTTTCACTGGTCTCTTGAGTAGAGGAATCGGGCTAATAACAAAGGCAAGAGCACCGTCCATCCTTCCCAATTAGTCACAGTCAATGGCGTTCAAAATACCCAAAAGATACTAGGAAGTTATGTATCGATAAATCCCTTGTTGAACATGTTTGATAAAGAAATGTATGTGATACAAAGTAACCAAATTCCACGGGGTATGATAAAAGATATAAAGTGCTTTGAATTTTTTGAAAGATTTAATAAGATCGCTATATGTCAACGGTTCTATTCACATGAATACAATAATAGAAAGACATCAGAGTGAAACGGATGGAAAAAATGGAAAGAGTTTTTCTGACTCAAAACGACTGGTATGCTCTCTCTCTCTAAAATTTCCAGACTAGTTGACTGTAAGAAAGAAAAATAAGCAAATCTGAATAACAACGATACATTCATTCATATTTAAAGAAACAGTAGAATCTACTCTCCAATCCCAATATAGACGTGGACGGCAGGATTCGAACCTGCGCTCGGAAACCGAAACAGATTTCTAGTCTGTCGCCTTAACCGCTCGGCCACGTCCACAGAACATATGGAATGACTGTAAAATATTTTTTATAAAAGTGGCACGGATAACTCAACAGTTACAACTCCAGCAAAAAACCTTTGAGCGAACTTGGGTCTTGGTCTTGATGCTAATGAAACGAATAACTGGTATTTGAGAAAGATAGAGACCGTCTCAAAAATAGTTTGGCACATCTTCACTAAAAGTTACAATATTATAAGGAATTATACTATTGTATCACTGAACAATGATGGTTATCTTTGCAGACCAACGTAGATAACAACAGCCCCTTCTTCCAATTTATAAACCAGACAGTGCTCTTTACAATATTTCTCCACTGCCGGCCTTAGTCTTGATCCTGATACACTACTATTCCCTGGTAAAAGACAAGAGAATAAAATAACTAAAGTTCGGCAACTAGTGGACCTACCTTTCCCAGTAATGCACTGGATTACCAAAGGTCGTCTAGTCGTAGCTTGTTTCATTAAACGAATCTTGCTTTCTAAAAGGAAAAGTGCTTCTTCTACAAAGAAACCATGTAAATCAAGGACTGGATTCGAACTAAAACTGTTCCGCCTAGTCAATTCAAGCAAAGCTTGACTTGAATAAAGTTCGAATAAATGCTTCATTTCCTTCGCCCGTTCTGAATAGTAATTCTTCTTAGTAACAGAAGCTAGTCTTCCCAACATAAGGTATTGGTTCCAAAATTTCCTTGACTTTTCAAAAATAGACTGAACAACGTTGTAAACCTGTTTGTCGCCGAGAGCATTTTTTTGTTGTTCTGACGAAATTCTCAAGGCATCCAAGTCCCGTAAATAACTAGCTATACAACTTAGTGACTTGTTCTCCTTTGCCGTTTCTTCAACCCTCTCAAGCAGCATATTAGGGTCGTCCAAAGGATAACTCTCTAGAAGAAAAGTTTCCGCTTGCTCCATACTTCCTTCGTAAAAATGTAGAACGTCTATGATCCAATCTTCTGAAGCAAAACTATATTTTTCTTTCAAGAGCCTGGCCTTGAGTCTGTCTGCAAGACTGACTTCTGCCCACGAAGTAGTCTTCGTCGTAGGGCAAGTGGTTTCCAGTTCACCAAAGTTTTCCTCCTTTCCTTTTTGTTCTTCAAATAGCTCAAGTAAAGTTTCGTACGTTCGTTTTGGGTCAAAGTTACAAAAAGACTCAACTGCAGTTATTGTGTCGGAGTCCAAGTTTTTATTCCCTGAAACCAACCTTTGAATGTTTTCCAAGTACGCTTCTTCTGCACGTTTATCAACTGAAGCTTCTGTACATACGGCTTTACGACACGTATTCTTTCTCTTTTTTGGCATTTGTCAATAAAGTTGCTAAAACTTCTTCTCAAACCAAGACTTCATCAACGCCAATACATCACCAGGTTTTTCTTCCATGGGTAAATGACCACAATTCTGTACAACGTGCAATTCACAGTCAACCAGTGCGTCTCGTAGATCTAAAATGTCTTGTCGTGGAATAACATGATCGTGCTCTCCATAAATGACCTTGAGTGATAATCAATCAGCAAACCAAAATAAAAACAAAACAAACCAAAGTTGGCAACTTTAGCTGCTCAAGTTGTGGTATCAAATCGAAAGCTTCAAAGCTTAGAGCCATTTCAACCAAAGCCTGATCCCAACCAGGTAAAAGAAACGGCTTTAAATAGCCTTCTACAAATTCTTGTGATTCAAAGACATCTGAATGATAAACATTGCGCTGTAACAACTCCTGCATTCCTTTTGGGGTACGATATCTTAGTAAACGAGAGCGCATTATTCTGCGTCCAAGTAAAGGAGTTCGGAGAATGGAACGATAATATTGCTTAAGGAACTTGGATGAAAGAGTTCGAGAATATGAAATTCTAACTGCTGGAGAAATCAGAACAAGACCTCTCATATGTTGTGGTTCCTTTAATGAGGACATCAAAGCAACAGTTCCTCCCGCAGAGTGTCCAACCAGAACTACATTTTCCAAATGAAAATAATCTCTAACCTAAAAAGTGATATGAGAAGGAATGCATATATATATATATATATATCATCTGGTTATCATACTTGTCTAGTCAACGTAACTCCATAATCCAGTTTGTAAGGATTATACTCCTTGTCCTTCCAACTTGCTCGAGGAGGTCTTGAAGAGAATCCAAAAGGAGGTCTATCGTAGGCAACTGAGAAGCCTCCTGTCATTTCAGACAACTGCTTTTGAATATTTCTCCAAGCAAAGTTATTGGCTAATAGACCGTGTAATAAAATAGTGTCGATACTATCCTTAGTAACTCTTTCTGAAACAAAAGCTGATCGTTGGTTTTCCACGATGCAGTGCAGTTCGATAGGTATGGTATTATCGGCTACACCAACCATACAAAATACTGAATTGGCACTAGCTAAATCTTTTCTTTCGACTCTCGTCTTTCTTATAAACTTTGTGATAGCTTTCAGTCTTTGTAATGGTTTCAATATATCTTGGGTATACTCTAGAACAGGAAGTCTTCTACCAGGACGAGAAGGTTGTCCTGCTGTGGGCATCATTAACTCTGGCTCTCTCCATCTTCTCAAAATTTCTTTTGAAGGAAGCCACCTTCTTGCAAAACGAACCAAGACTGCCGGATTCCACTTGGAATGGTTGCTAGAATTCACACTACGCTTGGAACTGTTGGATAAAGGTTCCTTGCAACAACGCCAAAATGATCCGAAAGACGAATATTTACAAGTCCTTTTATGCTTAAAGATACTATATAGCAAGAGATACTAGAAAAAGTCTAGAAAATGTTTCCATAACAGTTACTTTCAATATGTCTTACCTGTTCAGAGACTCGAAAGGCCACGTGGACCATCCAGCCAAAATCCTTTAACAAGTATGTGACGAGTGTTGTGATGGTTCCTTATGCAATGGTTGTGTCCTTGCAAGTAAAAGAATAGACAAATATCGTTTATTTGACAAATTCAGCGTAGTTACTATAATATTCTATCCTCTATTCACATATGTTGGTATTTGTCAGATGATTTAGTCGCGGACATATATATATATATCCTACATTCCTTTCTAACGACTCAATCAATATCTACTTGAAGCAGGAGAGAACTTCATGAAAAGAAGAATGCACAATAATAAAAGAACTAACTTCATTCGGAAAATGACCCAAAACCATCAATTTCTTGCAGGTGAAAGAATTGTTTCTCGAGGAATGAGGCAAAGGTTCTTCCATTGAACAAATGGATATCCCAACAAGAAAGGTATCAGGGAGAGAAAAGCACTTTGTACCAGTTTCTCCAGTTCAAAATAATAACCTGTACTAGTAAACCATACACATTTTGTGCATCTTGAATATCAGATTGTTTGAGATAATGAAATGAAATCAAACACCACAACAAGAGCAGCAAAAGAGATAAAATGATAAGATTATTTGGCAGAATAGAACACCAGCTACGACTCCTCCGCCTATGATAATGTCTTTACTGTGGCTTACAAGTTCTTGAATGATAGCCTGAAAACATCCTGTAGCTTCATGTGAAGTTTCAAATTTAGAGGCTTGCTGCTTCTCGGGAAAGGTACTAGAGTTGGTTTCACTTGATAAACCCGGACAGTTAAAATAACATGCATAGGAACTCGAATAAGTGTTGCTAGGTGGCGTTGAACATTTGGTAGCACAGTTTCCGTCGTTAAAACCCGCACAAGAAAACTCTTGCTCTACCTGATAGACATAGGAAGGATCTTCTCTCGCGGATGGAACCCATACATTGAGTTCAAATGACTCTTGCCAAGTGGAATTATCTTGAATCAATTTCGGAACAACATAGAGAATAATGGATATAATCAAGACTCCAAGAAAGAGCGCGCTTAACAAAATAGTGTTCAATGGGATAAAAATTCTTCCTTTTCTTTGAGACGTACAGCACGTGATGAGTCCACAAAAGAAAACTACGACTCCGATAACTATCAAACCTATCGGAAGTTTGCCAAGTGCTTCGATCAAATCGACGCCTACTTGATTGCTTGAAGTAGCTTCTATAACAAAATTTCTAATTCGGCCTTCCTTAACATATATCCATATGCCAAGAATAAATACAACTAAACCAGATAACGAGGTGGCAATACTGAGGACTGCAAGAGCTTTTGAGCATAAAAAAGTATCCACTACGAACAACGAGCCTTTACCCATCTTGTCAAAACTGAAATTTCAAACCTGCTGTCCATTATTTACAATGCAGGACTGTCTTGGGTCAATGATGGATATGGATGACGTGTTCAAAGAAATGCACTTCCGTTTAGACTTTTCCTCTATTCCTATTAAAGATGACCGTGAAAACGGTCTTGAAGGATGAGTCCTTTATAAAGGTTCGAAAGGTAAATGACTTGTCAATTCTAAGGTATTGATAATTTTAATATTCAATAGATCTCCCTAAAAGTAGTTGTCGGGGTCGTCTAGTTGGTAAGGACATTGCGTTGTGGCCGCAAAAACCTGAGTTCGAATCTCAGCCTCGACAAAGTAGAAATCTTTTTACTCTCCCGGCGTTCAACAGAGGCCTGGACCACAAAGATGGTGGAATCTTTGGAAGATTCAAATGAATGTTCGGTAAAATTTGTTTTTTACCTGAAAATGTCGGAAGAGGAGCAACTTCTTACGAACCCTTATAAGAGGAAAAAATACAAGCTTTTATGGTATTCGCCAGTTTTGTTGCTGTTGCTAGCTGTAACTATTTTGGTACCTATGTTCAGCTTTTCCGTTTCGTTACCTTTACTCGGTAGATGGTTTTGGTTTTCGAGTAGCCCGGAGTTTTCATTTATGGTGGTTGGTGATTGGGGAAGAGAAGGGCACCACCATCAGAAGAGAGTAGCAAGTGCCATGGCTGTTTTGGCTCGTTATGTTAAGCCTCGTTTTATTATTAGCACAGGCGACAATTTTTATGAGGATGGAGTAGCTTCTGCCAGAGACAAACAGTGGAATATTTCTTTTGAAAACGTTTATTCTTACAGGATGTTGGAAAATATTCCGTGGTATGCCGTTTTAGGAAATCATGATCACTTGGGCAAGTAAGAAACTTTTGAGTGAACTTGGTTTGTGTATTTGACATACTTTTTGTCTCCAGTTATACTGCACAAGTTGACTATTCTAACAAAAGCGAGCGTTGGAATATGCCTCGTCCGTTTTTCTCAATACCTGTGAATAGCTATTTTGGGGAACAATATCTTTTTGTCTTTTTGGATACAACTCCGTTTATCAAAGATTCCTATGGAGAAGTGGCCCGAAAGAATGGAAAACAGAGTTGGAGGCTTCAACTTTCTTGGCTCGAGAAACTTTTGAACTCTTCCAGTAGTAGACGAATATTTGTTATTGGGCATCACAATATGTATTCTTCAAGTATTGCTGGTGAACGGGGTCGGGAAGAATTGAGAATATTATTGAAACCGATATTAGATAAATATTCTTCTAGAATAACAGCGTACGTATCAGGTCACGAACACTCTTTGCAACATTTGCAACCTTATGGTAAGAATTTTCCATGTCGTTAAAGACTTTCAGCTGAATAATATTGAATGTAGGAGTTTCTGGAATCGATCATTTTATTTCAGGAGGTGGTTCAAAGACGGATAATTTGAAGGACCCACCCAAGGATGCTGAACAATATTGGTAAGTTTCATGGCATGTGAAGGTATCCAAGTGTACTCATCTCAGTAGGTATGATTGTTGTAAAGTTTTGCCTTTTGGAGTGCAGGATAAGGACAAGCCTCGTAGCTTATTCCGAGCCAGTACACATGGCTTTTTTATCTTCAAAGTTTATGGCAATGAGATTGTCGCAGAAGCTTATAGTCAGAAAGCGAAATTATTATACCAATATCATAAGAGTCTACGATGACTATTTTTTGGGTTTTCGCTGTCTTTTGTAGTTGCATTATTTTATTGAGAAGTTTATATTTGAAAACAGGCAAAATAAATGATTGTGCTTGTTTTCTTTGAATTTTCGGGATGTTTTTTATTGCTATATTATTTTATGGTTTAAATGAACTTTTTCAATTGCATTTCGAATACTTGATAAACCGTTGTGAAATATTATAAGAATACGTACTGTTGTCAAAGCAACTAGGCTGTTAATGAATAGTTTGACAGCCTCATTTCCAGTTGCTGTTTCATCGCACTATTTGGTTCAGTCAATCACAATCCGAAGAAACTCAAAAAGCTATTGTTCTTTATCTGTACAAGATAGACAGAGCCAAGAGTGAAGGATAGAACCAAGTTGAATACGAGTCTCAAAGGAGTTCAGTATTTATACTTTGTTGAATAGTCTTTCGGTGCAACAACCAAACCACGTCCCTTTCTTGCACCTCTATAGACAGTTTCCACAATATCAATAAACTCCTGAACGTCTTGCATAGCCCAATTAATCTTGTTATTATTTCCAGTACCCAGGTCTACCATAATGTGCTTGTTCCGGAAAAAGAACATAACAGTACAAGGATCATACAACTCGTATAGTGAGTTAAAGTCTGGAACTTCTCGTATATCGACCAAATAGACGACAGCAAAATTTTTTATCTTTTCTGCAGCCTTGTAAAGTGTTTCATCCATAAGCATACAAGTGGGGTCAAAATCCTGACCAAAGCGTATGACAACAACCCTATCTTCCTCACTTAAAATAGCTTGGTCCACAGCATAACCCGAATGAAGGTCTACAAAATAACTCGGCAATAACATACATAAATAAAAGAGTCATATACTTACGAGGTAAGAGATACGACATTTTTCTTCTTCCACCACAATGTCAAAAATAATCAATTCCGTTACACTCACTCCTCATATAGGAATGATGAATGACATTTCAATGAACTATCTTCTTTCAGATAGATATGAAAAGAATAGAATGAAAGATGGAGTACTGCAGTATCCTAATCGATGTCACTGAGTGGGATAATCAACAAAACAAGCCATCCCTCTCTCATTATGTGAGAGTGTGAATGATCGGCTATTCTATGTCCATTGCACCAAAATTCTATGCTCAATATATCTTTTCTTTGCATCATAATATGCAAATATTCGATTAAAGAACTTTATTTTGAATAACATTCCAGTTCAATCCTATCCGTCTTCTCATCTATTCACCTGATTCGTTCTATGGAAAGCTTTATACAATCATCCCATAATATATCTCTACAATAGTCATCATGTAAAAACTCTAAACCTTGTAAACCAATGGGTTGAGAATAAGTAATGACATTTGGAGCCATCAACTGATGAGTTCTCTTTAAACAAATAAATGGAATATGAAAAGCATTTCTATTTGGATATTGTTTCGACCATTTTTGGCTTTGGACAACCTGTTCGTGTAAAAATGATTTGTAAACCGAATGTTTTGTACTCACTTGACCAACAAAATCTTTAGAGATATTCCACTCCTTGGCAAACAAATATGCTTGCAAGTATAAAGGCGATAGAAATAAACAAATAACTTCTCCTCCACAAGCAGAAATACATTTCCAAGCAGAATATGTTACACAAGTACATTCTATTCGAATAGGAAAAGGTATCCTTGTACACTTTCACAAGTTGGTCACAATGCCAACAATAACAACATACTTACTCTCCCAACTAAACAAACTTGCCTTGACTTCCTACTCAATAGACCTGCAGACTTTAACTGTTCCAAAGTTATGACATGATCCACCTGAAAGACTCCTTTTCTGATAAGTTGTATCACAGCACCCAATGGAACTTGATTCTTCTCATTTTGTAGTCTAATTGTTATTATCAGGTATTGCTAAGATAACAGTCAATCAACATACAAGTTCTTGGTAGCTACATAAGAGTTATTCTCAAAGTAGAAACCTTGTTTAGGCTTCTTGGAAGGAACTCTTCGTTTGGGTTCCTTTGAACTGGTTTTCTAATATATTCCATTAATTCCCTTACTAATATATTATTGAAAGAACTGAACCTTTTTCTTCGATGTTCTTTTTCTCAACGAAACATGGCGTCTTTTATACTTGGGAACCACATTCCAAAACATTGTAAAGATAGTGATTGTTTCAATCCTTCATGTCTACCAACTTATTACTTCCTCAAGCAACTTTAAGAGGACATTTGGAAGGAGTTTCAGCTTTGCAGTTTTGGAATGGCAGTCGATACTTGGTTTCAGGTGACTATAGTGGAAAGTTAATTTTATGGAACGTCAACAATCGAGTTCCTTGTTGGATTGACGAGAAGACCCATACAAACTCTGCTATTATGGAAGTTTATCCTTCTCCTTACAGTAAGATATGCGAATGCATATTTTGTTTTCCTTTCATTCTCGTTGTATAGATATGGAAAGCTTTTATTCTCACGACAAGACAGGGCTCGTTGTTCATTGGCAATGTGTCGATGGCGAGTTAGTTGCTACTTCTCGAAGCAAAGATACCATTCACTTGGAAGCGAGTCAAAAGTTCCATGTAGGAGTATGTGTCTTTTTTGATAACATTTGAGAAAGTTTTCAATCATGGACGAGAACTAGTATTCTGGTATATCCAGAAGTTCCATGTTTCATAATCTCTTAGCTGTTGCTCGAAGTATGCCTCAGGACTCGTTGGTTATTTACGATGTGTCATCGAATGGAAGTTTAGAAAAGCCAATTATTTCTTTTGATCATAATGAGAATTTTCGTTGTGGTTTTTGTACCTTGGTCGGGTTTCTCAATGAACAAGTTGTGATGACTCTTCATGAAGATGGCTCAATCAAGGCAAGCATATAATATAATGAATTAGTAAGATATTGAAAAAGCGTGTTCTAGTTGTGGTCTTTGAGTCGGCAAGAAATGACACAACATCTCAAGTTTGGGTCTTTTACATTGTTATCGTATGACAAGTATAGTCATTCATCCCATTGGAAAGTATTGATTGGAGGAACCCATAAAACACTTGGCCTATTCGACTTTGATGGTCAAATTCTGAAAGAAGAATCAAAGTGTCCATTAAAGAAGGGTGGAATAGGAGATATTTCTGTTCGAGATGATGGTGAGTAAGAAATATATATATATATATATACATATTGTACAAGTTGATTGAAATTGGTGGTTGAGAACGTATATTGGCAGTTGCACATTGGGATACCAAAGTTCGTCTATATGAAATACGAAATCAATTTAGACAATTGGTTACTTTACCTCACAACAACCAAAGGTAAGAAGAACATCTCTACCAACCACTTTTCTAACAACAAAAGAAAGTGTTCAGCGTATTCAATATGCACCTCAAGACTCCCTTTTGGCTTGCGGTACTCTGAACGGACGTGTCTATTTATGGAATCTTTATCCTAAAACAACTCAAACCAATTCTCCTTCCTCCGATGTTGTTGCTTTAGAATGAGACTTTAAGCTGCCAAGTCTCTCATCCAATGCTCTCAATGCTCGTTGCCTAGGATTGATTCGGTTACAAAACAAACACAAATATATATATATATAAAACTAGATACCTTCGACGTTCAGCTTCTGTTGGGTCTGTTGTAGTTACTGGCAATATGTCATTATCTTGTTTGATTAGGTTTCTACTATAGCTGGCTGTATCATGTTCCTTATTGTTTGAAGAACTAGGAAACAATGCTAATATCCATTCTCGAATTCTTATAGGCAGTAAAGTGAACAGTCGAAAAGAATCACTAGTATCACCTCGTCCATATTCTCTTTTCTGTAAATATCGCAAATATATCCAACTGTTGATAACACCCAAACAGGATAAGAACCACTGTCCAATCCAACGAAAGCCACTGAGCCAACCCAAACTAAAACACAATAAAAACCAAAAAGGCATATCGTTGGCTATCAAACGAAATCGAAAACGGCGAGGTAATATATAAATCTCATGATCAGGTATCAACTGCTTGACGGCCACTAAAAAGCCTCCTAAAATAGCCATAGAACCGGATAAAGGTACATAGCTAAATACATATTTCCAATGATGGAAAAGGAATCGGTATAAACACACTTACAGTAACGTTTCATCTCTCAAGAAAGTATAAAGCACAAACAGTAAAACGATAGTAGCAAAGGCACTAGTAACAGACACAAATATCCAAAATAATACGAAAGGAATCACACCCCAAGAATTCTCAAACATAGAATAAACAATACCTAAAGGAATAAGCAACAGTCCCATCTATCATAACCGTTATTATGGGCAAGTACGACTATTCAAAGATACTTTAGCTAACCTCCATAAGAGGAACATCCACAAGAGAAAAACTAAAAACATTCCAAGCATATCCATTTGAAATAGTCCTTGTATTCCCATTCAGTCAAATACGATGGAAATAAGTGTCAAATACAAACAGTCCAGGAACGAGTAAAAAATAGGCTTCCAAAGAGAACCACCAAACACCAATGGAACCCAATAAAAATATGAGTAAAAGTATGCGAGTAAGCTGAGGAATCTTTTGCAACTTTCTCCACTAATCAATAGTTAGTATATCCTTCATTGAGTGTTTTGGTTCACAACAAACCCCGTACAACATCATCATCCTTCTCCAATCGATGAAAAGTGATTGTATGCCAATATGTCGAATGAGTTGAACAAAGACGACGTCTTTCAGGCAGAAGACTTGAACTTGTTAAAGGAGACCTTGTTTGAAAAGGAAAAGCTGGATAAAGAAGAACAATTAAGAAAGCCTATAAAGTCCATTGCTGAAAAATGGCTTCTGATTCCTGCCTTTCTCAAGGTATTACGAAAGTCCTTCTCATTCTCCTGTTGAATAACAAGCTATACAAGTTGAGAGGATTGGTCAAACAACATATAGAATCTTTCAACTTCCTTATTGAGAAAGAATTATCTAAAATAGTTGCTGCTAATGATAAAGTTAGTATTGTTGTTTATGACAGCAGAGAAACGCTTACTGACAGTTAAAGGTTACTTGTGATGCTGATCAAAGTTTCTATTTAAGATATTTAGGAATCAGAGTTGGAACTCCTTCTATTGTAGGTTTTTGATAGAGATAGTAGCTATATGATATGATTCTAGTCGAATGACTTTGTTTAGGAAGAGGACCTGGTCATTTCCAAAGTTACTCCACAAGAGTGTCGATTACGTGATTTGACCTATGCAGCACCTATTTATGTCGATGTGAGATATACAAGAGGAAAGGAGGTGCTTATTCGAAAGGATGTTGCTATTGGTCGAATTCCCATCATGCTTAGAAGTTCTCACTGTATCCTCACAGGTAAAGATGGGTTTTGCACTGTATATAATGTATGAAAAGTATACAATATATACAAATAGGAAAGAAGGATGGGCAGTTAGCAAGCCTAGGTGAATGTCCTTTGGATCCAGGTGGCTATTTCATTATTCGTGGGACAGAGAGAGTCATTTTGATTCAAGAACAATTATCAAAGAATCGTATCATCATAGAAGAAGATAAGAAAGGAAATTATTGTGCTACAGTTACCTCTTCTACGCATGAACGCAAGTCACGAACTTCTCTGGTATACAAGTCTAACAACATGTAAGTCTTTGTAGTCCAAAACAACCATTAGTTTTATTCATTTGTTAGTTATCTTCGACACAATTCACTTGTGGATGATATTCCAATTTGGATTGTATTCAAAGCTTTAGAAGTGGAATCTGATCAAGAGATTGTTCAATTGATAGGTTTGATAGAAGAAGAATATCGTAGTTATTATTTCTTGCTTAATCATAAGAGTAGGCTCCGAACCTGTATTTGCTCAAGCTCTTTTGCCTTGTATAGAGGAATGTATTTCTCGTCACGTTCAAAATCGAAATGAAGCACTTGAATATATTGGCTCTAGAGTTCGTCTTTTTCGCAAAGGTTACTCATTTCGTCGTTCCACTATAGAAGAAGCACAAGAAGTATTGGCTGGCGTTATATTGTCTCATATTCCAACATATCAACATAACTTTCGCAATAAGTAAGTTGGAATGTATCTCTCTCATAGGCTTACATAAAGCATGGTCTGTAGGAGTATTTATTTAGCATTTATGGTTCGTCGATTGTTAACAGTCGCTGAAAATTTAACCACAGTAGATGACAAAGTATGATAAAAGTGGATAAACTGCCAAGGCTTCAAATGATTGTCTCATACTTTTGTTTAGGATTATTATGGAAACAAACGTTTAGAATTGGCTGGACAACTTTTATCTTTGTTGTTTGAAGATCTATTCAAGAAATTCAATGCAGATTTGAAGAGACATGCTGATATGGTACTCAGCAAACCCAATCGTGCTGCACAGTTTGATATTGTGAAATGCATGAGACCAGTTAAGTATTACATTTGGTGCATCACAAGTACGACCTGATAGACTATCATTAGGATACCATTTCAGTAGGATTGGAAAATGCCATTGGCACTGGAAATTGGACTGTCAAGAGATTTCGTATGCATCGTGCAGGTATTACGCAAGTAAGTAAGAGTGCGTATGTGCATGATCAAAGTTTGATATTGCATTTGAGGTCTTGTCTAGACTGAGCTATATCGCAGCACTTGGAATGATGACCAGAATTACTTCACAATTTGAAAAGACTAGAAAAATTTCTGGTCCTCGTTCTTTACAAGGTTCCCAATGGGGTCTTTTATGTCCTTCCGATACTCCAGAAGGTGAATCTTGTGGACTAGTTAAGAATCTGGCTTTAACAGCTCATATTACTACAGATGCTGAAGAGGAGCCTTTGATACGCTTGTGTTATATTTTGGGTAAGGAAAATTGTAGAGTGGTAGTTGTCTGTTTGTTCTTATAGAGATGGATAATAGGAGTTGAAGATGCAACTTTATTTTCAGGTGATGAGTTGAACAATCCTTCCCATTTTCGAATATTCTTAAACGGAAAATTTTTGGGAATTCATCGAAATGCTTCATACTTTGCCAATATCTTTCGATTTCTTCGTCGAAAAGGTGCCATTGGAGAGTTTGTTTCGATATTTGTGAATGAAGCAGAAAATGTAGTATATCTTTCGTGTGATTCTGGTCGCATTTGTCGACCTCTTATTATTGTTGAAAATGGGAAACCCAAAGTTACTCAACAATATATAGAACAGCTTGAAAGAAATCAACTAGAATTTACAGATTTGGTGCAACAAGGTCTTGTTGAATATCTTGACGTCAATGAAGAGAATAATGCCTTGATTGCACTATCTGAAGAGAATATTGAGCCTTGTAGTACCACTCATTTGGAGATATCTCCTTTGGCAATATTGGGAGTCTGTGCAGGAGTTATTCCTTATCCACATCACAATCAATCTCCAAGAAATACTTATCAATGTGCAATGGGTAAACAGGCTATCGGATTCATTGGATACAATCAACATTTGAGAACAGATACTTTATTGTATTTGTTGACTTATGCACAGAAACCGTTGGTCAACACCAAAACCATTTCATTTATCAAGTAAGTCTCGAATGGAAAATGAATAAGGATCTCTCTTTTATACCTATAGATATGATGAACTTCCTGGTGGTCAGAATGCTATTGTTGCAGTAATGAGTTACAGTGGATATGATATTGAAGATGCCTTGATATTGAATCGATCCAGTTTGGATAGAGGATATGGACGTTGTTGTGTAGTTCGTAAACATGCTTTTGGTTTACGAAGATATCCGAATGGAACTTGTGACCGAGTTTGTCGTCCACCAAGTTTTTCGGAAAGTTCAGAACGTACTCATATGAAGTTTGCCTGTTTGGAAGAAGATGGATTACCCAAAGTGGGAGGTCGTCTTTCTCCTGGTCAAGCATATGTATATAAAGAAACGCCTATGGATACGATGACGACCATGACTAGTCAGCAAAGTATTCAACAAGTTGGTTATCGTCCACAGCCATTCTTTTATAAAGTAAGAAATGATTCCTTTTGAAGTGTAGATTATATTGAAGCTGAATGTTCTCTTGAATAGGGTCCAGATGATGCAGTCATTGATAGAGTAGTTGTCACTTCCAATGCTTCTACCCATGCGCTTATTAAGGCAAGTAACTATAATAGATGATAATATTCCATGTTACTTATTTATCCAATTAGGTCATGATACGAGAGACTAGAACTCCAGAGGTTGGAGATAAGTTTTCTTCGCGACATGGACAAAAGGGAGTTTGTGGTTTAATTGTTCCTCAAGTAAGTTTTCAATGATACTTTCAGTAAATGTACTTTGGATTCCTAAGATGAAAATAGGAAGATATGCCATTTAATGAACAAGGAATATGTCCAGATATTATTATGAATCCGCATGGCTTTCCTTCTAGAATGACAGTAGGAAAACTTTTGGAATTGATGGCTGGAAAAGTGAGTACTTTTCTATTCTTATGATATCAGCTGATAGTTGATCAAGGCTGGAGTATTAAGTGGCGAATTTAAAAATGGTACAGCATTTGATGGAGATCCTTTAGAAGATTGCGCATCTTTACTTGTTCAACATGGATTCTCTTATACAGGTAATAAGAGTAGTCGATATAGTTACTTGTTCTTGAGTATGGTAACTTGGTAATAGGGAAAGATTTTTTGTATTCGGGAATGACTGGAGAACCATTGCAAGCTTATGTGTTTATGGGACCCATCTATTATCAGAAGTTGAAGCATATGGTAAAGGACAAAATGCATGCTAGAGCAAGAGGTCCTCGTGCTGTTTTAACAAGACAGCCTACAGAAGGCCGTTCTCGAGGTTTGTTGAGGATATTTATTCTTTTTTGAAATGTTGTTGATCGATTATGCCTATAGATGGTGGTCTTCGGTTGGGAGAAATGGAAAGGGATTGTTTGATAGGATATGGTGCCTCTATGCTTATTATGGAAAGATTGATGCACAGTAGTGATGCATTTACAGCTCATGTTTGTAGACAATGTGGTTTGATTGTTTCCAAAGTAATATTTCATCCAATATTTGTTTATTATATTTGCCTTATATATATATATATATCATGATAGGATTGGTGTCCAACTTGTGGTAATTCTTTACAAATACGGCCATTGAAAATTCCGTATGCTTGTAAGCTATTGTTTCAAGAACTTCAAAGTATGAATATTTGGCCAAAAATTTTATTGGAAGAACGTAATGCCAGTTGATGATTATGTTTCATGAGAAAGGAATCATAAGAGAATCAGAATCGGAGGAGAAGGAGAGAGAGATAGGATTGAGAGTGGATGTCCAACCACAAGTCTAACAAGGTTTCTTCCTCCCTTTATTTGTCTCATATTTGTAAAGAGAAGAAACTCTTTTGGATTCAAGGCTTTCCTATTAAGAGTCCATGTTTGTCTTGTATGGGTGTTATACTGCGTTCCTACCGAAGTCTTCCAAAGTGTTACAACTTTGTAAGATTTGTCCACCGTCATGTTTTTCCTAGTACAAGTGCGTACAAAATAGTTCAAAAAAACTTGAGTTCTCGTTTGACTCGGAAAACCAAAGCTCAGTTTCCTTGGCTTATGACTATGCAAAGGAGAACTCATCAACCTTCACCTGTTGCTTCCTCTTCAAGTCTGATAAAGATATCTCCTTCAGAGATAACTGACTTTTGTGACCAATTGGAATCTTATCAATGTAACTGTATTTATGACTCCAGTACAATTGAGTTGCAAGTCTTGCGTAAGGTGAATCCTATTTTAGCAAACGTATTGTGTGTAGAAGACTGGGATACTGTGCAAGAAGAGGCCAATCAGAGCTATCCTTGGACCTTTGAAAATTTGGAGATATCTTTATTTGTAGAGGGAAAGTTTCAAGTTCTTTTGGAAGGTGCCAATGATATACTCACTTTGGAACGTGGAGATATCGTTATCTTTCCCAAAGGTGCAATTGGACAAGTGACTATTCTGGAACAGTGTAGAAGAAGGTCTTTGGTTTGTACGGAAGTAGAGTGGAATACCCGATTTCACTGTGCTTTGGATGCACTGAAGAGTATAGAAGATGATAAGCAGTGGCTCAAAAGTGAACGTATGAAACAACGTTTTCGAAACAAAGAAACTTTTCCTACTTGGGTTGGCTTTGTATTAGCCGATCTTATTCAGTTGGGTGCAGCATTCTCCATTTTTTACTTTTGGGATAATGGACCTGGAACTTTTATTAAGAATCATATTTTGGTATTTATCTTGAAAAAGGTATGAATATATACAAGGTTGTTCATCAATGACTTTTTATAACCAGTTGTAGCTAATCATTCCTTTTGGTATGTTGAGCGTTTTCTTATCCATTCTGGGTCATCTCTACATTGGCATCGAACCACATATCAGCAATGCTAGACTTAAAAATGGAATAGAAAACATTTTCTATTTTTTGGCACCCTCGAATATTATTGTTGAGAAAATCAAACAACAAATGAAAGAGGAAGAAAACAAAACTGAAACTTGGGACAACCTCTAAGTGTCTTCTTCTTAAGAAGGAATGCTTATGGCGGCAGAAAGAATATTTTTGGTAAATGATGTTTCCATCAAATGTATTTCCGTTTCTTTGTTTGTTTGGTCACTTTCTGACTGTTGTGGATTCACGTTTTCCAACAATGAAACTGGAAAAGTATTATTCAATACAATAATACCTAAATATTGAAGACGCTCTGCAATAAGCCTCGATATATCCACTTTCCATTGAATGCTTCCCAAAGTTTTTCGAGCCAGTACTTCCCTATCCTTTTGAAGACTTGTTCTTTTTTTGCTTATGACCAACTGTTCCGTATGTTTCTTTCCAACCATATGCACAATCTGAAACTGGCGTGTCAACTTCCATCTTTCACAATCAAATATTTCCAAGACCTGATTTCCACTTGCTCGTGGAAACTTCATAGATGGAGTCATTCCTATCAAAACTCGCAGATTTTTGGCTTTTACTTGAAACTGTGCTGCAAATAAATCAATCAATTGGTCGACTATCCCTGCTTGAAACCGCTTCAAGTCTACTATAGAGATACCCACCAAGAAGCACTCTGTATTCTTTCCACAAGTTCCATAGTTGGCCATCCACAATATCGGTATATAATCTTCGTCATCAGTTGATTGTAAAACACCTAAAACAACTCCCTTTTTTGTAGTACATAAACTTGTTATTGGAGACTGTGGTAATAACGACGATGCGGGTGTCACGTGCAGGTCGCTATCGACAGTCAAAACTCCAAAGGAAGAATGGGTTTTTGCACTCTTTGACTGGATATTTTTGGTTTCCAAAGCTGCTATATGTTCTTTTTCCATATTTACAGTACTCTTTTGTGTATATACTACTCCCCGGTGGTCAAGCAATATTTTTTTGGTAGAGCCTAGAATTTCCTCCGTCGACTGGCCGTTCAAAGGCAACTGAGGGAAAGTATTACCGTTATTCTTTGTAAGATAATAACTCACGTTGGGTAATAACAACTTTCCCGTCTTTATCTTTCCACTTTCACCTTGAGGTTGGTTTTCAGTTGAACAACGAATGGTCTGTTGAAAGTGTATTCTGTTGATACGATAAGTAACCAGTATATTTGATGACTTCTGTTTCCTTAGTACTGAGTTTCCAATACACTTTGTGTGTAACAAAGCAACGGTACCGATGATGATCCACATTCTCAATCAGATGCTCCACGTCCAGCCTTCATTTGTCTCATTGACATTTCCTTCTTTGAGGCTTCTCATCACATCAGTGAATGAGAAGGAGAGAAACGAAGGTTTTCTTTCTATGAATGTCGATGCAAAAGCCCTCTTTCCAGCCTTATTATGTCAAAGCACTGTCTTCGGAACAAGCTCAACTTCCAACTTGGTTTCCTTCAGGTCATTCGGAGGAGTTCCAACTGATATTGCGCAAGTTATTTGAACGTGGTTTTCGTTTGATGAGAAAGCTGAATATCCAAAAGGGTAATTTGTCCAATATTTCAAAGAACTTTGTTTTGAGTAATCCACAAATCCATGTCGTTATGCTTCGAAGGGCATTGGATGGCTCAGTTATTTACCTTGCAAGGGTGGGTTCACAAGTACAAGGACCTTCAGGGTTTATGCACGGTGGAGCTACTGCGGCTTTGTTGGATGACTGTGTGAGTAGCGCAGTCTTATTATCAGGTCCTTTTGCTATGACAGGTAAGAAAAGTGCACTACAAGATGTTGAAAGTGGTTGTATATGACCCTTTATAGTTCAGTTGAATGTTCAGTATAGAAAACCCGTTCCATTGAACAGTGTGGTAGTAGTGGAAGGATATATTGATCAAACAAATGGAAGGAAGACTATAGCTGGAGGCAAAATGTATCATCCTGATGGCGCTTTATATGCTGAAGCGACGTTATTGTTCGTCAAACCTCGTTTAGTGGAACCCAAAATGTAATGAGCATTTTTCTTTTTTTAATAAAGGCCATGAAAATGGATTGCTCATCATTTTCTATTCTTGGATGATGGAAAAGTCTTCGAGTCGTGTCCTCTTCTCGTTGTTGTATTGTTGGGTTATTGTACTTGCACAATCACTACAAGAGAAAGAATCTCATGTCATCCAACTTACAAAAGAAAACTTTTGGTCAGTTGTACAAAATGAATCCTGTGTTTTTGTTGAATTTTATGCACCTTGGTGTTCACACTGTAACAAAATGGTAAAAGAATTCGAACAAGCAGCTGAGAAACTAAAAGATAAAGCAGTATTTGCTCAAGTAGATTGTACTCAAGAAAAGGTTGGTATCTATTGGGAGCAACTTTCAAACTCAAAGTAGTATCGTATAGGAACTAGCAGACGAACTCAATATTGAAGGTTATCCAGTATGTATTCTTTCTCTTTTGTGAAATAACATCAAGTTTATACTTTTTAGACTTTGAAATTGTTTACTCATGGCCAGTTTGAAAAGGATTATTTTGGGAAAAGAAAGGCCAACGATATGATTTCTTTTGTGAGAGGAAGCATAACTTCACCTTGGAAGGTAATAGAAAATGAGTCGGAAGCGTTGCAACTGGAGATAAAGTCACGAAACAAAGACTCAGGTTGTCTTCTTATCGCCTATTCCAAAGAAGAAGTGGATCAAAAGAAGTTCCTTGGCCTACTGGATAAAGTATCCAAACCCATTTCCGTTGCTGTAGATGGCTTGAATATGTTTTATTTGACAACCAATGCAACTCTGTGGAAAGCTATTTGTAGTTTTTATCATGTAAAAGATAACATGAATGATAATGCTATTCTTTCTGTTCGTCATTATCCTGATGCGATTGGTGGACCTCCTTTAGTAAGCATTCAGAAATGGACCCATGATAATAATAGGGAAGAGGAGGAGATGGGTCGTTTTGTTCGAGGCAGTGTATTTCCTCCTCTTAGTTATTTGAACACTACAACCGTTCATCAGTTCAAAGCAACCAAGTTACCCATTTTGGTTGCATTTATTAAGAATGTATCACAAATGGATTCGCAACTATTTCAAGTACTTGATAGTATAAGTAAGGACATGTTAGGTTATGTGAATGTTGTTTTGGGAGATTGGAAGTCACTTGGAAGTCTTAGAAGACAACTCTCTGTGAATGATAATGAAAGCGATGTGAGTGCCATTGTGATGCACATATTTGAGAAAAATAAGAATTTTGTATTTCCGAGAAAGTCAACTGCACCCAAAGTGAAAGCATTGAAAAGATGGGTTCAAGGCGTATTGGATGGAACAATAGAAGAGTTTAGAAGATCGGAAAAGCCTCCGATGCCTAATAAAGGTGTACCTAAAATAGTAGTTGGAGAGACTTGGCATTCTATCGTAGATGACTCGAACAAAGACGTTTTCATTTTACAATTTGCTCATTGGTTAGACAAGAGTCGAGAAGCGGAAGTCATCGTGGAAGAGATTGCAAAGGAACTCATTTCCTATTCCGATAAGTTGACTGTGGCAAAGATGAATGCCGTGGATAACGATGCTCCAAGTCCCTATTTTGCTAAGAAATATCCAACGATGCATTATTTCCCTGCAGGTTCTCCTAAAGTTGGTATTCCTTTTGAATCTCCCATTACTCGGGAAAATATAATGCAATTTATCAAGCAACATGCAACCTTTCCTTTACAACATATCCAAAAAGAGGAACTTTAATAAACTTGATTGTGTCAAAGGTGTGTATTTGTCTTCCATTTCTGAACTGAAAATGACGGTCACTCTATTCACCATGATGAAGAGAACCCAAATCCATTCTACTTGTCGAACAGTTGGAATGATCATATGATGCTTCTGTTGCACTCAATGCTCGAATAGAGAGTCGATGTTTGAGCATCTTAATATGTAATAGCATCGATTCTGCTTGGTCAATTAACTGAGCACCTTGTGAAACAGTATTCCATAAACTGGTATTTCTCACATCTAGTTCTTTCGCATATAAAATTTTCCTATGCGAATCAATTCTTGCTTCTATTTGATGACTCGTTATCAACTTTGCAAGTTCATTTTGTAGATGATACACGTCAGTACAGAAAACTTTTGCCATTTCATCCAAATATACACAAGTATAAGGCATGACATATTGAGCAAGTGCTTTGTCACGAATCAACTCCATCACCGTATCAACTAGAGAATAAAAATACAAATCCAACCTCCAATCAGGTTCCATTCGTTGTAAGCGTTCAAAGAATTTTCCATAGCGACAAAAATAAAAATCATTGATCAACTCCCGAACATTGGGAGTAAGTTCTAGAAATTCTTTAAACGCTTTGTTATCCAAAAGTTTATGTTTCAACTCTTTCCTATCAAAAGTGGCCAAAGCACATATAGCTCCCAACGTACTCACATCTTCGGGAGCCAACATTTCATTGAAACTATCTTGCAACGCAAAAGAAACTTGTAAAAACCGTTCTGCCGCAGCTTTTAACTTTCTCTTTGATAAAAGAGCCAAACCTAAAGCACACTGCAATTTCGCTTGTGTTTTCTACAATCCTATTCATCACGGTTGAAACCTTTACACAGCTTGTTACTTACCTCATCGTTTGCTATTTCTGGAGTCTGTTCTGCTTTTTGAACATAACTTTCTACCAATGAAAAGTTGCCTAAAATGATAGCACACTGGATGATCTTCAAACACATATCCGTAATTTGTTGAGAGCTAACACAATAGTCTCTCATCTTCAAGTAGTTGCGCAATGCCTCTTCCAAGTTACCTTTAGAATATTGAAAGTCTCCGAGGTCTCCATATGCCATTCGAATGCTATCCTTGATCATATTATGTCTGTATCTCTGTAACTCGGTTTCCAATCTTTCCACTTCTTTGGAATCTTCTCTCACCACAGTCGTCTCCCATTCATCTTGAAGAATGCTGACTTGACCTGTTTCTTTCAACTTTTCTAATAACCGTTTATACAACTGTACGTCCCTTGTTTCTGCTTTGGTTTCATCCAATGCCAACAATAGGGCTTCCTTTCGTAGTTGCACACTATGAGAGGCAATATGTAGCAGTCTCAATATCTTTCCACGACCATAATATCTTGAAGCATAAGTATCCAAGTCGGAACTAGGTTGAGGTTCCATAGTCACACTTTTTCAATACAACCAAATGTTCGATACAATAACAATTCAGTTACGTCGTCTTCTCCCAGAAATGAAGAAGATACAATGGATATTCATCATGTTTCTAGTTGCTTTATATTGGCAAAAAGTAAAAAGAGCTTGTTGAGAAAACTTGGTTCCATACTTAAAGTTTATTTAGGCTGCACCGTTTGACTTTGTATACGAACCTACTTGGAATCCCGAAGTAAGTAGATGAAGGAAACTGGACAACTTTTCCAATACGAGTTGTGTGTGGTTAGGACTTTTGTTTCTATGAAGAAATAGAGAGAGGAGGTGTTTTAACTGGCAATTTTCACGTGTTGGATCCCGAAGATTCTCGTATAGATGTGGAGGTAATGAGTGTGTTGTTGTATCTAATTACAAAGTTAAGTTAGCATAGTTGTTTAAAGTGAATCCTCAAGGACCTCCCGAGTTGAAGTGGGATTCAAGAGGTGTCCAACGAGGTCGCATATCTTATAAAGCGGAAGAGGGTGGCTCATACAAGGTTTGTTTTCGTAGTGGAGATATTACGTAAGTTGTTCTTTGTTGGTTGCATTCCATCGACACAAGTTGTTTTCAGAACGAGTCGTTTAGTCAGTTATGTGGCGAAAACTGGGTTTGAAGGCACGGTAGAAGTGGAAGCTATGAATGCTTTACAAGTTGGTAAGCAAAAGAAACATAAATGCTTTGTTTCGTCTGAATATCGGAAAAGGACAAATCGAGAAAACTTATGAAGGACTTACTAGTTTACAGCGTGAATTGGATAGTGCGTTGGCTAGTCAATATTACTTGAGAACGTAAGTGTATGTTGCAACATGAAATGGGAATGGCATTGAGGATAGCCCAGTCGTCTATTGAGACATGAAAAGACTATTATTTCTACCAACAGAGCAGTTTTGGTGTTTTTGTTGCTCAAAACGTTATTTGTTGCTTCACTGGTCGCTGTAAAATTGTATTTTGTGAAGCGCTTATTTGATGATCCGAAGAGAATTCGTATGCGTGTTTAAAGTAGTTGATTTCAATCATGTGGTGTTTTGGTAACCTATTTGTGTTTTTCATAGTTTTGGAATGTGGATATGGAATAAAAGATATGTTTTGGAAAGATGAGAGATTGGTTTTCATGTGGTTCATCGATAAAATCTGAAAGTGTGTCACAGAAGAAATTGAAGACTATTTTGGCATGAACGCTGACACGTCCAAGTTATGGGCTCTCGGTGCATTGTCCGCGTCGCTTTGTTTGGTAACTTCTGTAGTAGCATATTTTACTTGGAACCATTTGCAGTCAAAGAATAGCAAGAAGATAACTCACAAAGAAACAAATAGGAAGAACAAAACCGGAAGGAAGAAAAAGAAGAAGAAGAAGACGAGTGGAGCCTCGAGTGCTTCCAACGAAAGCATCAACGACGATGGCAGTTATGTAACTAGGCAAGAAGAATATAATGCAGAAGACTCAGGCTGGACCCAAGTTCGTCCTCGAAGACGGAAATTCAAAGCAAAGGAATAGAGAAAAGTTGTCTCTTTAGGAAAATCTTAAACGACCGTTGAAGTTAAAACACACAAGAGAAAGCCTCTTTTGTGTAGATTGGACAACTAATAAAGTATTACATGAACACTTGAGTATGTGGAATGCATTGTGATAGGTAAATATTTCGATAAGCCTTTCGAAAATCATGCACAAAAATGGCTTGACCATCTGACAACATTTCTTAAAGTGCGTTGTGGTGAATTGAGGAATTCTCGGCTGTGAAGAAAATGTCAGGTTATGCGTTAGGTTTCGATTTGAGTACTCAGAGTAGGCATACAACGATTGAAACTAGTTATATGTTAACCATCTCTTAGGTTTGTCTGTTATTGTGATGGACTCTGACTGTGAGGTAGTACTGGAATATTCTTTGAATTTTGATCGAGATCTTCCACACTATCAAACAAAGGGTGGTGCTCATGCTGGTGAAAATGGACGTTTCACATCGCCAGCTCTAATGTTTGTGGAAGCTTTGGAAAAAGTCTTCGAACATCTCAAGGAAAGAATACCTTTGGATCAAGTTCGTTGCATAAGTGGTTCTGCTCAACAACACGGGAGTATGTATTGGAGACGTGGTGCTGTAGAATTGCTTCGTCACTTGAATCCCGAAGTTGGTATAGCACAACAGTTACAGACCGCCTTCTCAAGACAAGAATGTCCCATTTGGTAGGTTTTCGGTTATTTCGAGGATACTTGTTTGCTTATATTTGTGTAATAGGATGGACGCCAGTACAAGGAAACAGTGCAATTATTTGGAAACAATTTTAGGAGGACCAGAAATTGTGGCGGAGAAAACTGGCTCAAGAATATATCCAAGATATACTGCTGCTCAAATTCGAAAAATATATGAAGAGGAACCACAAATATATCAAGATACTGAACACATAAGTTTGATAAGTTCAGGAATGGCTTCCTTATTACTTGGAGAATATGCTGCAGAAGATGTCGCGGATGCTGCAGGTACAGGATTCTTTGAGTTACAATCAGATCCTCCCAAATGGTGGGACTTGGCAGTGGAACATACGGCACCTCTACTGAAGGACAAATTGGTTTCAGAACCAGTTTATAGTTATTGTCCTTTGGGTAAGATTCATACATACTTTGCAGAAAGATTTGGACTCGATAGAAAACATTGTTTCATTTTTCCATGGTCTGGAGATAACCCTAACAGTGCTGCTGGTCTCTTATTACAAGCAGAACGAGATTTAGCAGTTTCATTGGGTACCTCAGACACTGCATTTGCAATAACAAAGCAAATCAAGCCTAGAATAGAAGCCCATGTTTATCGCAGTCCGATGAAACCCTTGGAATTCATACCTTTGGTTTGTTATAGTAATGGTAGCTTGACACGTGAAGCTATCAAAGACATGGATAGCATGGAGCCAAGGACTTGGGAATCTTTCACCAATTCTCTTTTACAAACACCACCTGGAAACAATGGAATCTTGGGCTTCTATTATCGAGTTCCAGAAATACTACCAAGTGCAAAGCCTTGTACTCCCACATTTTTCAATATGGTTTGTTAGTTCGCATGTTATTGGAAAAGACTGACTTCTGGATGTAGGATATGAAACTCGTAGAAAATATAGACTATAATACCAAAGTTCGCGCAATAGTTGAAAGTCGATGTTTAGCGATTAAGATACATATGGATCGGTTCCAAGTGAAATACGACCGTGTTTGGGCTACTGGTGGAGCTTCCGAAAATGAAGGTTGGAAAAATCGTATGCATTGCAATTTCTGTTACTGAATTCCTCCCGTAGAAATCTTGCAGATACTTGCCGATGTTCTTCAGGCTCCAGTTCATCGAGTATTGTATTACAACAGCGCTTCTTTAGGAGCAGCTTACAGAGCATGGCATGGTAAAGCTTATGCTGACAATCCATCTAACTTGGAAGATTTTCACGACTTTATCCGATCCAAACAGCAGCTATCACCTAGCAACATATCTAAAAACCGGAAACTTGTTTGGCAACCGAATCCAGAAGCATCCCGTGTGTATCTCAAAATGTTTCCTATCTATGAAGATTTGGAGAAATCTTTCGAAACTCACTAAATCTCTAGGTTTTTCGAAAGATATCTGCAAAAAGTTCTACTTTACAATACACTACCTATTCAAGTTCTATAGTGAGACAGATCTATATGTATGCAATGGATAAAAAAAACTTACGTTAGGGACAGAAGGACTCTTGAAATGAGATACTAGTAAAAGTCCTTGTGCAAGTTGTGATAAAACTAGGCCTTGTTTTCTGCTTTTGGTAATAGCTAAACAAGAGCACTCGGTTACTTTTACAATGATGTATTTGCCTTGCTGGAACGAAATATGTTTCCATTCTATCAAGCTATTGGACGGTTGTGTGAATGAGAAAACGACACTTTCTAATACTTCGAACAGCATGTTTGCTTCTTTTGATATCAACAACGTGTTATCCGTGTCATACGGTGAAGCAAGGTTGTCCTCTTCCCGAGTAGAACGAAAAGAGTCTTTCAAGTCCCCATATGAAGCAACACAGTATCCAGGTTGCAATAATAAGGCAACTCCTGTAATACTAGTATGAGTTTGGCTATTGACAAGCTCGTATATTTTTCTGGACCATTCGACATCCAAGTCATCGCTAGTAACAGAAGACAAAGACATTGTTGTTACGCAAACCGAATTTTTCAAGACACGATGAATGAAATGCGCGCCCAAATCTTCCAAAGCATTTTTTCCCTTCCGTAGGACATAAGGAACAATATGAAAATCTTTGCCTTTTATACAAATCTCTATACGTTAATATTAGAATACATCAAGTACCTGGTTATTTGTAATACTATATATACTGTACGCAAAAACATACTACTAGTGACAATAGCAAAGTTAATCAATCATGGTTTCCAAAGGCTCAAACCAAATTGTGACTGGATATCCACCTCTTTAGGAGTTTCCTTGTTCTACTCCAGGCAAGCTCCATTTTTCCAAGGTCTTCAACTCTCTTTGTTGTTTCTCAAAGTCACGCTGTATTTGTAAAAGTTGCATTTCATTTTGTTGGAATAAATTTGTCTGCTCTTTTAAAACTCGTACCCAATCATTTGAAGAAGAACAATGTGGTAGCCACTGCTCCAGCGACATGGAAAGTTCTGCGACTCTGTGACGTGCAGTAACCAGTAAATGTACAATGCTTTGTATTTGTAAATCAAGTTCCATGATATTATCTACCATAGCATTGTTTCTTGCTTCATCTCGAGGCACACTCGACTCCGGTAATTGACTGGTATTCGATCTTAATGAGTTGTCATATAGAACTCTATCATCTGCAGACACTTCAACTGGTGAGTAATGTTCCGATATTGAATCATCTCGAGCGTTGGAATACAAATTCTGAAAAGGAAACTCATGAAACGAAGCGTTTGAATGAAAATGTCCCGTTTCTCTTTGTCTCCTTGCAGCGGCCTTTTTTAAGTTATTTCGATATTTTTGTAGATGGCTTTTGACATGTTCCGAAGTTAAGCCTTCAACATTCATTAAATACAAAATAGTTTTTGGGACTGCATTATTCACTCCAACAGCATTTACTGCTTTGAGAAATCGATCATGCAACTCGGGAGTCCATATCAAACGTTTCTTTAACGTTTTGCTTCCGTCAGCTGAACAAGACTTTTCTATAAAACTGTTGTTCAAATCATCACTAACTCTTTGAGAAAAATTACTTCCAAAGCGACCCGATTTTCTATGGTCTTGAAGTAAAATATCCTCAACAGGAATACGATGTCCAACGGGAGTTAGAGAAAGTTCTGTTGACGTTTTATCGTGAATTGATGCATTACGGTGTCTCAGTCGCTCCTCTACATTGGTCACTGTGGTTTGTTTGTCTTCAAATCCAGAAAAAGCTTCACTATCTTTCATACAAGAATGTGAAGTAGTATCGAATGGAAAAGCCTTTAAATGAGTTGATGAACTCTCACTTTCTGTATATTCCCATAATGGATGTCCATCACTAGCAAAAAAAGAGTTGTTTTTTGAAAATTCGTAGTCTACAAAATCTTGTGCTTGAGAGGATGGAGGTTGAACTGGAGGAGGCGGCAATATAGCATTCTCTCTAAAAGAACTCATACTAGGAATCATTGGCGAACCTACGAAGCGCGAGAATTGCGAAGGCTCTTTCTTCTCCGAAGTGCCTATCTTTTCGGAAGGCTCCAGGCTCTCCAGTGTACTTTGTATACCACCTGAATCGGTAAGAATGTGTCTACAAAGTTGTAGATATTGTGTATCCACTAAGAATGACGAAGGGAAACCAAACTGTTGAAGCTCTCTCCAGTATTCACTATCCAGACTCAACTGTTCCCTTTGTTTATCCTCCCTTTCAGTCGAAGTGTCGGAGTGAAAGGCTGGAAACTCTGTAAAACGACCGTTCTTTGAGTTGGCGTTGGGACTCTTTTCCAAATTCTCTTCCAAAAAGGAAACATCTGCTATATTATTATCTACGGACTTTAATAGAAGGGATTCTTCTTCTTCTGTATTATTATTATTCTTATTATCATCGCAATTATTTCGAGTACACGTTGGAAGACTTTCTCCCGAAGTGTTGCTTTCCATTACTTTCCTGGAAAGTAACGACGTTCAAGTAGTTTGTCAAAAGAAAATCATAAGTGAAAAACGATTTCCTTTTTTGTGTTCAAGTCTCAATCTATTCACTATCCACATTCAAGTAGCCATACATGAGAGGACTTTTTACGACAAAGCATGCGCGACACCGCTTCCTCCCCACATGAGAATCTTTTCAGAATCCGCTACGAATCCTTTAGATTCTGTTGTGCTCATTGGTCAGCAACGACGTTTGAAAGAGAGCCAATTTTGTCTAACAAATACTGAAACTATCAAGTTGTATTGTTGATAAGTGACAATCCTTGAATTTGGTCTTTGATTCATAGTATCTCCATTGTATAAACCTTGGTATTTTTTCACAAAAAAATCACAAAGTATATATGTATTACTCAGTTTGTTTGTAAAGTTTACTTTGTCTCTCACTCAACAGATTCCTGACGATTCAACTACTCTAGTCGCTAGTGGTTCTTTTTCCTAAACAACTGTTTCACTTCCATAAATAGTTTTTGAGAAATACTGAAAAAAGTTCAATCTTTATATATCCATCTACACTTTTAAAATGAGTTGTCCTTTACATCGTCCACATCTTTGACGACAAGTATCGATAGACTTACTATGTCGTCCATATTGTAAACCGCAACTCTGACAAAAATAAATATATTTATAAACAATATTATACGAATGTTTCACGTTGACCTGGACGAATGGTAAGGTCTTTTTGAATTCCTCGGACCACCTTTGAAACTCCCTACCTATGAAATGTTTACAAGTCATGCACATCTACTCCTTTACTTACCATGAGGAGGTTTGGCAACTCCATCGATAATCCATTGTGCTGCGTGACACATTTCGTGTGCCAAGGTACTCAACAATCTCTCTCCACGATCCACCACTTTGATAGAAATTTGAATACTGACAGTTCTCTCCATTTGGTTATTATCTAGTCGCTTATTTTGAAAACAAGTCCTTCCAGCTGTCGTATTTAGTGTCTTTGACCAACAAGTACTGACCAACGTCTCCTTTAGTTGCTTAGAAAACACCTTTGAAACTATAAAATAAACAATCTTCTATCAACAGACTGGACTTACTCTTTCATTATAAAAATTATATAATTGTTTCAACAAATCTTCTCTATTTTTCTTAAACTTTCGAAGGACAACCACTTCTTCCGTATTCTGCAGTCCTCGGACACAATAAGGAGTTATGAAACTTGGAGGACTATTCGACACTTCTTCCAAGTGTTGCAAATACTGGGTGCTGTTCCTTGTAACGGTCTCTTTCTTCTCTACACTCTTGGATTGACTATCGGAAATAGAAAGAGACTTGGTCGATTGCAAGATTATTTCCCAATCCAAGTTGCTGTTGCTTTCATTCTTGAGTTTGTTTTCGTCCCGGATGCCTTTTCTATAAGCAAGACTTTGAGGGGAGTGTAGATAAAACAGATTGGTATTTGAAAACTTTTTTCCCCACTTTTGAGCAACTCTTGAAGAAAGACTAGTATCTGTCCACGACTCTAAGTTATTCTCTTTGTCTTGCTGAGCATCTTTCATTGTGGTCATATGTAACGGTATGTTTCGGATTTTCCCAAAATGAATCGCATATACGCTATTTCAACTCCATCTTTTCGCAAAACGATAAAATTCAATCAAACTCAAAACCACTTCATTTCCACCAAGTCCAACAGACAAAGGGAGATATTCCATCTTTGCTTGGCCATCCTGTTCAAGGTTTCGCACCTCTCTGTGGCAGACATTGTCTCTTGTCTGTGATGCCTGCTATTAGGACTCAAGTGAAAACAGCATTACCAGACCTTCAAACCTGGTTATTCTATTCGACCAAACTATGTTTTTATGTCATTACCTTTAGTAAGTATTCACTGATTGTCCCCTGTTCCAGGATTCCAACTTTTTGTTCGGTTAGTATTCTCAGTAGTCGTCGATGCCCTAGTTAGTAACGCCGAATTCAATATTTTTGATAAAAGTTATCCACATATATCTGGTGACTTTTGTGCTTATAAGGCTTCCACCGTTTCACCTGCTGGAGTGACAGCTATCTGCAAGTACCTCATAGCTGTTGGTGCAATAGGTCTAGTGGTTTCTTTGGGATTCATTGCTTTCAGTTTATGGACATTGTTTGCCAATCGTATTCAAAAATTGTGGGTGTTGGAGGCGCTTTTGAATCTCTTTTGGATGGTTTGGTGGTAAGAGATGAAGAGACAGATAGTTCACCGTTCAATCATACTTCACTATGGAATAGGTTTATTGCGGCTGGTGTGGAAACTTCTGCCAGGCCTTCGACAGGAATACTTGACTCTGCAAATAACCGTTCAGCTATCAATGGTGTGGAAGCAGTGTCTTGGGTGAATGCTGTTTTATTTTTATTCAACGCTATGCTTTGTTTTGCTGTTTATTGGTCGGCAGAAACAGGGTTTTGGATTCCAACGGTTGAAGACTATCATCATGCCGTCGCATATGAAGAAATGAATGAAAAATTGGTAGAACAACGAAAACTTGATCAGGAGCGTAGCGATGATTGGATTAATAATAAGCCAGTAGAAAAAATTTCCATCAATGAATAGAAACGAATCATTATATACATTCTAAATAGAATACGATAAGTTGTTTGTGAGTGATTGACATTTGTGATTGAATGAATGACATTTTGCATATGTTCAACAAATATATGGAGATGAGTTTTATGAAAATGATACTTTCTTTTGAACCAAAGTTGTAAGAGCTCAGCCCATAATAACAGAACAAGAGTATGATGCTCATTTGAAATCTTATTTTGTTGGGAGGAATTGGTGTGCTCAAGAGAGTTGTTGTAGATCTCTCTTTATGGCAGCTTTTGTATCTTTTTGTTCTTTGATGAGCAGCAAGAAACAGTTTCGTTCTTCATTTACTTGCTCCCAAAGGTACACCTGCTCCTCCAGTGCAAGAGTTGCACCAGCAGTTACCGATACTTTTCAACGCCAAGTCATTTCTATGAGGAGTAGAAGGGACCTCAAAAAAGAGAAGAAGTTACGTAACTTGGAGTTTGCTAAGCTTCACCGCAAAAGAAAGGAACGTAAGAGGAAGGTGGATCAAGAGACGTTGCGGGTGATGGACGATAATACGTTCATCAAAGAAGTCTTTTCAGCGGAAGAAAATACCAGTGATTGAGATATTTACACACATACATAAAGAGTGTGTGTGTCATTTCAATATGGGGGTGAAGAAGAATAGTCAAGTATACTTTTGAATGGAATAATAAAGTAACAGAGACTGTTGTGAAGATGGGATAGATATAAATGAAAGATAGCTCATTTATATAGTTGGACTATGTTTTGTAATGCACCTATTGAATACCTTTTATATATACATATCCATAGAATGGACACAAACAGACATAAAGTACAGAGCCCAATACAAAATAGAAAAAGCGTCGGAGCATTTATCATAATGGATGGATGAAAAGTCAAAGACAAATGACTAGAAAACCTTGGGCATCTGTCAACTTGCCTAGTGCAGTAGATATTGTGGAAAGGAAACCAGAAACGAGAGAATGGTATGCTTGTGTTTCCATAGAAAAAGTTCTTTCTTTTATTGTTTGTCTAGTTGGAAGGAGTTGTTGAAAACCCTATTTGAGAGGCAATCTAAGAAACCTTATCGTTCCCAGTTGTTGGGTCCCCTTTCTCAACTCTATGTCCAAGGTAACTGAAATTGGCAAATATTATGTTCTGTTAACAATTTATGAAAATAAAGGATTCGAAGTGGAACAACTTTGGGAACAGTTGCAGTTGAGAAACCGACCATTGTTACGGTTTGTAGTCAAAAAGTTACAACAATTGGAATTGCAGAAAAAGGAAACTATAAAAGAAGATGAGCAAACACGCAATACAAGACAAAAGGAAGAAACACTGGATGAGATGGACGTCATGGAAGACGACCTTGTTTCCGATGAAGGGACGCAAGATATCGAAAAAGTCAAAGAGTTGAACGACGCTCAGTTATCCAAACAAGAGGTCGACAACGATGAAGAAGATAGTAAGACTACTAATAGCAAGTTGTGTTCTTATTTGACTTGTATGTATAGAATTTTTTAGTTACGATGCAATGGCTAAAGCAGCAGATAGAGATGAACCCTATGATGAGGAAGATAATATGAATGATGAGGAAGAAGACTTGTGGCAAGAAGAGTTGTATAATGAAACGGGAGGAGAAACTGAGGAACAGGAATATCATTATGAAAAGTTTTTTGATCATTCCACTGCTTTAGATACAAGCAATAAGAACAAGAACAGCAATTCAGTCGACCCACTAGAAGAGAGAATTAAGCAGTTGGAAGAGAAACAAATAGGAAACAAACATTGGTCCATGTTGGGAGAAGTTAGAGCCTCACAACGTCCAGTAAATAGTGCGTTGGATATCGAAATAGATTTCGATAGCGCAATGAGACGTACAAAGACTGACTCAAATGATGGTGAAGATGATGCTATGAATACTTTAGAAGAGAGGATTAAACACAGAATTGCTGAGTCAGCTTACGATGATGTTATTCGTATAAAGCCTCCTGAAACCTCAAAACCTACAGTTTTAGAATTATCACAAGAGAAGGACAGAAGAGGATTGAGCGAAGTATATGAAGAAGAATATCTCTTACATACGCAAGGAAGCCAAGTCAAAAAACAGGATAAGAGACATGACGAAATTGATCAATTATTTCAGGAACTTACAACTAAGTTGGATGCTTTGAGCAACTTTCATTATACTCCTCGTCCTGCTCCTCCTGAACTTAAAGTTATTCCTTCTAATCTTCCTTCCATTGTAGCTGAAGAAGCAGTTCCAGAGGTTTTGGGTGATGGGGAATTGTTGGCACCAGAACAGATATACAAACCTTCATCTAATCAAGATAGTGAAAATGCAAAGCAAATGACTTCACAAGACCGCAAGAGATGGAGAAGAAAGAGAAAGCGTGCTGGGAGACGAGCCAAGTTACGTAAACAATGGGAAGCCAAAGTTGCTTATCAAGACCACGGAGCATCGATGAAACAACAAAGAAAAGATGCAATGAAGACGTTGGAAACACTGAAGCACGCAACAAACCGGATTCAGATTTACAATAAGACTGGCAACAACAAGATAGGCGAGAAAATACAAAACAAGAAGAAGGAACAAAAAATGGTTGGACACAAGCTTCAGTCGTCATCTTTGAAATTGTAGGAAGATATATATATATATATATATATATGTGTGTGTGTGTGTGTGTGTGTGTGAATGAATGTGTATGAAAGACTGCATATCCTGAGTGTTCATACACCAAATGCTTATCACCAGTCAGAATAAAAGAACAAAACAACGAGTTTAGGCTTCCAACATTTGCCTTGTGTTTATAAAAAACAAATTCTCCAACTATACCTTCTTAGGCTTTCTCTTAAAACCGCGACTTGGTCGTCGTCCACGTGCTCTTTCCAATTTCCTTTCCTTGTTTCGTACATAAGGCTTCACGTGACCTTCGACAGCAACACCTTCAAAGTGTTTGTAAACTTCGCGAGCATGTTTTGGACCTCTTAAAAGGAAGCAATTGGAACCTTTGGGTGAACGAAGTGCAAGTTGATCAAAAGTCAAAACTTCGCCTCCTGCCTTCTGAATGCGTGCTCTTGCACTGTCTGAAATCTTCAAACAACAGACCGTCATCTTAGGAACTTCATAAAGCCTTTCATCATCTAAGACTTTACCAACAATAACAATGATTTTGTCAGAGTTCTTGCGAGACAGTTTCACCAATCTTCCTAAACAAAGCGGTGGTTGATTATTACGTGACATGAAAAGTCTCTTCAACACTGTTTTGTTAAAATTGGAATTGGTTCTGCGAGCGAGGAACCTATAGAGTTTTACCAATAAAAGCAAGTATGGATTCTCCGACTTGGGTGCGGTTCTATTGCGCTTCTTGATGCGACCACCCTTCTCAAGATCAATACCCTGAAAAAAATTTAGTTGGATACTACTGGAAAAATACTAGTTGTGGTATTACCATGGCGACTTAGTAAAGATGGAAGAAAGATCTTGTGTTTCTTTCCACCAAACACAGCGACGGCGAATCAATGAAATATCAAATTGATGTATAACACTTGAAAAGAGGTCCGATAGGATTTACTCCAAAAAATGTGGTTATTTGTTTCTTCACAAACGGAGGTTAGTTTTTTTTAGTTGGTTACCTATCGTTGTATTTGAACCAACCTAGTCTTCAACTAACTTGAACTAGCGACTCGTATTATGAAGCTATCTTTGTAGTCAACGCAATAAGAAACTCAAGATTGATGGGGACAACAAATAATAGAGTTGTTGATTTGGTATAAGAAATGCACATTAGAGAGTTTTTATGCCTCATTCGTGCTTGTAGTCAACAAATTCCATCCCTTGTACAAACATTTTGATGATAATCACGGCTGGACCTCAGCTATGAAGAGAGAACTCAATTTGTAATAGTAGTTAATGTTGAGATAGTTTATCGTTGAATGGATGGACATGAAACACTTAATCATGTTCCTTTAGCCACTTGACTCCAACAAGTCATTGGGATTGTGATCGACACTCCTAATGCGCATTTTTCTCAGAGTTGGCGACACTGAGCGCCAAAAGTTTCTGTGAATATGCCTTCCGTTCCAAAGCTACCAGCACTTATTGTAGCTGCACAAACGGCTCTTCCAAACGATGAAAAATGTATTGCTGCTGTATCCGTGTACAAGCTGGAGATGTTACCCAACGGTCCAACAAGTACTAGCAACGGGGTTCTTTCACGTGCAAAGAAGGCAGGAAAAGACAAGCTTCGTTGTTTGGCTGTGTGTGAACGAGTAAAATCAAAACGAAGAAGAATTGTCAAACTATCCGACCCGTGCCTCAAGTCTTTGACGGTGATTCGTTCTTGGAAGTTGGACGAACTGCAAAAGATTGACGGCATGGAAACGGGAAGTAATAGTAACCTACGTTTCACTATGATCTTTGGTGAAAAGCTATTTGCTTTTGAATCCAAGTAAGTTCATTTACATTTGCTCAAGAACTCGTAGTCAATAATATGCTATTCAGGTATACCACAGATAGGGCAAAATTTCTTTGGACAGTTATAGAAAGTTATTCGGCACTCAAAGGAAGACCACCAAAACTAGAAAACCTTGCTCTTACGGTTGGTATAGTTTTCTTGATGCAAGGACGATATGATAAACTCTTTGAGTCAGAAATTAGAAGAAGCGTCTCGAGAAACTAATAATACAACACAACCAAATACCCCGTTAACTGGCTCTCAAAGGTCAGTTTCAGAATCCGATTTGCAACACAAAACTACCGGAGTTAGCTCTGCGGAGGTGAACTCTCCTCATGATTCGCAACAGACCATAGAGAGTACCGACTCATCCGTCTGGACATCGTCACCCGCTACTGCAGATAAGAAAAAGTCTGAAAAAGGAAGCACCGAAAAGGCAACTTCTTCAGTTGTAGAAGAAACGAGGGGTGTTGTCTCACCAGTTGCTGGAAACAGTAACTTCAACTTGTCGGAGGAAGAAATTGCTGATATCTTACAGCTTCTGGACAATGTGAACCTTGCCAACTTTGATCCTTCTATGTTAGCGGAGAAGATACAAGACGAAGCCAGGGTTTTGGAGGATGCTACAATATCCAGTTTAATAACTGCAAGCTCAAACAAAGTCGGCATATCTCAATCCCTCGATCTCCTTTTGGCACATGTGAAAGAGTTGGAAGACTGGTTCAATACAACAGATGATCGTCTTCAGCCTATTTTTTCTGAAGCTTTGGAATTGCATCATTTTCTTGTTGAAATGGACACTTTGAACACGAATTTAACCAATCTCAAGTCTCAGATCGAGGAGTTAATTGACATGGTATTTGTTTCTAAGGATGAAGAAAATATTCTCAAGTCACCCTCATTATCAGACGACAGATTTATTATCGAACAATTAACTCCGGCAGTTCGGGTTCTTTCAGAAAAGCTTCATGAGCAGAACGTAATAAACTCGCTGTCTGACTTACGTGCTGTCTTTGAAGGGAAAAAGAAACTTGAAGAAATTCGACGTTTCTTATGTAAAAATTTGCAAGATAGTTTGGTTGTAAAGACTAGAAATGTTTTGAACAGAGGAGCGCTGAGTCGTCGAGTGATTCTTGGTGGTGGATTGAGTTCTGATGTTTTCCGATCATTTTCAGCAGGTTTATATTGTATGGCAACATTGGATGAGTCGGAATGGAAAAGATTTATTGAAAAGTTTGTTCAAGTTGCCAAAGAGTCCTCTGTTGTAGCTCGTGAGGCACCGGAAACATTTCGATCTACTGTCAATGCTGTTGATCAAAAGGACAACTCTGTTGCCTATATGCAACGGCAGCTTCGAACTGGCATTTTGGCTGTAGGAAACTCCTTATGTAGTGAATTTCACTGTATTTATTCTCTTTTTTATGATTCTTGTGTTCATCTTGATCACGATACAAATGAAGTTGCTTCGAATATTGTCGAACAGGAATGCAATCATTTGTCGGAAGCTGTAGTGGAGTTTATCGATTACTGTATATATTACAATGTAAGAAATGGCAGCGATATTGACTTGAAAGGTTTTGAGTGGACATTCTATTTGGCTGCTTTTGCAGAGTTGTATTTTTTATCAGCAGTTATGAGTTCCTATTCCGATTTTGCATCGCTGCAACGCTCCCTTGAAGTGAATGCAAATGTTAAAGAAGAAACTGCCGATCAACAAACAAGTGGAATACAAGGAAGTCTTGTAACAGATACTGAAATTGAAGACCTAGAGAGACCGTTGAACCTTTTTTCTGTAGATGAAGAATCAGACTCGCCAACCGCAAACAGCGAAACCAATTCTACAACTGCAATACCACGTGTAGATAACATGGGCTTCTTACGCCGACTCATGGACAATCTGAGTCAACTTTGTAAAAAGAGTTTCGGAACAGAAGCAGATCGCTTTAGGAAAGAATGCTTGAAGGATATCACCAAGAAAGATTATTTGGAGTCAAAGGAACTTGATGATTGTTTAAGTAGTTTGGAAAGTTTGATAAATTGCATTCAAGCCTGTTGCCGTTTAATTGATGCATTTTCTTTTTCCTTTTCTTCTCGTTTGTTGCAATCAGCTGCTGAAAATGCTCGGCGAGAATCTCGAGTAATAGTGCAAAGTTATTCGTCTCAAATATTCCTCAGTATTTTGTCTCTTACGGGAAGTGGAGCAAAGCAAATAATTGATTCAGTTACTCTTGTTCTTTTACAACGTATTGCGAAACGGTAAGTGATTGAATAGGCGCTTTTGTCCTGTGTTTAGTTGGTTTCCGAATAATAGTGTCCAGTTGATGAATGATGAGTTAATCTTAGAACAAGCTCGTGATTTTGTTAACCGAACAGAAGAAATGAAAGCCAAATATGCGAGTCAGTTGGTTTACAGACATCTCGAAAAGCTCTCAGATGCCGCAGTCAAGGGAAGTATTAACAACTGTAGCTTACTGGATGAGCCTGTGGGAAAAGTTGCTACTCGTCTGTATCGAACAATGTGTAGAGAAATTGTGGATATATCTTTACGGGATGATATATGGTCCGAATTGAAGAGCACTGTTGCAGTAAGTAACAAATACTTCTTCCTCGTGAAGAATTTAACTTGTTGAAAGAACTTTCTTAAAGAACTAGCGAACATTTTGGGAACGAATGGAAACCAGAAAGCGGCTCAAGAACTGCTGCAGTGGCGCCGTCAACTGAGTTCAGAAATGAGCACTCTGTAAAGTTGTCTTGAAATTAATGTTTTCCTTCAAAATCCTTTCAAAATTGACATATTCAGAGAGGTTACAACTTTAGCTTTCTCTCAAACACGGCAAGGGAATCTGTCTCGACAATGTCGTCTCTTTCCTCTGGTGGAGACAAAACGTCTTCAAAAGTTATTTCCTCGTCTCTTCCAAGTATCGTGTCTAGTCCAGGTTGAGTCGTTTGAAAACCCGGTAGTTTATGAAACTGTTTCAAAATACGGCGTTCAATATCTATTCTCAACGGTACTTGACTCCCCAACGCCAAAGCTACTAACTTGTGGCGTGTATACAGTTCTTCTTCAAAACTCTAACACCCTACTGAATAGCACATATGGAAAACCACTCACTTTTCTTACCTTTTCTTGAACTTGTTCTACTGGATGTTTGGTCTTTAAACAGTCTGGTTTGGTAAACTGTTTTCCTTGTAGCCAAGTATGGTCCATTTGTGACAAGTGTCGCGCATCCCAATGATCCATCAACTACAAATGATTGATCATTGGTATGTGACTTGAATTTTATTACAAGTTGCAACGTTCTCGAAATTCTTCAATCATCAAACTCAATCCATCACGTAATCGAACCTTTGGTTGCCAATTCAATAAGTTTTTGGCCTATCATAGCAAATCAACCAATGGCTTAAAATTATATCCTTTCCTATCATTCTTACCTTGGTAATATCTGGTTGTCTTCTAGTTGGATCATCAGGTGTAGCTGCCATATGTACTATCTCAAGGTTAGGATTTACCATTTCACGGACTATGTGTGCTAAAGACTCTACGGTAAACTCTTCCGGATTACCTAAATTCAGCGGACCAGCATGTTCGGAATTCATCATACGAATCATTCCATCCACTAAATCCGAAACATAACAAAATGAACGAGTCTGTTTACCATCTCCATACAATGTCAAAGGCTTTCCTTCGAGTGCCTGTGTCACAAAGTTGGACACAACTCGTCCATCGTTTTCAACCATTCGAGGTCCGTAAGTATTGAATATTCGCACAATACGGACTTCCACACCATGTTGTCGTGAATAATCCTATTCATACAAATAAGAGACTTGACAAAACAAAAGAAATATTTCAATTACCATCGTCAACGTTTCTGCTACACGTTTCCCTTCATCATAACAACTTCTCAAACCACAGGGATTCACATTACCCCAGTACTCTTCTGACTGTGGATGAACCTGAGGATCTCCATAGACTTCAGAAGTAGAAGCCAATAAAAAATGAGCTCCAACGCGTTTCGCTAAACCCAACATATTCATAGTTCCCAATACATTAGTCTTTACGGTTTTAATAGCGTTGTACTTGTAATGGACTGGAGACGCAGGACAGGCAAGATGATATATTTGGTCTACTTCTGCTTGATAAGGTAAGGTGACATCGTGACGAACAAACTCAAACTTGGGATTATTAAGCCACCTCAAAATGTTGCTTTTCTTTCCAGTGAAAAGACTGTCTACCACAATAACTTCATTGCCTTCTTCCATAAGGCGATCGACCAAGTGTGAACCAATGAAACCTGCTCCACCAGTGACTAATATACGCTTGTGATGACTGGGACGATTAGGAGCATAATAGCCGCGCCTTTCAGCAACAACAAGTCAGTACGACAAAAAACAAGTATTGCCATTGACTAACCACTTTGCTAAGTGATCATGGTTTAGAGGGTCAGGTTCCAAAGAGGGTTCAACATGAGAAGAAGGCATACTCAACCTGCCTTGTATAATGGAAGAATCCCGCCAAAAAATGCTTTTTAACAAATTCACAAAATGGAATCATACACAACATTTTATTCTGGTTTCAAAGCCAATAATTCGAAATCATATTCTTCAAAGAGAAGTAGGACAAGGTAGGGCAGTCGGTGAGACATATTTCACACCCGATTCTGACACGTTACTCTTAGTATAAGAATAAGAATTGCCGATTGTAGGACTGAGATATCCCGCATTCTTAATGACCGTCACAGCATTAGACACCGAGCTGACTAAGACTGGAGAGAATGCTCTATCGTCTGCCGGAATGAGGTTTCCAATGACTCTGCCTAAAACTCTGTGTTCTCCTTCTACTATGGCTACTTGAGCTGCTACTTGAGCAGCATCCGATTGATTTTGAATGGATAATTCCTTCACAGCAGCCAAGTATGCCGAGTCGAAATATCCTTCGATTTGCTGTTGAGTTTCAATGAAAGTGGTCAAGTCATGGAATGTCTTTGAGCCATTGGGAAAGCTAAATGTACTTGCCATCGACACTCCACCTAAACTTGCCCAATAAGACTCATGGAGTTGTTCTTCTTCCAATGCTGCAGCAATATAAGCAAGATTGGCACCCACTAGGCCAAGTTGGGCAGCATTCTTATATCCATTACTGTAGAAAGTAACCGCTAGTTGTTCCGCCGTTCTTGCAATATCTATGATATCCTTCACTGGAGTAACACAATTGCTTTGTGCGGATATCAGCATAGTAATATGACATAGAAAAATAAAAGCAAGTATACCGCCTTTGCTCATGATATGAAACAAATCAACAACTGTGGGAAAAGAGTGAAGAGACAACTTCCGTATTTGAAGAGTCCATGGAAGCTTCGTCTGTCAAACTGCACACGGACCAAATGGCTTCGACAACAATCATACCATGTGGTTCCATTTTCAATTTGAAATGATCGATGAGAGTTTCTTCTTTTCCCTTAGCGAATGTGCGTTTCCATGAAGAAATTTGGCAATAGCCCCCACCCAAAATTTCCCTCATCTACTCTCCACCCACCACATGGTCGGTCACAATGTAAAGGAATGGGTCTCTTTGCAACTAAGCATAGATTGAAAGAGATTTTATGTTCAAGATTCTTTTGTTACATGACCCAGAAAAGCATGTCCACATAGAGAGAGAGGAAGGGAGCACGTTCAGCATCCTTCTATCTAAATATTTGACATAACTTTCCTCTTGCAATAAAACAAAAAATGGAATCTAATAACAATTTGCTTTTTGTCTCCATATTTTACCGAAAAAATTCAAATACAAATGAGAAAGTCTCTTTGTCACGTTGTAATATCCTTTTGCTTTTGCATTTTTTTTCTCAAATGACACATTTTGCGCCATTTTTATTCAAAATTTGATGAGACTGTGCCATAAACGATTCCAAACCTGTGTTGGTTGATGACGAGTTCCAAGGTAAGGATTGACCACACTTAGTAACGCGTGCTGTGTGTTCAAGAACATGAATAGAGCACCAAAAGCAACGACAAAGTTCAAATTACCAAAGAACAAGAGGAAGAGTTCCGTGAAGCTTTTACTTTATTTGATAAAGATGGGGATGGTAAGGCTCCTCCTCCCAGTTGTGTGGGCGTGACGAGAAACCACTACTAGGCAACATCACCGTAAAAGAACTCGGTACAGTTGTTCGTTCGTTGGGCCAAAGCCCTACTGAAGCAGAGTTGAGAGAAATGATAGCAGAGGTAGATAAGGACGGAAACGGTACTATTGATTTTCAAGGTTGTTTTATCTTTCGTTTGAAATAGAGGAAGAGAATACTGACATGTGCGAGCCTTTTAGAGTTTCTTGACTTGATGTCGAGGCATATGAGACAAGCAGACACCGAAGAAGAAATTCGAGAAGCGTTCAAAGTTTTTGACAAGGTGTGTGTGCAAGTCCTTAGAGACCCAGACCATTTTTGAAGTTTCTAATGACGTTGTAAACAGGATGGAAATGGCTATATTTCTGCTGCAGAGCTTCGTCATGTCATGACTAGCCTAGGAGAAAAACTTACCGATGAAGAGGTATTTGACTAGATAGTTAACGAATGTTTTGTTCTAATGCAGTTGCAAAGGTTGATGAAATGATACGAGAGGCCGATATGGATGGAGATGGTCAGATCAACTATCAGGAGTTTGTCAAGATGATGATGATTCGGTAGAGTGGAACATGATACATGTCTCGTACGCATTGAAAAGATTTACTGAAAGACAAACAACCAGTAAACGTTGTTTTTTTTGTATCTACAAATGAGTATCTAATTACTCATTCACCATGGCGAAGATGTTGAGAACGGCGATTATTGTCACCAAGTTGCTTACCTCTGGAACATTCAGAAAATGATTCTTCCAAAGAAAGAGCACCAGAATGACGGTTGTGCATTTTTCGAGTATAATTTGCTGGAAACAGACCATATTTCCCATGGAGTTGTCCCAACCACCAACCACTTGTGTCATATGCCACTACTTGAATATGATCACCCTTTCGGAAGGATAGCTCATCAGCTTCTTGTCCCTCAAAATTGTACAGAGCTATCATATAACTTCTTCCACAAGAGGTTTGTAAATGAAAATCCATATTTTTTCCTACGCTTCTACCAAGCGAGTTCGAGTCTTGCGTTTCTAACTCTTGGGAATCTCGAAAGGACTGGAACAACTCTTGTCACAACGAGAACGCCTGACACAAGAAAAACCTACCTTGCTGAAATTTGTTGTCGTAATCTGGTCCTCAGTTCCTCCTGATACAACCTTTCCTGTTGAAGACACTTCAGGTTGTGTGACACGATTTCTATCCAGCAAATACGTGACGATCTTCTGAAAGCCATCATACAGATTTCTTTGTACACCCAACAAGTCCCAACCAACTTCCGTTACTTCTTGGTCTCGTGACGTTTCCACGAAGACGTTCCTTCTCCAGTGAATAATTAATAGAACGTACGCAAAGTGGTTTACCTCTTGGCAAGTTCCAGCCTGCTTTCCACTCTGCTTAGACCGAACTGAGCGGCGTCCAGGTCAAGTATAACAGAAACAAACGCTTGTTGCTGCTGAAAGGTAAGGGATTCCACAAAATGACTTAAACTTTCGTGTACTTTTTGTAGCACTTGTAACAAATATAGTGCATTTTTTTGGAGCTCGGTAGAATTTCTTTGCATGAAAAGGGTCGATACAATTCATCGTTCATTGATTTCCTCAATTTTTATTCACAACAGGTAGTGGAAAGTTTTCTTTGTTGGTAAAGCTATTGACATATTCACTACGTATTTCATCAAAAAATGGATGCTGCAGAGCATCGGATGCGGTAATCCTTTTCGCAGGGTCTAGATGAAGCATTTGAGTTAATAGATCACAGCCATCCTTTCCTAGTTGAGGAATAATCTAAACCCATGAATTCTTCAAAAAAGTAAGAAAGTAGTGAAGAAACATACTTTATAAATCTCTGTTGGTTTCCACTGAGGAAAGTCATGCCAATCTCTGAGCGTTTCTACGTTGGGCCAAGTCTCATTCGATGGAGTTCCCATTATCCTAAGATCAGTCATACTCACTTCGACGATAATACAAGACAAAATGTACCTGAAAATGGCCAATAATTGCTCAATTTCACTTTCGCCACAAAACAATGGTCTCCCAGTTACCATCTCAGCTACAATGCAACCAATACTCCAAATGTCGATAGGAGTAGAATAGCATTTGGAGCCTAAAAGAATTTCTGGTGCACGATACCAAAGAGTTACCACCTCATGAGTGTATTTTCCAATGGGAATACTAAAGGAACGTCCAAGTCCGAAATCTGCCAGTTTAATGATCTCATCTTTGGAGACCAACAGATTCTGAGGTTTTAAGTCACGATGCATCACACCATGTGAGTGACAATGTTCAATTCCTAATAGTATCTGGTAGGCAAAGTGCTACACAAAAGAAATGGCAACAGCAGCATGAGATAATGACCAAAAAAATCTTCGACAAACGCACCATAGCTTGTTTCTTATCAAGTCCTGTACCTCTACCCTTCTTAGAAATCATATAGTGCTTGAGATCGTGTTCCAAGTATTCGAAAACCAAGTATAATACGGGCTTGCCATTTCTGGAAGCTGTATGTAGCACGTCAGAAAGCCTTGATCAATCAAGAAAAGATTATTGCGACCTTTCCTCTTAAATATCACTGCTTACTTTACAATGTATGGACACTCTGAAAGTGCTCTTAAGATGGATACTTCTCTCAAAGTGGTGGCGGGGACCCCTTCGTCTTCGTTAACCAGAAGGGTTTTTTTCAGTGCAACAATTTCGTTGGTTCTAATATCTTGAGCTTTGTACACCTTTCCATAAGTACCTTCTCCTAACACTTCGGTCTTTTTATAATTTTCCATATGGTGGCGTTTGTGACACAAGTAGCGAATACTTTTCCACCAAAGTAGGAATTTCAGCGGGACAAAATGGATAGGGAAAGCAAGATGTCTTTGAAAATTCAAATTTGAAAATCTTCTCTTGGCCACGCTCATCATGTGTCATAATGAAAATTTATTTCTATCGCCTCCAAAATGAGAGCGCCATTTGCAAAGAAGCACCTTCTGCATTTCTTTTCAAGTCTCTCAATACCACTTTGGAGCAATTTCTTCCAGGAGCACCTGAAACACCTCCACCTGGATGAGCTCCACTTCCACATAGATACAAACCAGAAATAGGTGTTCGATAACGAGAATATCCAGCTGCTGGCCTCAAAGAATATAACTGATCTAAAGACATGGAGCCATGAAAGATATTTCCTTCGGTTAGCCCAAATACACGCTCCAAATCTTTGGGAGACAAAGCATCATAGCCAATAATGCTCTCGATAAACCCAGGTGCATAATCCTCAACCATCGAAAAAACTCGATCAACGAAAGCTTTTTTAAAGTTTACATCTTCCCATGGCGCATTGTATGGAACATATTGCACGAACAATCCTGCCACTGCCTGGCCTCGAGGAGCCAATGTGGGATCTATCGCACTAGGTATAGTCATTTCGACAATGGGAACAGCACTTGGTCGATGGTGTGCAGAACAATCTTTGTAAGCCTTTTCAATCATATCCAAGTTATCGCTGCCGAGGTGAATTGTTCCCTTGTGTTCAGGTCCTGCAGCAAGAGTTGTGGGTTCCCCTTCAAATGTTTGACGTTTTGGAAAACAACGAAAATGAGGTAATTTCTTCAATGCAACGTTGATTTTGAAAACGGGAGAACGGAAATCCAAATTTTGTATTTTAGAGACAAAATTATCAGGTAAGCTGCCCTTTGGACATAAAGTTAAGAAGGTACGCTTGGGATCTGCATTAGAAAGGACACATCGACCAAGTATACTTTGTCCATCTAAGGTCTCTACTCCTTTCACTTTTCGTTGTATTTCATCCACTAATATAGACTTTACGGGTGTATCTGTTTGAATAACAGCTCCAGCTTCAATTGCAACAGAGGCAAGAGACTCAGAAAGGGAACCCATTCCTCCTTTCACATAGGACCAATCGCCTCCAAGCACATGATGCAATAAAACATAGCCTGTACCTGGAGTGTCAGGACCAGCCATGGTACCTATAACAGAATCCGTGGCCTAGTACGAAATAAAAATGACGTTCCTGATTGCGTTTGGAACAACGCTTACTAGAGTGGACAACAAGGGTTCAGAATGGAACCAACGTTTGAGCATTTTTGAAGAGTTGGAAAACAGAAGCTCGAAAAACTCCGTCATCTCCTTTCGACTAGAAAGCGATTCTCGCAATAAATGAAAACCAGCACGAGATGAAGACCATCTTTCGGCAAGAGACAGACTGGATATATCGTTATACAATGCATCATAAGGAGCCTCATCAAAAAAAGGTTCTACCAGTCGACATAGTTTCGAGAGCCAGTGCTAGATCAAAATGAGAGCATGATAATTTCTATCTGGTATAAGATTCTTGAAAAGCCTACCAAGTACTGCGGATATCTCATGGCATCTTCAATGGAGAATTTGCTTATTTGTTCTTTACAAAATTCCACATCAGGGCTGAGAAATAGATATTTTTTTCCGTCCGAGAGCGGTGTAAAACTCGAAGGGTTTCTCGAAGAAGACTTTCAGTTCACGTTTATCCACATCCTATGTATTAATACCTTGCGAGGACGGAATAGCCGTGTTTCGAAAGTTTCAGTTCCTTGACAATTTGTGGGCGCAACAAACTTTGTACATAGCTGACAAAAATGAATACAAACAGTATTTCACTGGTGAACCTAAATACCTCGCACGACTAAACTGAAATCCTGGAATAAGCTCTTCCGTTACAGCTGCACCTCCCAAAACCTTTCTCCTTTCCAATACCAACACCTTGGCTCCCTAAAAAACCAACTTGATCCAGAGTTATAACCACAGATAAGTTTCCGGGCTTGCCTTTTTAGCCAAATATGCAGCAGAAACTAATCCATTATGGCCTCCTCCTATTATGATCGCATCCCAGTGGGTTTTCTCTATAGGTGTCTGACTCGCACTTCTACGAAAAGCCAACTGCAGTTTATTTCCAAACAAAGTTGGAAAAACTGTCCTCAGTGTATTCATGTGCATCTGTAACGTTAGTCCTACAAAAAGATCGTGTTGCCTTTAGCCTCATCATTCACGACAAACGAGAAGTTCGAAACCACATGATGTGACAGATTAAAGCAAGTTTTCATGGCGCCAATTTCTCAATTAGCATTTTTTCGCCTTGAGGCAAATAACTGTTTTGGCTATTACCAAGTTCGATGTGGTACGTAACAACCACAGACACAGCGCTGAAGGTAAGTGACTTGGTATATCAATCTTGAACTTTGTCACGGTTGAGTTTTGCGTTATGATGACGTTTTTCATCCATGGCCTTTGAGTTTTCCTATGATTTCTTTTCAGACTTGTCTGAGCGCACTCTTCTGTGATACGTCACACTTTTTCTCTAGATTACTAAACTGTCTTCGTAGGCCTCGATGGCCTTAGGTTTCAAACCATGCAGGTGAGTGTTTGTATTTGTTGCAACCTCTGAGAAGGATGAGGCGTTCCAGACGGGCGGACAGAGATATTGCTGCTGAAACTGGAAAATATGCTCTGACCAGAAACTTTACAGGAGCACTTATTGTATACCTTTCTTGCTCAAGCCAAATTTTTCTTCTAGGGTTAGAATTTTGCTTTAGTCAATACGGTGATGAACTAGTTGGATTGTCGTTGTTTCCAGTAACTCTAAGATGCACTGTTTCTTACTCCAGAGTACCTCAGAAAATATGTATACAAGGTTTTTGACCACGCTTTAACTAAAAGTTGCGTGGAAAAGGGCTCGTATATAGTTGAGATATCCTTGGGATATCCAAGTTTTCGAGAAATACCTCGAATCACAAGAAGGGGCCGTAAAACAGTATACCACTGAGGATGTATACAAGTCAGTATGTGAATGTACTCTTGTACAGAATACTTGTGCCTGCTTTCATCTGAGTCATCAACAAGTAACCAACGTCGAGCCATTTTTCTACCAAGGAACAAAGAAGCCAATAAGTCTCCACGGTCAATGTTATCTATCGTATTTGAGAAAGTTGAGAACCTTTGTGTATCTCTTAAGATAACAGCAGTGAGAAAATTTGCAAATTTTTCGGTGAAATCAATGTCAATAGAGCTACATTTTCCAGTATCAATTAATACCATACGAAAGCGTCGCTTGTCTTGTGGCCACTGTAGAATGATATTTCCTGGATGTGGATCCATGTGAATAAATCTTTGTTGAAATATCATCCTAGCGAATGCTTCATGTAAAGTTCGAGCGATACGGAATCGAGTCTCCCTATTGAAAGATAAACACTCGTCAATTTTTATCCCGTCGATGTACTCCATCGTAATGACTCGTCTAGAACATAAATTTGGGAAAATCTCTGGCACACAAATATGAGAACTACCTCGAAAACATTGAGCAAGCTTTCTATTGTTTGCTATCTCGGTCACGAAATTCATTTCTCCTTGTATTTCTCGAGTAAATTCAATAAATGTATTCCAAATGACAGGTTCATATCCACCTTTTAAAGTTTGATACATAGATATGATCAACTGAAGAATTCTCAAGTCCTGAGCAAATTGTAGTCGAGTATTTGGCTTCTGAACCTTTATAGCAACAATAGTAGAAGACATTGCTATGTGTGCCGTGTGTACTTGTGCAATAGACGCACAACCAATAGGTTTTTCTGATATATTTGTAATCAAACCGTAAAAAGAACCCAAATCTGTTTTAATAACTTGCAAAAGGTCTTGGATAGGGACCTCTTCCGCCTGGTCTTGAAGCGTAGACAACTCCTGAAGATACTCCTTTGGTAAAACATTTTGTAACGATCCAGTATATTGTCCAAGCTTTATAAATAAACCACCTTTGCTTTTACAAAACTCTTTGACTTTTTCTGCACAAGAACGGTGTAAAGCTATGGCTTCGGGAGTTTGAATGTTCGGTAGAAGTTTGCCATAAATCGGTAACCAAAATTTTCTGTATTGTACTAGTATCCAGAGGCCAAATCCTACTGTTTGGCAATATCTTGCTAAAAATTTTGGGTGTCTTTCCTTCTTGGGAGTTAAAGAGAAGTGAAACTTGATCCAGGAGAACAGAATACAACGTGACCATAATCCAGACATTCACATCTTTCTATCATAATCCGTTGAAAGCTTTTGGTTTGATTTCGAATTCGTCATGTCAAAACCAGATCAACTTGTGAATGGTAAAGGTACCGAGTTTGGGAAACTTGGAAGCTTTGATACCCATATTTACGACACAGAGGAGCCGGAAAATTATGTGAGCGAAATACCTCCAGATAATTTGGCCAGTGATTCAGAAGAAGACTCACCCAAAGCAAGTCCACCCCGAAGTCGTTTCGGTCCCAGTAAGGAATTCCTGGAAGAAGCAGCTGAGGCAGAGATAGAGGAGGATGAAGACCCTTTTAAAGATACTAGAAGAAAGTCTATCGTAGAACGGGAGAATGAGTACCAGTCTAAAGCACGTTCCAGAGGTGTCTTAAGTAGGGATATTTTAAGAGTAGAAGACTCATATGTGTCACAAATGAAGAGTAGGCTAGAGGAAGAAAAAGGGACAACCATATATGAAAAACAAGGAAAGATGGAAGAGAACCACAACAAAGGACAGCTCTCGTCTTGCTCCAATGTTTCTTCGAGTTCTGTCGGTTTGAAGCGACAACGCTGGGACGAAGATGGAACGATTTCAATTGAGAATTCAAAGGCGGCAAACAGTTTGAGTGTCTCTAGATGGGACCAAACGCCTTTAGACATTCCGTCAGGTGGCCAACGCCGTTCAAGGTGGGATCAAACTCCCGATGTGGCAGCCTTAAGTGGCTTAAAGGACCAGAAAACACCGTTATGGACACCATCTATTCAGGGTATGGAAACACCACGTCTCTATGATCCAGCAATGACGCCAGAAGTGTACAATCAAGTTCGATGGCAGAAGGAAATGGAGGAAAGGAACCGACCATTTAGTAACGAAGAACTTGACGAGCTTTTGCCAAAGGAAGGCTATGAAATTCTTCAACCTCCGCCCAACTATATCCCCATTCGCACTCCAGCTAGAAAGCTTGTATCTACTCCCACTTCGGATAGTGCAAGTGGTTATAGAATTCCTAATGAAAGCGTTGTACAGAAGACTTCAATAGGTGCCGCACCTAAGACTCCAGAAGAGCTTGAAGGTGTTATGATAAAACCAGAAGATTATGAATATTTTTCAAAGATTTTTTCTGGTGAAGACGAGTCTGAGCTACCATTAGAAGAGCAAAAGGAACGTAGGATTATGACTTTGTTGTTGAAAATCAAAAATGGTACACCTCCCATACGGAAGTCAGCTCTACGAATGATAACGGAACGTGCTAGAGAGTTTGGTCCCGGGCCCTTATTCAATCAAATACTCCCCTTATTAATGTCTCCGACATTGGAAGATCAAGAGCGTCATTTGTTGGTGAAGGTCATTGATAGAGTATTATTTAAATTGGACGATGCTGTTCGTCCTTATGTACATAAAATTCTCGTTGTTATTGAGCCTCTGTTGATTGATGAGGATTACTATGCAAGAGTAGAAGGCCGCGAAATAATTTCCAATTTGGCTAAAGCAGCTGGACTTGCCACTATGATTGCTACGATGAGACCTGATATTGATAATCCTGATGAGTAAGTTTTCGTTTCTGTTATGAAGGCTTGTATCATTTGCTTTGTTCATAGATACGTACGAAATACGACGTCAAGAGCATTTGCTGTTGTTGCATCAGCTCTTGGTATCCCAGCACTTTTGCCGTTTCTTCGCGCTGTCTGTCGTAGCAGAAAGAGTTGGCAGGCAAGACATACTGGAATGAAAATCGTGCAGCAGATTGCGATTCTTATGGGCTGTGCTGTTTTACCACATTTGCGTTCATTAGTTGAAATTATTGAAGATGGTCTATTAGATGAACAAACCAAGGTTAGTCTGGGTATACTCTTTTGTATCGTTTTCTGAATTGCCATTTTAACCAAATAGATTCGAACCATATGCGCACTTGCTATTGGAGCTCTTGCTGAGGCTTCTTCTCCATATGGTATTGAAGCATTTGATTCTGTTTTGAAACCATTATGGAAAGGCATTCGTCAACATAAAGGAAAGACACTTGCCGCATTTCTTAAAGCAATAGGCTTTATAATTCCACTGATGGATGCAGAATATGCGTCATATTATACAAAGGAAGTAATGCCTGTTATTATTCGAGAGTTTCAGTCTCCAGATGATGAAATGAAAAAAATAGTGTTAAAAGTCGTGAAACAATGTATTGCATGCGATGGTGTAGAGGCTTCCTATGTCAAGACGGAGATTATACCAGAGTTCTTCCGTTGTTTTTGGGTCCGTCGAATGGCTCTTGACCGTCGAAACTATAGACAACTGGTAGATAGTACAGTGGAGATTGCAAAGAAAGTGGGTGCTGCTGAGGTCATTATCAGATTGATTGATGACTTGAAAGATGAGTCAGAACCATATCGTCGAATGGTGATGGAAACGATTGAAAATATTGTAAATGCCATGGGAACCTCGGAGATCGACTTGAAGTTGGAAGAAAGACTTGTTGATGGTTTGCTATATGCCTTTCAAGAACAGGTAAGAAGAGTGTAGATTGGTTTGTAAGGCACAAATTAATTTTTAAAATAGACCGGAGTAGATGATGGCACAGTTATTCTAAGTGGTATGGGCACCATCATCAACGCTCTTGGACTGAGAGCGAAATCTTATTTACCACAAATAGCCGGTATTATAAAATGGCGTCTTAATAATAAGAGTGCAAAAGTTCGTCAACAAGCAGCAGATTTAATTTTTCATATTGCACCAGTAATGAAGAAATGCAGGGAAGAGTCATTACTTAGTCATCTAGGTCTCGTTCTTTTCGAATACTTGGGTGAAGAGTATCCAGATGTACTAGGTTCGATTTTAGGTGGATTAATTGGTATTGTTAATGTCATTGGAATGGAAAATATGAATCCTCCTATTAGTGAACTTCTTCCACGCTTGACGCCAATATTGAAGAACAGACATGAAAAGGTACAGGAGAATTGCATTGACTTGGTGGGACGAATAGCAGACAGAGGAGCTCAGTATGTTTCATCGCGCGAATGGATGAGGATATGTTTTGAGCTCTTAGAATTATTGAAAGCACCAAAGAAAGCAATTCGTCGTGCAACAGTGAATACTTTTGGATACATTGCAAAGGCTATAGGACCTCAGGATGTACTGGCAACTTTGTTGAACAATCTCAAAGTACAAGAACGTCAACAGAGAGTATGTACAACGGTTGCTATTGCTATAGTTGCGGAGACTTGTGGACCTTTTACAGTTATTCCTGCATTGATGAATGAATATCGTACTCCTGAATTGAATGTTCAGAATGGCGTTCTCAAGTCCATGTCTTTTCTTTTTGAGTATGTTGGTGAAATGGGGAAAGATTATGTTTATGCGGTTACACCATTATTGGTCGATGCTCTGATAGACCGAGACTTGGTACATCGTCAAACTGCAAGCACCACAGTGGGTCACATAGCCCTTGGTGTAGCAGGCTTAGGTTGCGAAGATGCTGTTACTCATCTGCTGAACCATGTCTGGCCTAACATTTTTGAGACTTCCCCTCATGTTATCAACGCCGTGATGTTTGCAATTCAGGGTTGTCAAGTATGTCTTGGACCCGGTTTGATTCTCTATTACAGTTTACAAGGTTTGTTTCATCCTGCTCGAAAAGTACGTGAAGTGTACTGGAAAATTTACAACAATCTCTACATATATGCCCAAGATTCATTGACTGCATTTTATCCAAGAATTGAAATTGATAGTGACCAAAAGGGTAATTATTGTCGCCCTGAATTGGATTTGGTTTTGTGACGATAAAGAACAGTATCTATATTACTGGCAGGTTATGTCCTTTTAGAGTTTTCTTGATGTATAAAGTTCGATTGGTCTGTGGCACCCTATCCAAACTGAGAGTTTCGAAGTGCTCTTTTTCGCAATATGCAAGGCCTTGGAACAATCCTGAAGGAATTTATGCGTTTGTTCGAAGAGAAAAGGAATTGGGCTCCTTACCTGGCAGAGAATGGACCGTCGATGAGCTAAGGTTAAAGTCTTTTGACGACTTGCACAAACTCTGGTGGGTTATGATCAAGGAAAGAAATGCCTTGTTAACTGAACAAGACTGGTGTCGTTCAGTCAAACGGGAGTGGAAAGGAGAGACAACATTGGAAAAGGTAAGCATAAAATGGAACCCTGTTTTCGAACATAACTGAGAGAAGTAGGTTAATCTTTCCATGACAAATATAAGGCAAGCAGTTTCGGAACAAAAGGCTTTCATTTCAGGTCTCATGGAGATTGCTGATTTAGTAGAAGAGGAAGATGAAGAAACCAAGGAGTTGATAAAGCAAAGTTCTGCAATACGTGAGGAAAAGGAGAGATTGCAAAAGGAGAAAGAAGCAAAGGAGGGATATCGCACACCTTATCGACTGTCATCAAGAAAACAAAAGTATAAATTACGTGCTTTATTACAAAGAACGAAATTAGGACATTAAAAGAAATGTGGGCCTTGGAACAAAAAAAAATGAAAATGGCGCCATTTTGTCTATTTTAATACTAGTTCCATGTCATTGTTGGATATCCAGGAGTGTGATTTGACTAGTGCAGCTTTTGATCCATCAATAGCACTTAAACATGGGGCACACGGAACACGCTGGTTAGAGAAAGTGAGCCCTTTTGATCACTTGGGACAAGTCAAGTCGATATTGGAGGATCCTCTGTGCCCTCTGGTCCGAGAACCAAGAGAAAAATCAAAGACACTTGAAACTCAGCCACACCAAAAAGTAAGCTACAATCGTCACAAACTGAGTAATTCCAACATACAGTTCATAGGCTCGCACTCAAGGTGGTTTTTTCGAAACGATCAAGGCTACTTTAGGAACTCCTTTACAAGCACTGCAATTTTCCAAGAAAAATATTGTACGAGTACTGTTAAGGGATACTCACTATCTGTATGGTGTAGCCATTGGTCGCTTACAAGCTATCGACCGGCACTGGAATACACTGCTATTTGACGTCCAGCTCAAGTTGATCGATTATAACAGCGACACAGTTTGGGCAGAGTTCTATTCAAAAAGTTGTCCAAGCTCACTCACTTACGATTCTCTGATTATTCGAGGTGAAAATGTTGTATCTGTCTGTTACCAGTGTAGATCTAACTGAAAAGTAAAACTAATGTATAACTCTTGGTTTATTCTGATGGGAAACTTGGGTAAATCCGCAATATATTATTGAGACTTTGATTGCAAACTTGCTTGATGTATCTTTTGGAAAGTCAGAACAAGGTTGTCTTTGTTCAAACTACGAGTTATTTCTCCTATATTATTATTCCTTTTATGCTTTGTGATGGTATTGTACCAAAGTTACTCTTCCGACACCAACTCGGATGTGAAGCCTTCTGAAGTTTCGAATTCCCCTGTAGCGAGGTAAATGTTTTTAGTGTAATTTCGTTTTATCCGTTTTCTAAAAGAAACCTATTAGTTTCATGGATTCGAAACAAGGAGACGTCGTTGAAAATAGAAACCAACGGAGTACTGAAGGTAGACTATGGAAGGAAATGGCCTGTGCAGCGTCACCCAAGATTTTAAGGGGTGTAGACGCAGAGGGACGTCAAGTTCAACAGTTCAGCATACTTCGAGGAAATCCTTGGCAGTTAGATTCTACAAACGCCGAAATAGACTCTATTCGGGTGTGGCCGGTAAGTGTTGGTAGAAACGCGACGAGATCGAGTGTAGCGGACCCAAGAACCTTCCAAAACTGCGACACTGATCGAAGCTTGGTTGCAATTGAAGAATACGAACTCGACGACTTTGATGGCGTTGTAGATGAAAGGCATCTTTTGGTATCCAATCTCAACGACAACGCCAGTGAGACTTTTCTTGAAAACGAGTTTGGAAAATATGGTACTTTACACAAGGTTGAAATTCACTTTTTCAAGGGGAAACATAGTGGACTCGCTTCTATTCAATACAAGAAAATAACGGACGCTTTATGGGTGTCAAAAATCATGGACAAGAAACTTTTGATGGGTCGAGAAATTAGAGTCCAGTGTGACCCTGAGAAAATTTTGCTACAAAATGCATTGGAGCAACTTGAAACTCATCATAACATGAAACTATTGATCGTTTCTCCTCTGACCACTGATATTGAGGCTAGTCGAGAAGCGGATAGAGAAGAAAACGCAGATAAGCCGTTTGGTAGGACTGGAACGGAGCAAAATGCAAATTCTCATCGTTTCTCACGGAAGGACAGCATGCGAGAGAAGACAGATTCAAAGGCTCTTTGGAAGCAATCAGAAAATGACTGTGAACGTGTATATGCACCTGCTCTTAAGTTAGCTATGCTTCCTCTTTCTATTCAAGAAAAAGACATTTTGAATTTCTTTCGAAAAGCCCACCCCTTCAAAGTTATTGAAAGTGGTCCTTACTGGATAGTTGTCTTTAGCAGAGAAAGAGACCGTCGTCACATTTTAAGAAAGTTGTTCCGAGATCCGTATGAAGTATGTGTTATGTTCATTTTCTTATCATTGGAACTTATGGCATGTGATAGAATGCTAGAATTTCAGGCCTTCGTTTTCACTTTGAGAAATATGACTATTTTTTGACAAAAGATGAAGAGATGGAGTATAAACAATTTTATCAACAAAGCAGTGGAGATAAAAGTAATAAGATGGTGAGTCTCCAATACAAATTCCTTGATATATTTGTTAATTTTGAATTTTCAGGTCACTCGAAGTGAGATTATAAAGGAAGTAACGCGAATGGTGCGCTCACTCCTAATAGAACGTATTTTGACACAGATAGAGAAAACAGTTATCGACCAAACGGTTGGTCGTGTCCTATCTGAGGCTCGAAATGAGATATTGTCAAAGAATGCAAATGAACCTTATGTTGACACGAATAATTATTTGGCACGAATACCGACGGCAAGATACGATGCTGCCTTATTGGATTATGATATGTTTCGCAAGCAAAAGACGCAGTCCCAATACTCGGATAAGAATCAAAATGGTATAACCATGAAAAGACCTAAATATCCTATGAAAAGTTCGAGCTCCTTTTCACTAGATGGCAGAATTTCAAGCGATAAAGATGATACTTTAGCTGATATGGACCAACAGTCATTGAGATCCCTTGATTCAGCAACTGGACTTAAAAATGTCGAACCTGCAGTTTCAGAGTACTCATGGAGTGATGATGACTTGGATGACGATGATTTAATTGAAGATAATCACATTATTGAAAATCCGTACGGTTGTGCTCGAGCCGAACCTTTTATATCTAGTACAAAGTTGCATGTGGCTACAAGTAAAAAACCAAAATTGGGAAGAACGGTAAAGAATGCAACTTTGCAAATTTCATCAGCCAGAGAAAGTAGACAAGAATATCGGAAACTTCGTCAAGGAGTCGGAGAATTGGGAATAAGACATAGTGATAGTCTTATTATAAGCCAGCTTAAGTCACGAAAGAAGCGTGTACGTTTTGGTAGATCGATTATTCATGGTTGGGGTCTCTATGCCATGCAAGACATCGAGCCAAATGAATTTATTATTGAATATGTGGGTGAAATTATTAGACAAAAAATTTCCGATGAGAGGGAAAAGCGATACTTTAGACAAGGAATTGGTGACTCCTATATGTTCCGATTAGATGAAGACCAGATAATTGACGCTACACGTAAAGGTTCCGTTGCCAGATTTGTGAACCACAGTTGTGAGTCTAATGCAGTAGCAAAAATAATAACAATAGACAATAGTAAGAAAATTGTATTTTACAGCAAACGTCTTATCCGAGCCGGAGAAGAAATAACTTATGACTACAAATTTAACACGGAAGATGAGAATAACAAAATTCTTTGTCTGTGTGGAGCTCCAACTTGTCGAAAGTTCTTAAACTGAAGTGGCTCCGTGTCGTAATTATCGTTGAAGACAGAACATATTCATGAGTTATAAGACATGCTTTTGTTATTCTCATGTCTCCTCCTCAGGAATGGCATTCAACGTATCTTCAGCAAACTCCATTCTCGCAGCACATATGGGACAATACGGACTGCGTTCCAACCATTCGTATAGGCAAGCCAAGTGATAGCTGTGACCGCACTTTGCAACAATTTTGGGATTCTCTGCATCGTAGGGTTCCAAGCACGTTGGACAGAAATCTTCCTTACTTGACTCCTCAATCAAGTCATCAACAGCTGTTCGGTCTGCAACCAGTGGTGGAGGTTTTGGAGGACTAGGTCCACCAACACCATATCCAAAGGAATTCGAACGCGTAGTTTCCCTCACTTTTGCTTTCATTTCTGTGACACTGGGTCTTCTTGCTCGAAGCTGAGTGTCTAGTCCTGGTGGTCTTTGTACTGGTTGCCCTTGACGGTGCTCTTCACGCTCGTCCCAATCAATAAGACCAGAAATATTTCTCTTTGACTTGTGGAAGCTGAAAAAAGTTTCATGCTATTTCAAGTTGGATTATTAGAAGACACTTTTCGACGTTCTCAACAACAACAACAGCTTACCTCCTCTCGTCTTATATCATCGTGCAATAGATCCTTACCAATATGTTTAACTTTTCGAATAAAGCTAAAATGCTTCGATTTCTTATCGGATAAGTCTCCTGAAAAAATAGAGGCCTTGTGAAACGAAACTTACCGAAAAGAATACAAGTCCATACCTGAACTGTTCTTTGTAGCTCTGCTTGTAGAAGACAGGTTTGGCACTTCTTCTACGTCGTCTACAAAATAACGGTCTATGCCGTTGGACCTAGCATCACTTCCAACCGGTGTAGTTTCACTTGTTTGGTTTTCGGTATTATCAACCACGCTTCTTGAGCCGTTTGCCCCTATTGTGTTGGCTTTTCTAAGCAATTCCAGCACAGAATAATTCCAACGACGATGAATAATAGAATGTCAGCAGCATTCTTGTCTATTCCATCCCATGGTCGTTGTCACAAGACTTTGTGTTGGAAGAGAGCTTCTGTGTTAGCACCTTTTGATACACTTGGAAATAAAAGGAGGAAGTATGTTATTTTGCCTAGAAAATGCAGCAGCACAGTTGTTCATATGTTGTTTGACCAGTTTGCCAACAAGATTCAGCAAACTGTGTCTAACGTATCCAAGTTGCAAGTTTTTAGTGATAAGGAATTCCAGAAAGCTCTGAAGAACGTACGAGATGCTTTAATAGATGCCGATGCTAACGTGAAAATAGTCGATGAGTTAGTATCGAAAGTGTCTACGAAAATGAAGGATGTCAAGATACCCAAGGGTGTTACAAAGACACAAATGTTTGTCAAGTTGGTTCAAGACGGTCTTACAGAAATTCTAGGTGGCGAAGGAACTGCAGAAAGGATATTAAGTGCGTCACAACAACAAAAGAGAATTATGTTCGTGGGCTTACAAGGATCTGGTAAAACGACTACCATTGCGAAGTTTGCAAAGCTAACTTTGAAAAAGTTCCCAAAAGCAAAAATTTTGTTGGTAGCCTGTGATACTCGTAGGCCAGCTGCTATTGAACAGTTAAATATCCTAGGCCAGAGAGTGAACTGCGAGACATTCTTTGTGGAAGAAGTTTCCAACGCTGAATGGGTACTCGATAGAGCTCTGCAATATAGCGTGTAAAAGGAGTTTGACTACGTTTTCATCGATACTGCTGGAAGGCAGGTCGTCGACAATGATCTGATGAATGAACTTGTACTGTTAGAGAAAAAAGGAAATCCGGACGAAATTTTACTTGTTTTAGATGCCATGACAGGGCAAGAAGCAGCCAATGTTGCGAAACGTTTCGCAGCAACGGTACATGTTTCTGGAGCAATATTAACCAAACTCGATAGCGACACTCGTGGTGGAGCTGCATTATCTCTCAGTAACATCTCCGGCTGTAGCATTTGTTTTATGGGAACATCAGAAAATTTGGATGGCTTGGAACCGTTTTATCCCGAACGAATTGCCTCCAGAATCCTAGGAATGGGAGATATAGTATCATTAGTAGAAAAAGCACAGGAAAATGTCAATGAGGAAGAAGCAAAGGAAATGGCAAAAAGAATGTTGGAAGCGAAATTCACCTTTGAAGATTTTCTTAAACAATTGTCTTTTGTGTCATCAATGGGTTCCTTAGGGAATATGCTCAAGATGGTTCCAGGCGTAGGTAATAGAATAAAATCTGAAGATATATCGAAAATGGAAAACAAATTAAAGGTAATTTTTATATTCTCAATGTAACAAATTGAAGTATTAACAAACACCAGGTTGCAAAAATAATCATACAGTCCATGACAAAGGAAGAAAAGAAGAATCCTGAGTTATTTTACGATGACGTCAGTTCCAAGAAACGTATGGAAAGAATTCGAAAAGGATGTGGCAGGTCCCAGGAAGAAATTGATGATTTCTTTAAAACTTTTAAATCTGCACAAATTGCCATGAAGAAACTTGGAGCTTCTGCGAATCAGAAAGCAGAAAAATCAAGTGAAATTGAGTCACAAGATTTTACTGGAAACAGAGCACAACGCAGAAAGTTGACAAAAACAAAAGAATCCGTGCCAAAAAATACCATTAAAAAGGGATTTGGAAAATAAAGAAAATTAAAATTTTAAATTTTTGAAAAATTAATTAATTTTCGAAACAATCAGCATGGTACAGTTTGTAAAACAAGAAAACAAGTGGATTAATTTAATGCCGAGATTCTGTTATTTCAATTTACACTATTTTTTTTTGCTTATTATTTTAAAAAATAAATATCCCAGGCAAAAGGTAAGTAAAATTTTTTTAACATGATTTGGTGTTGATTGGTTCAGTGGCATTTGTTTTTGTCTTTATCTTGATTTCTCTCGTTTTCTATGTCCTGTTTTATTGAATAGACAACAAATTTCTTTAAGTAGGAGTTTGTTTTTTTACAACATTTGTTCTATTCACAGATGTTTTTTCATTGCTATATTGAAACTTTGTTTGTGAATATACAACCAGATATTTTCAAGGTAGAACCAGAGTAGTTTATAGAAAAGAGTGATGGATTCACTAAGGGTAAAGAGTTGTCTATAAATAATGCATTTGAAATTTCGTTGCTATCGTAATTAAAATTTTTTTATGGGTTTCTATCACTCTTGATTTCTCTATAAAAATAAGAATGAATTGATATGCGAATACTAAATATCCAATTGGTCCCAGGATAAGCTTCGTGCATGCTCATTCAAAAATGCTTTGCGACGATCGACTTTATCACCTAGTAACATTGTGAAAAGATTGTTCGACTCTGCAGCATCTGTGATAGTAACTTGTTTCAGACATCGGGTTTGTGGATTCATCGTCGTCTACACAAAAATTTCAATGAGAGATGAATACAACTTGTACATAAGATTCGACTTACATTCCATAATTCTACCGGCATCATTTCACCGAGCCCCTTGAATCGCTGAATCGTATACTTGGCATTGGAAGCCAATTCTTCTTCTAAAAATCGATCTAGTGATGCCTGATCGAAAAAATACTTGCAAGTCTTCCCACGCTCAAACTTAAACAAAGGAGGGCATGCAATATATAAATGACCATGCTCGATCAAAGGACGTTGATATCGATAAAAGAAAGTAAGCAACAAAGTTCGGATATGAGCACCGTCCACATCAGCATCCGTCATAATGATGACTCGATGATATCTTAACAGTTCCAATTTGAAATGTGTATCGGATACGCCAGCACCAAGAGCAGTAATCAATGCGTGAATTTCAGCATTTTTGTATATTTTCACGTCATTCGCTTTCTCGACATTCAAAATTTTCCCTCTCAAAGGGAGTATTGCTTGAAAGCTTCTATCTCTTCCTTGCTTTGCACTACCTCCTGCAGAGTCTCCTTCTACAATAAATAATTCTGCTTCATCTGGATTTCTTGTGGCACAGTCTGCTAATTTTCCTGGTAAAGCTGCAGATTCTAAAGCAGATTTTCTACGTATCAATTCTCTGGCACGTTTTGCTGCTTCTGCAGCACGAGCAGCAGCATTTACCTGAAAATAAGACAGCCTTTAAATATTTCCAAAAGAACCGTATTTCTTACTTTGTCTAAAAGAGCTTGAAAAACTTCGGGATTCGTTTGTAGAAAATCTCCAACTTCTTCTATTATCACCTGTTCCACTAAACCCCTTATTTCAGGATTGCCTAGCTTGGTTTTGGTTTGTCCTTGAAATCTACGAGTATTGCAACTTGGTTAGCTTACAAATCTAATGCACTCTTTAACCTCTTTTCTTACTCTGGCTCCGGAACCTTCACTGAGATAATACCGATGAGACCTTCTCTTATCAATTCTCCATTCCATGACAAAGTTTCATTTTTGCTGGTCTTCTTCGCCATTTGATGAAAACATTTCGTAAGACCCGATTTGAAACCTTCTACGTGGACTCCACCATCAAGGTTCCTTATGGAGTTTGCAAAGCCTAGAATAATTTCCGAATATTGCTCTCTATTCCATTGTAAAGCAGCTTCCATTTCAATTTGTTTTATTCTTCGATGAATATACACAGTTTCATGCATGGACTGCTTTTCTTTGGACAAAAACTGTACAAATTCTCGTATTCCACCTTGATGAATAAAAACTTGAGGATGTATCTGTTTCCTTGACTGACTACCATTTTCTACTGATTCTTGAACCTCTATTTGATGCATTTCGCGATACAATATAATTTGTAAGCCTGCGTTCAAATAAGCAAGCTCATCAAAACGTTTTGCTAAAAAACTTGCATCCATCTCTAAAGTTTCACCAAAGATTACAGGGTCAGGATAAAAATGAACTTTGGTTCCACTTTTTTGCTGTAAAAACCCTCGATCATATTGTTGAATGCCTTCTCTTTCCATGAGCAAGTCTGATGTCATATCGCATACTTGCATAGGACCCAACGGAATACCTCTTTGGAACTCTTGTTCATACAACTGATTATTTCGAACAACGCCAACATATAGTCTTTCGCTTAGTGCATTGACTACGGATAAACCCACTCCATGAAGACCTCCAGATACGTGATAACCACCACTTCCAAACTTTCCTCCTGCGTGAAGAACCGTCAACACTGTTTCTAAAGCCGACTTTCCACTAGTAGTGTGCATATCGACAGGAATACCTCGACCGTTGTCCATAACAGAAACACTCTTATCCGAGTGCAACACTACAGTTACCTTTGTACAAAAACCAGCGATTGACTCGTCAACTGAGTTGTCGACCAGTTCGAAAACAAGTTGATGTAACCCTTGTATTCCAGTAGAACCGATGTACATGCCAGGTCTCTTTCTTACCGGTTCTAAACCTTGTAATACGGATATCTGGCTTGCACCGTATTCTTGTAAGCTTTCTTTGCTTTGAATTGTTGGAGTATCCCTTAATACGGCTTGAACTTTTTCAACTTCTTTCCTTCCTTTGGAAAAATGACGCTTAGAAAAGAAATACCCTTGGAAAAAACTAGGATTCATGCCTAGTCCTTTCCGATGGTGTAAACATGAACAAGACACTTTACTCTTATCAAATAGATTCAAAGCACGAGTAGCCCTTGAAAAACTATATATAAACCCCATCAAAATAGGACTCGGTGCTATGAAAGCAACTATGTTCGTCGTGTTCGACTTGCCATACATTTTTTGCGCCTCTTTTGGGAAGAAAAAATGCATTAAGCTTCTTCAATTCTTACATATACTTCTTCTCTTTTCAATTGTTGTGCATAAAACTCTGCATGTTCTTTTTCTACAATACATATAATCGATTCCCCAGTAGACTGTGCTTCATGAAATATTCTTCTTGCTTCTGCCTGTTCCATCTTTGGGATTACCTTCAATAGTGCTTGTACCACAGCAACCTGGTCATACTCTTCATCTCCTAACAAAATAACTTTGTACATAGGTACAAACTCCTGCTGTGTTTTTCTCTTGGGTTTGGCTCTAGCAGCACCTGAACCTGTCTCTGTCAACTCTTCTTGCTTCGGTGGAGACACCAATTTCTTCGTATCTTTTTGAATAGTTGTTTTCGGTTTCGCAATTCTAGCTGGAGATAATGGCATCACAGGAGCTTGTCTAGTAGTGTAGTAATCGTTATCTGTCCATTGAGCTGGAATACCAGATTGGCAACTACACCTTCTACCTGTACGTGGTAGAGTCTTGCAACCTTTCCCAGAATAGAAACATCGCTTTCCAGTTGGAATTGCTTGTAAACCATAAAGCCAACAAAGTGAAGGAGAATACAGCCTCATGGAATCGCCACCGTCCATAAATATATCTCTCTGATGATCGCACATGCTCCATTGATTTCAACAGTCCATTTATTCACTTACTTTTGGTGCAGAATAGTTAGAAATGCCAGGTTTCCTTTTTATAAATGGAACTTCAAGCTGTTTTCATTGTCGGAAGCAGGGTTGGAAAAAGTCTACACGTTATTTCTGTTCAGTTGGTCCTAAACGAAGGTATTCTGGATGTCAAGTAACTCTTTCAGCAACATCTTCGTCCAGTAGTAGACCAGACCACGTAGACTCTCCAACAATATCAACTCATAAAGAACCAAACTTGTCAAGTCAACAGTTTGTGGCACCTCCTGAAGACTTTCATAGTGCTGTAAGAGCAGCATTTCAGTCTGCACAGTGTGCAAGAGAAAAGGGACATCGATTGATCGAAATTGAGTTTCCTGCTTTATCTACTATGAGACTATCCAGTGCTGATTGTGGAGCGTATGAAGTATTTGACGCTAATAGATATCATGCAGTTCAGTTGGCCAAATTGTTTGCTAGTAGCGGTGACCAAGTAGCTATATGTTTACCAGACATAGTAGAATATGAAAGAGTCTTAGAAAAGAATGGAGACGAACCATGGATGTATTCTAATATACGATGGAGTGTCATTCAGTCATCTTATGCAGGTAATCCCATTACCTCGATTTGGGTTAAGAGAAAGAAAATAGAGCCGTTGCAACCACAAGACACTGTTTGTATTATAGTTGGTGTTTCTTGTCAAGAGTTGACTGCAGTAGAAAAACTGATTGAAACAGACAATCATTCGACCACTTTTGTACTATTGAATGTGGAATTGGATAAACTTCGAAGTGACTTGGGGTTGTTGGGGTTTCCATCCAAGTCATTACAGTATCGCTTTTTATGCCAATTCTTATCAGCTTATTATTGGAGAAATAGAAGTTTTGTACGATTTCTATCTCAACCACCTTTTGTACTCAAATACGAAGGTGCATTATTCCGTGCGTATCCTGAACCGTGGCAAGTGTTATTACAAACAGGTGATGAATTGCAGCGCTATAGACAAGTTGCTTGTCTGCAAAGGAGACCTACTGGAGTCCAATTTCGTAAAATGGTAACTCAAGCACTTGTAGTAGAAGACGCTATAAAAGAACAAATATCCAAAGATGAAAACAAAGGAAAAGATGTGTGGTGGGAACAAGATGAAAAGCATTCCATATCTCAGACATGGAAATATTGAGTCCGATGTTTTATAAAAATTGTTTTTCGATCACATAAGAATCCGTTTCCAACCAATCATCTGTTAAAGAGGATTGTACAAATTCCCACAGAGGCTTACATATTTCTTCAGGATTATATTCGTTGATGGATATGTGATGAGTCTCAAAAGTTTCTAAATAAATGGCCAATCCTATTACGTTTTCTACATCGATGGGTTCATTTTCCGACGAATCCTTTCCAGTCGGCACAACACTTAGCCGCAGTATGATGCGATGAGTATCCTTGATATATAAACAAACTCCCAACTGAGAATGCGTCATTCCTTCAAATGGATTATAACATTGATATTCTTCTATTCGTAAGTTATTCAACCAACTCTTATATTTGTGGTGATCCAAATGAGGGTGCATTTCCTTCCAAGATAATCCTCGTCCTATTTGATTCCATAACATTTGCATTTTGGTTTCCATTCGCTGCTTTTGACTCTTATTCTTTGCTCGATAGAAATAACACATGTGATAGTCTCTTCCATATTGACTCCAATGCTGTTCCATTATCTCATGAATATCCATCTCATAGGATCGGTTTTCATTCTTCCAAGATAACAAACTTAACCAACAAAGAACCAAAAGCAGTCCATCTCTTTCACGAATCCAACTACAACCTAAACCTCCATTCTCATCCATACAAATATCGACTTTTTCTCTATCCATCAAATTGGTCATATAACGCCAACCACAGGGACCTTCATAAAGTGACATATCCAACACATCCGTGACACGATCGATGGCCTTACTATGGACAAATGTCTTTCCTACTCCACGAAATACTTTGGCAAATCTTGGAATGACTTGTCCTATACAAGTTAAAAAGACAGCGAGACTATCTTGGGTTGATAATATCATTCCTTCCGATGTCACTAAAGATGCATATCTTCCTTCGTTATCTAATACAACTCCCAAACGATTGCTATTCTTCGATGTACCCTTCTTTCTTAGTCTTTCTTTCATCCTTTGATAATTGTCTTCATGATAAGGATTGGGATGGAGACCTGCATAGTCTTCTTTATACTCATGATGAAGTATTTGGGAAGAATGTAAACCCAATTCTTCTACGAATATACGATAAGCATATCTACCCATGATACTGTGTAACGTATCTATAAGTAAAAATTGGGAATGTTGTTGTAAAAATCTTCGAATCCTGGCCATCGGAAACCATTGTTTGCATCGTTCAACATACAACTCCAAAGGATCGATCACTTTCACGTAATGACGATTTTCATCCACAAAATATTCTCCAAGGGTGGAAATATCCACTTGAGGATCGATTCCTACCACTCTATACTCGGTTACTTTATCCAATTGGTTTCGAAAACGAGACAAAAAGATATCTCGCATAGGACCACCGTTGCCCAATACATATTGAATACCAAAGAATTGTTCTTCACCAGCTGCTTTTCTATTTACAGAACACAAGATACCGCCTTCACAACTGTAATAATGGATGGCTAAAGAAGCAGCTGGAACCGAAGCCAAACCATCTTTTGCCACTATAAGAGCAACATTTCCAAACCCTAAACAAGTATATAGTATACGAAGAAGGGCTTCTTTTGCATAGTAACGTCCATCACCACCTAAAAAGAAGGTACCTGCTGTAAATCGATCTCCTAAAGTTCCTCTCAAAGCAGAAACAAAGGCATGTAGGCGTTGAGGTTTTTCTAGAAACATGCGAGTAGCATCAGATAATCCACTTTCTTCATTCAATACTAAAGCTCCATCACGATAAGGTATAAGCACTCGAAGTGCTATTTCTGATACATAAATAGTAGTACTCGTCCCTTCTTTTGCATCACCTCCTTGTAAAGTTGAGTTTCTTGATGGGGTCGTTTTCAAGGTTGGATGATTATGAAAAGGAACCAATTGACTTTGTTCAGTTACTGATGGATGGATATCCGTAGCTTTCAATTTGGAAGCCTTCCATAACACGGGACTCACTCTATGACAGCGTCGACAGTAATTAGGTCTTGAAAGGGATGATGCTCTATCCAGTATATGTTGTGAAGGAAACCAGACAAGGTAACCTAAATATTTCTTTCTTTTCACAAGTAACTGGTTATTCCAACGTATTGTCAAGTCATCATTGTACTCCCAAGTGAACTTCATAATTATTCGCCTTGTCCAAAAATAGTTTTCCATTTTTTTGAGTTGTACACCAAAGTATACTGAAGACTTGTATGTGGAAGAAAGCTATCCATTGTATGAATGGGTGTCGTAGATATGCTTTATCCTCTTTTATTCCTTCGAGTAATCGTATTGGAGAAGCTACCTTTAAGAGTGTAGCACATACTTGTTGGTTTTGTGTTCCTGAACAACAAATGGTAAGTGGAACAAGTTGAAGACAGAAAGAAATGGAATCAAGTTGTAATAGAAACAATATGAAATACTTGCAAGAGGAAGTGGTTGCATCGTACGTGGGAAACAAGACAATCTATTATGGGCTTTAGTATCTGCTCATGTGGCTGCACCTTTTTTGTTTCGTAGTTATTTTCCACAAGAGTGGTTATCTATGGTGAACGAACAACACTGCAAACATACTTTATATGGAGAAAATAATGATCAACCCAAAATAATAGAAACTGGAAATATCATTTGGAAACATGAGTTGTTGGATGTAGCAGCTTTTGGTTTACAAAGACACAACGTGAGTGATGAAAAGGAATGGGAATGGTTGACAAGTCAGGCAGTGGAATTGGAACCTTTATCTGAATGGTCAGGAAAACAATCTGTAGTTGTTCAAGGTTGGCAAGTAAAAGGATCAGTCGGTTCAGGACAAGAGAAATTAGTTGCGTGTTCGTTGAATGGAACTATTCAAGTACAACAAGGCATTCGATATTTCATCAATACGCAACCTCATATAGCTTATCATGGGATGTGTGGAGGTCCCATCTTATTACCTCAAAGCATAATAATAATAATAATAATAATACTTGCATAGGCATATTGGAAGGTCGAGTACCGGATGCCAATCAACTGGAACATATAACTCAAAAGGAATGGAAAGAATTCTTTCAATCCATAGCAGGATATGCTGCTTTTATAGAAGCTTCCGTATTGATAGATTTTATCGAACAACTTGAAAAACAACTCTAGTAGACCCAAGATTATGAAAGAAAAGGTTGCAATGCATCCACTAACTCTCTTTTAGAGAGCAAACCAACCCAGCGAGTCACTTCCTTTCCATTTTCAAATAAAATCAACGTAGGTAACGCTCGAATATAATATTGGGAAGCTAACGCTGCATATTTGTCGGTATCCACTTTAAATATAGTCAACTGCTGTGAATATTCTTTGCCTAGTTCTTCCAGTATGGGTGCCAGCATGAGACAAGGACCACAACCATAGGAATGGAAATCTACCAAACAACGTTTCCTGGACGAAACCATATCCTCAAATGAACGAAACTATAAAGTGAACAATCCATATAGGATATTGACTATACTTTCTTGAAGAAGAGAGGTCTTACCTGTTGTTGGGTACTCATAGTAACAACGAGATGGGGTAAAGGAACAGTGGACCTTGGATAAACCAACCGACGTATAGAGCGTTGAAAACATATCCAAGGACTTTTTACACGACAAGGATACCATTTTTGATGAGAATGATGAACAAACATAACAGGATTATCTCTCTTCAAGAGTCGAGAAACTGAAGGAATCATGTAAAAGGGCGCGCCAATATTGTATAGAAAAATGCATTTATCATGCACGTTTATCAACTCTATTCTATATCCATCCTATCATATATTATTCTAAAATAGTTTCTCATAAGAGAAAGTTTCTATTCAATCCATCCAACACTCTTCTCTGTCTTATCATCCAAAAAGGATGAAAAATTGTGGGAAACTGAAAGTGTCATTGGAATCATATTACGATCACCACTCATGAATATTGTTGAACATAGAAACCAACCTAGTTTACAAACTATGAATTCGTCTCCTAGTGTGATACCTCCTGACGTGGAGAAAATCATAGAAAAAACTGCAGTATATGTAGCTAAAAATGGGAGCTCCTTTGAAGCGAGAGTATTGGAAATGAACAGAAATAACCCCAAATTCTACTTTTTATTGGAAAGTGACCCTTTTCATAGTTATTATTTACAAGTATTACAAGAGAAAAGACGATATTTTGCTGGACCACCAACGACACCAACTTCAAGCACCATAGGTATGGACCATTCCTTGGCACCAGGAGAAAGTCAACCCAACTTAAGAGGAGAATCCATAGCAGAAGCTGCTCCAGCAGTGTCTAAAGCAAAACTTTCAGAAAGAAAGGCTCAAGCTGCACGTCCCATTCCTACACAACCTCCACCTGAAGATGTATTTACTGCTCAAGTACCAGAAGAACCACTTCCAACACCAATGGATGTTGACATTATGAAATTAACAGCTCAGTTTATAGCGAGGAACGGTAGAAGTTTTTTACAAGAGTTACATTCGAAGGAATATCGAAACCCACAATTTGAGTTTTTGAAACCAACGCATCCTTATTTCACTTTCTTTCAACGCCTGGTGGATGCCTATTCTATCGTGATTGCTCCCGATGATCAGATGTTGGAAAAAATCAAGGAATCAGCTCATTCTTTAGGAAAGGTAATGGAAGACTTGTATTATCGTATAGATTGGGATATGTTACAAGAAGAAAAGAAAACGGAACAGAATAGAAGTGCCGTGGAAAGAGTACAAATGCAGATGATTGATTGGCATGATTTTGTGATTGTAGAAACGATAGATTTGGATGAACGGGAGGTCAATTTACCAGCACCCATGGCTAATGGCAACTTTTCATCATGGAATAGAAGAACTGAGATGATGAATGGAAAGCAAACCGAGTCTAGTATGGAACAAGATGATGATATGGAAATGGATATGCAAGAAGAAGAAGAAGAAGTGGAAGTTACAACATATACCGATATTCCGGCAGACAAGATAAGGAAGGATTATCGGCCGAGAACATCTTCTTCTAGCAATGAAAATAGGGATTCTATTGAAGTGACTTTACCAAGTGGTCAACGAGTTCCAGTGGATCGAGCAAATGAAAGTATCAAAATGGAACTATTGGATCCGAAATACAAAGAGGAACGTCAAAGAGCCGCAGAGAAGAACAAATATCAGAATTTGGCATCCGATGCAGAAGTGGCGATGAACTTAGGAAGGCTATCTGATCAGAAACTGGATATATATAATAGAGCAGATTTACAAAATGTGATGGCAGAACGAAGAATAGCAGAAGATAGAAAGTCAGAAGAGTCTATGGAGCAAGTAAAAGCTCCAGAGCCAACTGTTCAACTTAAACCTTCTTCTTTGTTATGGGAAGCATCTTCGTCTTGGGATAAAGGAGAGAATATGAATCCTGCTAGGATGGATAATCAAGAAGATAATTCAGAAGAAGGAATTCAAGTTCATGTTCGAGTACAATCACATAGCAATCAAGAATGGAATTTACGTGGTCAAACGATATCTTTACAAGTTCCTTATCAAGCCACTCTTTTGGATCTGAAAAGTACATTAGCTCCGTTAGTGAAATTGGCTCCCAATAAGCAAAAAATTTCGGCAGACAATTTTGGATATTTAAAGGATAATCTTTCCTTGGCAGATTATCAGTTTTATGATGGAATTGTGATGTATTTAGAAGTCAAAGAACGTGGAGGGAAAAAGAAATAAACTTTTGCTTGGTTACATTCTAATATTGAATATGGTATATCACGAAACACAGAAGTTTCAGTATTGTGCCATACACGCAGTCAATGCCTTGTTAGGTTATGCAGCTTTTACAGTACAAGTGAGTATATATATGTTTTGGTTACTACTTGACAACTCTTAAGAAATAGGACTTTGAACAAGTAGCTAAACAACTTGGTAAGGAGATGGGAAACTTTGGACAACAACAATATAGGTAAGTTATTTTGTAGAAAAGAGCGTTATATATACATAAACTCTCAATAGAAGTCCATGGGGTTTAGGTGACTATGATGTCAACGTTATTGGAAGAATACTAAAAAACAAAGGCTTGGAAATAGAGTGGCAAGATAAACGTGTCACTCTACAGTTGGAAAGATTTCGTGACCCTAATATGATTGGTTTACTTATCAACGGTAAAGAATGAATGATACTGTTGTCGTTATTCTACAAGCCAATGAACCGAGTCTATGAAAATAGTTTATCTACGTCGATGGTGGCGTTTTTGGGGAAGCAGTCGACATTGGTGTACTATCAAGCTTATAGAAGATAAATATTATTTGTTGGATTCGTTCAATCAATCTCCCATAGTTTGGAAGGAACAGTCCAGCGTTGAACAATATTTGCAACATGTTTTGTTCCAACAGGATGGTCAGGTATTGTGGATAAAGCAAGCATCAACAAGTGATTATTAGATACCGATGGGTATAATAACTCCTAGTCATAAACAACGGTTAGGAAAGGAACGCGATGTTTCTTCCTTATTTTAAAATAATGTTACCTTTTCTATCCCACGCTACAACTACTTCATACCACACTTGAACTTGGTGGTGCATAGACATGGTCATTCTTTTGCTCAAGTCACCTTCAATATACAACCGTTTCCTACACCCATCCATAAGTGTGAAAGTGGAAGAAAAGAAAACTTACCCTTTACAAAGTAACTGAGGCAGTTGTTTGTCATTAGCATTGCCATAGACACATATCGAGTGCCACTCTGTGCTACCTAACGAAGGGCCATAGTGTGTGACGAGTGGAAACTTCCACAAGGCGTTTTCAGGACTAGCAAAGAGTGGTCGATATTTTATTCCCGTATCAAGTGACAACCTACCACTTAGAAGAAGTAGCAAAAATAGGTTGTTGAGCTATCCTGCCCATTAAAAACACTCGAGCAACAGTAAGTACACTATGACTACTATTCTTAGTAGTGCAAGTAGACAACAAGTGGTTCTTCATTCTCTCTTGATTATCAATTCAATCACAACTTCCATTTCTGTTGTGTCGTTTGTTGTTGTTGTTATCGTATTCATCTACCGATTTCCAAAACATATCATCTTCCTTTTCCAAAGATATTTTAGTTAAATCAGGTATTAAGAAATAAGTTGCTACCAATCCAACACAAGCAATACCTCCTGCAACTAAAAAGTCAGCTCTATATCCTGATTGAGAGGAAGAAAAGGCATTGGCTATGGGCAAAAAGAATTGGACTCCGACAATACCACCCACTTTTCCAAAAGCTGCGGATATACCATAACATGTGGAACGAATGACTGTGGGATATACTTCAGAAGGTATCAAATAAATAGGAATGACCAATAAGATTTGAAACATTCCTTGAAAGATATACAACACTAAATAAGCAGCAGGTTTACCATAAAGAATAGGATAAAGACCACCAATAAGGAATAGAGTCACTGCATAAGTAAAGAATCCAAACATGAGAATATTCTTTCTTCCCAATCGATCGATCAGAAAAGCTGCCAAATAAGCCATCGGTATCCAAGCCATATTGACCAATTGATAATATGCAATATGCATCAAAGAACTTCCAGTTACATTGGCCAATATATCGGCACCAAATGTTAAAAAGGAAAAGTATATCGAGTCCATAAGAAACCAAGTCAAACAAGTTCCCAAAAGACGCCATCCAAAGGAACGAATCACAACTATCAATGGAAAACGTCGACGAATGGCTTTGTCTCTTTCATATAAACGAGAATTTTTCATACAAAGTCGAAATAAAAATACAATAGCAGTAGGAAGGATGACCAATCCAATGGATATTCTCCAAGTAGGTTCCAGTTGAGAAGCTTGGGTACCAAATATATGCAAAAGAATGATTTGTACGATGGTAACCACATTTTCAGATACCATTTCTATACAAGGCCCTAATAAGGCAATCCTTCTTCCTCTCTTCTCCACCGATAGTGAATCTCCATCTTCACTATTTGTTGGCATACAACACGGATATTCTCCTCCAGAACCAACACCACTAAGACCTCTTCCAATAGTAAGAGCCCAAAATAGACCTTGAATAGAACCATTGGCTCCATTAGCAGCTGTAGCTATTATAGCTCCCATAATAATCAAAGTGGAAGTGATCAATAAAGATACCTTTCTTCCAAAGTAGTCGGCAATAACCCCAAACAATAACTGTCCAACTAAAACTCCATATAATAGTGCGTTGTTTACTCTGGTTTCCACTGATTGAGTATAATATTGGCTATATTCTATACTCCAAATTACGTTGAGAAGAGAAATAACGTTGTATTGATAGCCTGTACTGATGAATCCCAAACTACATCCAAATAGATTGGCTTTGGTGGCAGATATGGATTGGAAAGAGAACCAGGAAGTGATACGTGAATACCAAGAAGGAGAAGGTTGTTTATCGTCTAATACATCTAGTACAGGACCAACTATTTCACTTTCAGTCTTTGTATGGTCCATCAAGTCGAGTTGTTCTTTATCAGCCATACTATGCGTCATCATTATCCCTCTCAATCAACATCCAGTATTATCAAGTTGGCTGATCGTTCTTGAAAAGCAAAAATCATCAACGGATAGATAATCCGTTGATATCGTTCGTTATGGATCATCAATGGATTGAATGACTGTCTTAATAGCTTTGGCATAATTTTCTGGTAAATGATCCACCAACATACCTTTCAATCCAATAATTTCTCTCAATTGTTGTTTCATGATCGTAGACATGGAATAAATAGGACGATTATGGTGACATTGGAAATATCTATTTGTGGTTCTTATCTTCTGTAAATGATAGATTGTGCCACCTACAAATAATCTTTGACTTTCATATGTCTCATCTGAAGAATGTTCCAAAGTAGAAACATCCAAATGAATCCAATTCGTCCAACCTAACCATAAAGCTAAACGTTGAAAGGAATTATAACGTTTGGCAATTTGACAAGCACGAAAAAATCGACGTAAAGCAGGAATACTCAATCTAGGAACAATATCGTTATTATGTACAAATGAAATAACAAAAGAATGACAAGCTTCCGCCAAAGTATCACTCAAAACAGGTGGAGGACCAAATGCATAACATTGCAAATTGTCACAAATATTTCTTTCTCTCAACAATATACTCAATACCATTGCACATCCTGCTCCTAAAGAATGTCCTGTAACTATCAGTCGATAGGAAGGATATGATTCACAAGCATTTCGTAAAATGGGTTCCATAGTTTGAGTTAATCTCTGTGCTGCACGAAGCATTCCATTATGTACAAAACCATGAATAGTATTTTGAGCAAAAGTTATTTTCAAAGGTTCGTTGAGTCCATCCAAGTCGGTAAGTGCGTCGGCAATACTCAAAGTGCCACGTACAGCAACCACAATAGAAAGTGTTAAATGATCATAACAAATATAATAAGCTGGAAAATAAGTATCAGCTTTGAATTTATGGGCTACAATATCTTTAGAGTGCACTCCAGTACGAAGAAATATCACCAATTGGGGAGTTATTCCTAATATAGCCTGGGAAGGTTTTTCAATAGCAAATAATAAAGGCCCAAATACTGCTTCTGCGTGTTGCATAAAACGCTTTGCTTGTTCCAGAGTTTCTAAAGGTTTGTTTTGAATAGGTTCTGAAGGTTGGGTTTGTCGATGAGAAGAACCTTGTATTCTTTTATATACTTTGACCCCCAAAATCCAGTCGTCAGGTAATAAGTCTTGAAATCCGTTTCCCACTATAAGACTAGAAAAGTGTGAAATGGCTTGTTTTGTTTCTTCCTTTTGCTCATTTTCTTTCCAAAACAAGTCACATTGGAAACAACAAAGGCAACAAAAACGACGAAGACGCTTTTCATAAAGGGCTAGTAACTCTTCTTCTTCATCATCATCATATTCAAACTTATTTCTTGATTAGAAACAGTTTCTTCTTGTTGTTGTTCTTGGATATTGTCATTCTTTCTCAAAACAACAGTTTGAGGAGTTGATGTTTCCATATCTTCATTGGCCATGATTCAAAAGATCCATTCTATCATATGAATCAACAGCTGTCCTTTTTTGTTCTCCATTGGACAGTCTTTGGCATGAAACATCAACCACAACGTTCTCGACTGGGTCTTAGTTGGGTGGTGGGTTCGTTTCTTGTTACATCACATAGTCTGTGGAAACACTTTTCCAAAAGGTACGTTCATAAAGCTCGAGGTTGGAACTGATTTTTCACTATATGATTGTTTCCATCTCGTATTAGTTACAAGTGTAGATTGATTTGTCAAAGGAACTTTCAGTCAAGCAGAGTTTGGAAATATTGTCAAAGACCACCTCGTTTGTTGCGTTATTTTGAGTTGAAAGAGTCACCATCTACGTCTCGTAGCTATTGGACAAGTCACTACGCTCATTGGAAAATGCAACACAACTCCTCTTTGCAACCTCAAACTTGGGTAGAAAACAGTCATCGTTTTCCAAGACATATCGAATTTCGTTCGGATAAACTGAGCAACTTTGGTGGAGAATTGCTAGTACTGGGTTTAGAAGAGTCTCAAAAACAACAGGAAGAAGTACATCCAATACCTTCCACTCTAGTGGATCAACTAGATAAGCAACAACAGGAAGCAATATACTCTCTTCTAAAGGAGGTAAGACTTTATAACTTTTTGTAATTTTTGTGAAAATAACAAAAGTGGATTAGACCCGCTTTCAAGGCAAGTTGGGAAGTAGTCAGTATCAACGAATATTTCTACCCGGTGTGGGTATCAGATATATTGCTTTGTTTGGACTCGGCAAAATAGAAAACTCCAACACTACAACAACGATCGACATCAGAAGGAAATTGGGTGCATTCATAGGCCAAATTGCTCTTCAGTATAAAACTTGTACAAGTGCAGGTATATGGACCTCGTTCTCTTCCTGGACACAAGACCAAATACAAGCATTATTGGAAGAGATTATGCTTAGCTCGTACAAAGACGATCGATTCAAAGGTACTCCAGACGAGACTGACTCACCTTGTATTAAAGAAGTTTGTCTACTTGATGAGACAAAAGTACAATCTTCCACAGTCACAAAGGCTAAGAATATGGTCTCGGGTATTATCATGACCAAGGAGTTGGTGTTTGCTCCAGCAAATAGTGTTACTCCAACATTGTTATCTCAAGTAGCTATTCATTTAGCCCAACAATATGGAATGGAATACAAAATACTGGACAAGGAACAATGTCAAAAGATGAATATGGGTTGTTATTTGGGTGTTGCACAAGGGTCCTCAGAACCTCCCAAGTTTATCCATTTAAAGTATTCTCCTGTGCAAGGACCAGTGAAAAAGAAGATTGCTTTGATTGGAAAGGCAATTACCTTTGATTCTGGTGGTTACAATTTGAAAGCAGGAGTCGGTTCCATGATTGAATTGATGAAATTTGATATGGGAGGCTGTGCTGCTGTTTTAGGTGCTGCCAAAGTTATTGGAGAATTAAAGCCCAATCATATCCAAGTACATTTCATTGCAGCTTCTTGTGAAAATATGATATCAGGAAATGCTTATCATCCAGGAGATGTATTACAAGCTTCCAATGGAAAAACAGTGGAAGTTATCAATACGGATGCAGAAGGAAGACTTACTTTGGCTGATGCTTTGGTTTATGCAGAACAAATCGATACATTCGACTGCATCATCGATGTGGCCACATTGACTGGCGCCATCATCATCGCATTGGGAAATGAGTATGCCGGTTTTTGGGCCAATCAAGAGGAATTGGCCAAACGTATTGAAAGTGCTTCTCAACGTTGTGGTGAGAAACTTTGGAGAATGCCTTTGGTCAATGAATATATGGAATCTTTAAAGAGTAAGATTGCAGACTTGAAGAATGTGGGTGGAAGGGCTGGTGGTTCTATAGCTGCTGCCTTGTTTTTAAGAGAATTCGTGAAACATGCTCCTTGGGCCCACATAGATATTGCAGGTACTGTATGGAATGAGAAACAATCAGTAGCTACAGGTTTCGGTGTGCGTACTTTAGTAGAGCTTTGTGAAAGTTATTCACAAGAATAAAGACAAGTAGGAAACCAAGAAGAAAAAAAATTTAAAATTTTCTTCATTGTGTTGGGGCGCGCCAAAAAATTGAAAAGCGTGTTGTTCTCTTTGTTGGTTTCGCTTTATGTTATGGATGCTTTCCAATCTGCAGCATTGATAAGAATAAAAAAGGAACTAGAACAACTGTATTCTAACCCACCAACTGGCATAAAGGTATGGACTAAAGGTGATAACCTTTATGAATTGGAGGCAGAAATAACGGGACCTGAAAACTCTCCTTATGAAGGAGGTCGTTTTCTTTTATTGATACAGTTACCTTCTAGATATCCTATTGGAAGTCTCATCTTTATCGACTCTGTATGACTCTTGTCTATTGTCCTGAATATATGATTTTATTGTATGATTTTTCTTTGATGCCTTGTAATTTACCTCTTAAATGTGTTTTTATTTCTTGTTTGTTTGTGATTTTTTTGTTAGTAGGCATTCGTTTTTTGCTCGTATAAGCTCAATCGGGCAAGATGCTCTCATGGCAGATGTTGCTGATGAGTATCGTAAATGTTGTTCCTACTATTTTTGAAAAATGGTCAAAAGCGTGGACTCATTTATATCTCTTCGTTTAGCTACATGTGTAAAAAAAACCATAAAATCAAAGATATTATATAAATACACCATAAAAATAATTCGAGTTACTTTTCCGTTCTTCCTTTTAGACGCAAACGAATAGGAACGCCATGCAAATCAAACTCATTACGTAAACCATTCATAAGGAATCGCATATAGTTATTTGGCAATTCAGTCGCTCCAAAAAGTACAAATTGAGGAGGTCTTATATCAACTTGGGTGAGATAAGCCAATTTTGGTTTTTTCTTACTTGAAGACATTGCAGGTGGAGGCCTCAAACTTATCAAAGTCTGTAGCCATTCTGTGAGTTGGGAAGTGGAAATATTTTTGTTCCACTTTTGAAAGGCCTCTTGTATAGCATTTCCTATCCTATCGAATACTGTAGCATCCGTTCTATCGATGGCAGACAAGGTAAAGATAGAAGAACCTTTCAAGTCAGGTAACATTGAATATAGTTGAGTTGACAACTTTTCTAGTTGAGACTGTGCCATTTGAGGGTTCACCAAGTCCCATTTGTTTGCAATGACAATCAAAGGCTTTCCAACATCAATAGCAAATCCAATAATTCTCGCATCTTGTTGCGTCAAATGTTGCTTTTATGGTTGAGTATTTGATCCACACTCTTTTGTGTTTGGTTACTTACCGATCCATCCAAAACTACACAAACGACATGGGATTTTCTTATAGTTTTCAGAGAAGTTTCCATACTAAAACGTTCCATGCGCACTTGAATAGCTGATCTTTTACGAATTCCTGCAGTATCCGTTAATATAAAACGCTTCTCTTGATGAATCCATTCTACCGGAATGGCATCTCTAGTAATTCCTTGTACTGCTCCAGTAATTAATCTATCTTCGTCAATCAATCTATTGATCAAAGTAGATTTACCAACATTGGGTCGTCCTACAATAGCTACTCGAATATCTTCTTCTTGTTGTTGTTGTTGTTGTAAAAGGATATTCTCCTCATTGACTTGGACCATGTTGGTTAGGTTCTCTACATTCTCTCTTGTTATTTCCTCATCAGAGACTTGTTTGAGTGAATGCAATGCGATAGGATCTTGTTCTTGACGAGCTAGTTCTTCCTCATTCAGTCTTTGTACAATTTCTTCCATTTGTTGTTGTTCATAATCCTCATCTGAAGGTCCTTTTGGCAATGGTTTCCTTAATACATTAGGAATCAATTGCTCCAATCGACCATATAGTTCATAAAATCCTTTCATTTGTTCAACCGATACTTTGACAGGCTCACCAAGTCCAAGTGTATATACCATCGATATATTATCTTCCGAAGCTTTTGTATCGCACTTGTTTGCAATCAAAATAATAAACTCTGGAGACTTTTTACTAAGAAGCCATCGAGCAATCTCCTTATCTACCTTTGTAATCCCATCCTTTACGTCCACCATAAAGAATATCACATCTGCTTCTAACACTGCTTGCTTCGATTGTTGTTCCATTCTTGTATATACGTAACGATACACATCTTCTTCTTTGTATTCCATTGCAGAGGACGAAGCCACAGACTCACAAGTTAAGCTAACTTCATCCAATTTGGGTTCTTTACTATGAACTCCTTCCAATCCTGCGGTATCCATAACGGTGAATCGATAGTTTCCTAATATTGCATCGTTACTTATCAATCGGTCTCTAGTCATACCAGGAGTTTTATCTACGAGTGATAATCTTTTCCCCACCAATCTATTAAACATACTAGACTTTCCAACGTTGGGTTTCCCTATCAAAGCTATCTTCATATTCGTATCTATAAACTCTTTGTTTAATTCCTTTGCAATTCTTCTAAAGTGTCTTATATCTTTATCTTCAGCTGGTGGACCCATCCCAGAGGAAAAGCAAGCACAAGAATTCTTTAGAATAGGTGACAAGTACTTTATGGTTTGTTGACTCTTCAAAGAAAGAGGGTATAGTTGTTTTATAAGTGGTGGTGGTGGTTGATAATATAACTTTTGTAAAACTAATCTTGCCATGAGTAGTGTATACATATATATATTTCTATAGAATATATCAACGGGTATATATACAACCGTGATGACTTATCCACTCCAACCAACGTTTCCAATGATCATTCCTACTTAAAGTATTGGCATTTCCAATGACTATCAAACCACTTCGACTACGAGTTATGGCAACATTCAATCTTCTCCAATCCTGTAAGAAACCAAGTGATTGAGATGGATTACTTCGCACAGTAGAAATAATGATGATATCTTTTTCACGTCCTTGAAATCCATCCACTGTTTTCACTTCCACATAAGATAACCATTCTGTAGATGTTTCTCTATCCATTCTATCCATAATATCTCTCATTTGTCCAGCATATGGAGTAATGATTCCAATAGTTGGAAAAGATTGTTGGAGAGTATGATTACTGTTTTGAGCAGTCATCCAATTTTCTACAATTTGTGATATGGTTTCTATCACTACTTGAGACTCTTGAGGATTACAATAGGAAGTGCCTTGTTCAGTAACCCATTCTTCACCAAGGACTGGAATAAAGGCAATAGGCGTTTGAGGATTAGGCCAAGGAAAGTAATTGGATATCGATTGAGTACAAGGTGCAGAATGCAATAAGCCATGATAGAAATATTGACTAGGAAATGCTGCAATCGAAGGATGCATACGATATTGAGTACGTAATAGATAAGGCTCCACACCTGAACGAACTAAACGTTCAAATAAACTCACAGAAAGACCACTTTCAGCTGCCTCAGGATTCAAAATAGTGGGTGGTAATTGATAGTGATCACCAGCCAAAATCAATTGTTCACATCCTTTGATAATTGGAATCAGTAAACCTGGTTCATGTGATTGTGTAGCTTCATCAATTGCAACTACTTGAAAAGAAATATTCTTTAATATTTCTTCACCAGCACCCACACAAGTACTTAATACTATGGGATACTTGTCGAGTATCTCTTTGGTCGCAATCATTTCTGTTTGTTTCAACTGACCAAGTGACTTTGAATAGTCTCGATGAGCTAATCCAATAGCTTTGCCTCTTTTGGGTTGGGCAAGTCTTTCCATTGCTTTCTTCAAGTTTTCTCTCTTCTCTATAATTCTCGTATCTCTTTCTAAAAGGGAATCCAAAGAATATTTCCATAAATTGCGATGAATATTGGCAGGCTTTCCAATTCTTATTGCAGGAATATTGTAACGTTCCAGTTCATCGAGTATATTATCCGTAGCAATATGAGTATATGCACTAGCTAATATGGGAGTTCGACCTAATTGGACTAGACTTGCAAGAATTTTGGCCAATGTCTTGGTTTTCCCAGTACCAGGAGGCCTAGAAATATTTCAGTTGTTATTCTTCCTCTTTCTATCTATCTATCTATTTATATATCTATCTATCTATTTATATATATATATATATATATCCAAATACTTACCCTTGAATCAAAGTAAGTCTTCTTTCCAAAGCATTCTTCCAAGCAGTTTGTTGTGACTCATTCCAATCATTCTCATCTTGTCGAATCTTTTGCCATTCCGATGGACTCTGTGGAAATATTCGAGAACGACATAGTTCATCCAATGTTCCTTGTCTGCCTTGTGATGTAACCAATTGTACTAAATAACTTGAACAAGTATGATAATCATTCCATCCTCCTTTAGGTTCTTTTTGTATATTCCCATCTTCTATAATCTCTTTAGCAAAACTTTTCACAATTATTTGACTGATTTCATGATCACTCTGTTGAGCCATCGTTATTAGCTCTTCAACGGCATTTTTGGAACGCTCAAACGCAACTGTATTAGATATTTGATATACAGTCCAATCTTTTCCAGCCATCCATTCTTCTCCTACGACGATACGTAGATACTTGGAGTGTCTTTCTAATAGAGTCCCTCGAATAGACTCTTTTCCACGCACACAAAGTACCCAATCACCTTGAGTCAATCGATGATAAGGTAACTTTTTATATGAATAGAGTTTAGCAACTCCTTGACCATATAAAGCTCCATCCAGTTGTGCATTTAGTTCAAATAAAGCAAGACCTTGTCTTTCCAGTCTTTGTCTACTCCACTTGAGACGTTCTTTTACTTGTTCTTGTTCAGCTTCCATTTCCATATCTAAAAGTGGTATGAAGTGGGAGGCATATGGAGTTGAGTCATAAGGCGCTTTCTTTTTCTTTGCTGCTACTGTTTGACTTTTTGAACGAGTTTTGGTTGTTTTCTCGAATACTCGTGCTAGAGACGCCAATTGCATGGTTTGTATATACTGTTTATTCTTTTGTATAAAATACATTCTGGAATATTGCCAAGGAATAGTAGTCAAAACAGCCATTTTCATGATCCATAAAGAGCTCATGAAATATGATGATTGACAGAGAATGATGGAGTTACTTGACACAACATCCAATTCATAGAATGATTCATTTGTTGTAGGCGATATTCCAATCTTCTAATTCTTCTTTCACGTATAAAATAAGGAATCTTTGTTATTTGTCCTTGTCGATGATTATTCTCTTCTTTTTGTTGTTGCTTTTCATAACCATTCGAATCATTGTCATAAGCAACTTGGTCTCTCTTCTCCTTATCTATCGATTCTTTAGTACAACTCAATGGATAAAAGAATGGATTTTCCTTATCCCATTCCTGAGATATCTTTTCATCACTCTTTGATAGTTGCTTCTTAGCTATTTGTTGCATTTCTGGAGATTCCATCGTCATATCATGAATGGTTTTCATTTTCTTGCTTTGTTGGTCCTTTTGTTGTCTCATAAGGTACTTTTTACAATGACTTCTTACTTGGGAAGCAGTTTTGGTACCTATTTTGTTAGCAATAGATTGCCATTGTCCTTTACCATATTCTTCCAATCCTTGAAGAAATAGAAAATGTTCTTTTTTTGTCCAAGAACGTTTCACTGAAGGTTGATCTATTGAAACCATTTGCCATAAAATATCATAAGCATTCATACAACTATTTTCCAAAACAACTTACTCGATAATAGATATGGATTCTCTTCCGAATGATGATTTTTATCTTTTACAATTGCTTTGTTTATATCACTAGTTGAATTGCAGATAATTGCTTGGGATTCTTTGGGAGAGTCATGATTCGATGTTCGAGAAGAACAACGTCGTATTGTACCAGTCGTTGAATATCTACTTCTTTTCCATTTTTCTTGACGTATGCGTTCCACTTCATTATGCAATAGGTCCGAAGATACGATATCACGTAATTGATGAAGTAATGTGTGAGTTTTTACTTGTTTTCCTTTCCACGCTTCATAACATCGTTTCACATTTTCTTGATCAACAATATCCAGTTTGGGTAATATCGCACGTATCATTTCATCCATATGCACTATACGAGAACGATTGTATATTATCTTTTTACTTGTCGTCGTTTGTTTATCTGGATAAGAGTCATTGGATATCCCTGAAGAAGAAAGTGATGAAGGATGATTTGATTCTTTCCAATTATCGTTGGCATGATTATCCATATCTGTAGGTATTCTATTTCCCCAATCCTATACAAAAAAAAATAGTGGAGATGAATGGTCACTTTATCAATATTCTTTATATAATAACACAATATCAATATATAAGAGTTTCAATCCTAACCAAGTCTCAGTAGTATTTGATTGCTTTTTCCCCCAATTGGGCGCATTTTTCTTGTGGACACAAGGACCGTTATCAACATAGCATTTTTCCTTTTCATGAAAGAAAAGAGACACTTCCTCCTCCTACTCCTCCTTCCTTATAGAAAATAGCATTTTGGATATTTTCTTATCCACACAAAAAATAAAATAGAAAACAAACAAACACATATACATTGATATATATATATATATATATTTATAGATAAATGGACTACGCGACAAAACAAACACAAAAAAAACCCTTTTCCGAAAAATCAACCAACTGTAAACCCACAAGTTGTGCAAAAGAGATAATAGCAGAGACCACCAACTTATTACTTTTTGACAACTGTCTTCTTCTTTTCACCCGTGTCTTCACTATGCTTGGCCTTGGCTAAACCCACCACCAATCCTAGAATAACGACACCTCCAAGGTAAGGGAGAATTTTTTTCCACTTTTTCTTCGATTCGGTTGTCTTTGCTCTCGTATTACTTCTTACTCCTACCGACGTATAAGGGTTTCCTGTATCCATTGCACACCACCTCTCTTCTTCTTCTTCCACCAATCAATCAAATCTCTCTATCCATTCATTCCAAACCCGCGCAATCTTAGCTTGGATTTCCTTTTCCTTATGAGAATCCTCATCGGATAGGACAAATAGATAAACACCGTAATTGATAGGATACAGGAGGTGAACACTCCAAAGAATTATCTACTTTACAACTTGTAGGAATATCCACATCAATTCCCTTTCTATGTATATCTATGTGATTGGGAGTCAAGTATTTCATCGTCGTAACAGCAATAGCTATTCAAAACACAACAAAGATAAGAAAATATAAAAGCTACCTTTCTTTCTTTTACTTACCACTTCCATCAGATAAAGGAAATACTCGTTGTACAACTCCTATCATACTCTACTCTGTTGATAATCATTCCTATTGAAATACNCAACTTGCCTTTTCCAAAAGTTTTATGACCCAATATCAACGACCCTCGTTGTTCATGTAAAGCTGCAGTTACCAATTCACTTGCACTTGCAGTATTCTATATATATATATATATATAAATAACTTGTTCAATCATATATACAACAACGACAATGGACTTGCCTCATTGACCAAAATGACTACACAACCATCTATAAAAATGCCCGGTTGAGTGGACTTGTAAGTTTCTTCTATTCCACGATAATCCACAGTATAGACAATCACCTTATCTGTATAGGAAATAGAAATATGTTATCCAAATGATTGGATGGCCTTCTCTTACCATGAGGAAGAAACAAACTAGCAACTCCTATACCAGCAGGAAAATATCCACCTGCATTATCTCTCAAATCCAATATCAAACATTCGATATGTTGTCGTTTCCAATTCGTCAATACTTCTTTCACTTGGTCTACGGTATGAAAATCAAAACTACGAATTCGTAGATAGCCAATCTAATCATTCAACTCTATTGAGATGATTATCATTCATGATCAAAACCTACTTGTTGGGATGCAGAAAAAGGTTTGAAAATGTTACTTTCTACCGTTTTCAATACATAATCTTGGCGTCGAATAGTTTTGGATAATCGTTGTCCATTTCTTTCCAATATCATATGTACAAGAGTGTCTTTCTCTCCACGAATATGCATAGCTACTTGTTCCACATTCTTTGCCTATTATAAAAGAACAAATATATTAGATTCATCAACCAACAACAGTTTACTTTTATCGACTTGCTTGGGAAACTGAAAAATGATCGATAGCAATGATGGCATCCTTTGTACGAATATCTGCCAACGCTGCTGGAGACTGTGGATAAACATAAGTAATCAACACCTTGTCATTTTCTATTTGAGGAGCCATTTGAATACCAATTCCAGTCAATTGTCCAGTTGCCTAGAATAGATGAGAAAGGAAGCTATGGATATTACAAGAGTTACCGTTGCTTGTAAAGATTGATATTCTTCAGGTTCCAATAGTCGAGTATAAGGATCATGTAAAGTTGATAACATATCTTTTATCAAGGAATGGGCGTTGTTAGAGTTGACTTGACGAAGAACCTTTTGTCGTAGTTGAGACCAGGTAGGGTGAATACTTGAGTCTACATAATATTTATCGATATATTTCCAAGCTTCCCATACCCAAGATTGTTCTTCAGTCAGAGACCAAGTCAAAGGAACAACACACAAAAAGACGATAACGGCACCCACAGAAGAAAGTAGTTTGCAAGTCACTTGATGGAACTGTTGACTAGGAGTTGAATGACGTTGACTACAAGTGATGATAGTAGTTGGTAACTTTATTCTTGAAGGTGTAACGTTCTTGTACTTGGTACAATGGAATGAAATATGATTGCAGCAAGTGACAACACAACTAAGAGATACGAATATCGGTGAGAAGGAGGAATACGACAATCTCTCTCTTCTCCATTTCATCAATTCATCCATTCTTTTTCTTGAATGCGATTGAGCCATCATTTATTCTTTGCTTACAATGATGTTGTTTGTTTATCTCAACTCAATTCATAACCATAAAAGTCTCAAAACAAATAGCAAACAAGTCAATAGAGAATGTTACCTATTCAAGTATACAACCAAGAAGAGTAATCCTATCTTAGTCATGTCTATAAACAATCTATCGAGAAGAAAATGGATACAATATTCAGGAATAGCATTATTATCATTCCTCATCCAAAAGAAGGTTGTTGCTTCTCATCCCACTGAAATAGAATATATTTCTCCAAAGCAGGCATATGAGAGACTCAATTCTAGTAAACTAGTGGACGTAAGAAGTAGTGAAGAATATAAAAGTACGTATTGTTATAATATTTTACTTGTAGGAATATTGAATGGACTAGGTCAACATATCGAGGGCTCTATTTCTATTCCTTTGTCAACCAATGAGTTTGTGGCTTCATTTCAAAAGCAGTTTCCTTTCAATACTCATCTGATAATAGTTTGTCAAACGGGTATGCGTTCTTCTAAAGCTGCACAACAACTCATACAATCTGGTTATTCCCATGTCTCTGTGATTCGTGGTGGACTCAATGAATGGAATAGACAAGGACTATTCCTAACTAGTTCATAGTTTTTGGTTATCATATGTTGATAAGAAGAATGTTGAATATTTCTGAACATTGTTTTAATAAATATCAATAGTATTGTTTCTTATGTGAAATCAGATGAGCTTCTTATTTCACAATATTATTATTTATAAATAGGTTTGGGTATATGGATGATATAAAGTATCGGATTCCGAAACTTGATTATCCAACCATCTTCTTCTGATACAATATTTTATGACAAATAAAGGTAAACTGAGTACACATGCAACAGATAGAATGACCAAAAGAGTCCAAAACTGAGGAATGGCATTTTCCACCTAGATATATATATTTATATATACATATATATGTGTGTGTGTGTATGATTGAACAACTTCACAATACTTACTTTACAGAAACAAAGACGACCCATACAACTTGGATATATTCCTACAATGCTATGAGAATCTTCTCTAGGTTGACAAGTACCCGATGGAATATGAAAAGCACAACTTTCATCCAATGAACATGTCTCACAATCATCATAACGTTCACAACCAACCACTTGACAATCACCAGCAAGTGCAAATCCTATTCGATGATTTCGTCGATCAAAAATGGTTAAATATCTTTAAAGTATTATTGAGTTGTATCTAATAGATATTCTCACTTACTTGGTCATGACAGTATTTCCAAGAATCACAAATGGACTGCCATCTTTACTAGGTAATGACTGAATACCCAAACAATACAAACTAAAACCATTGCGTTGGACTTGTAACATATAATCATAAGGTGTCAATATCAAATCAACTCTATTGGCAACATGTATGGTTAGTGTTGGTAAATGTTGTAAATGAGACTCCTCTAAAATAACACAAGAAGCACTATCAAACCAAGAATGTTGATAATCACATAAACCAGGAACTTGACAGTAATGAGTTTGTAAGTAATTCTTCAATTGAATAAAAGCTTGCTCAGATATCACCAATAATGTGGTTCCAGAATCGACAATTCCTTTATCAAAGCCATCTAAACTCAATTCTTCATTATCTACTCGAATGGAACCTCCCAAGGAAACAGCATAAAAAGTGGGAGGAGAAGATAGTATCATCGGTACAAAAGTTATATTGGATGCTGCCATATTCGAATCGTATCCACCCAAAACCAAATGACCTCCACGAACACTTATACAGAGAGAAAACATATTTTGTTCTATTTTGGATTGTCGAAACATCGAATCTATCAATGGCTCTATACAAGAAGGAGTACAACCTAATGCTGGATATCCCATTCCTAAAATACCATCGACAGAAGATTGTTCAAAATTGGTTGTGTCTTCTAGAATACCACCAAAATGAGCAACAAAACTTGCATTGCCAACTTGGACTTGATCAACTAACAACGCTCCTTCAGCACCTGAACCATCTCCATAACGTAAAAAGAAACCACAAGCTTGAGGCATTTTATTTGCACAACAAGCTCCCGAAGAAGAACACTCGGAACAACCTAAAGCTTCACATATATTACTACTGCAAAGTGGGTCATTACAACCAACTATACTACTCTTGCTTTGAAGATGGGAAGAATATTTGGAACTAGTCTTCCGACAAGAAACGCATCCTTCCATAGGAACTGCCAAGGTAGAAGACCCAGTATCCACTTGTACTCGAAATGGAGTACCTCCAATCTTGATTTGTATATAATATTCTCCTACTGAAACGATACCACCGTTCAACTCGATGGACTCGTATCGTACAAGTGGAGGATGACGAGGATATACTTTGGATAAAAAAGATAAACTAGAAACCAAAGATAATAACCGATCCCAAAAAGAATACTGGAAAAGTTTTACTTGGTATGGAAAACCTCTTCCAGTAGTTGGATTCCAAGGTTTAGGTGATTGATAGATCAAAGGTATAAGGGTGCGATTGGTTACAGGAATTCGAGGATACTTAGAATTGTATAAATCTTGAAGATTGGTATGAGACTTAATTGAACGAGTCTGTAGTTGATAAAGAAATAAAATGAACACAATAGTCAACGGAGGAATCCATAGGCGTATCCAACCCAACATCATGGAATGGAATACAACAAAAGTCTTTCTCTCATATCATTTTCCCCAATATTCATATTCCTCCAATTTTATTTTTCTCTCTTTTCTATATTTTTCTCTCTCTTTTCTAATTTTCTTGTATTTTTCTCTCTTCTTTCCTGGATGTTGAATGGATGATAATACACATCTCATTTTACATTGGTGTATGTTGTAGTAGGAATGGGTTGTCCTTGGTTGGTTTTCTCAAATCGTCTCGTTCGAACGACTTTTCACTTAAAAAGAGGACTATCACAAGCTGTGAAAAGTGATCAAGCCTCCACAACTACTGAAGCACCTCATGTCTCTAGTGGGGGTTCTTCTTTACATCCGCAGGAAATACCCAAAGATGCCGTCAAGTTTCCGTTGAAACCCTTTGCTACACATCTCATTGAGACCCCAGAACCAGTTGCTTATGCCACGAAAGAACAATTATTAGCATATCATCGTACTATGACTGTTATGAGGAGAAGTGAGATCAGTGCTGATTTGTTATATAAAGCACAGTTGGTTAGAGGATTTTGTCACTTGTATGATGGACAAGAAGCCACAGCTGTGGGCATTGAGTCAGCCATCACTTTTCAAGATGCACTTATCACTGCTTATCGTAATCATTGTCAACAACTGGGAAGAGGAGATACTCCATTTACCGTGTTATCCGAGTTGTTGGGAAGATATACCGGCTGTTCAAAAGGAAAAGGAGGCTCTATGCATTTGTATAAAGCTGAGAATAAATATTTTGGAGGAAATGGGATTGTTGGAGCTCAAGTTCCTTTGGGAACTGGTTTAGCTTTTGCTGAACAATATTTCAAAACTGGCAACATTGCGGTAACTATGTATGGAGATGGTGCTGCTAACCAAGGACAAGTAGCAGAAGCTATGAATATGGCAGCGTTGTGGAAGTTGCCTTGTGTTTACGTATGTGAGAATAACAAATATGGAATGGGAACGAGTACGGATAGAGCTTCTGCCAATACTAACTTTTATACTCGTGGAGATGTCATTCCTGGAATTCGGGTGGATGGAATGGACGTTTTGTCTGTTCGAGAAGGAATGAAATTGGCTGCTGAATATGCACGTTCTGGAAAGGGACCGATTGTATTGGAAAGTGTTACTTATCGGTAAGTTGTTTGTGTATTGAACTATTTTTATATCATAAATGTTATGATTAGCTATCATGGCCATTCCATGTCGGATCCTGGATTATCATATCGTTCAAGAGAAGAAATTACGGAGATGAGAAAGCGTGCAGATCCCATAGAGTTGGTCAAATCTAGAATACTTGAACAAGGTTGGTCAACAGAGAAGGAGTTGAAGGCTATTGAAAAAGAAATCCGTCAACAAGTGGATGAAATGACTGAGAAAGCTAAACAAGCATCATTACCTCCACTGGAAGAACTTTATCGTGATATTTATGTGGAAGGTATTCAACATGTTCGTGGTACTTTGGTGAATAATGGACTTGGCAATTACTTGGCATAAATTCCAGAGTTTGTTGTTATGTAAAATCATTGTACTAGTTGACTACCATAACCAATGACAAGATAACTTTGCCCTTCCTTGCTCCATCCAGTAACTCGTTGAAATAGCACAACTATCTCTCAAGAGTTGCAAAGATAGTTTTGTTTCCATTGGCTGTGAGATTGTCATATCATTGAGTTTCTGCAAACTATAGAGCAACACAATACTTACTTGCCAACAAGCAGTTCCCAAAGTCCATCTCCTTTCCACTCCCAATCTACAGTTACCATATAACTGTTGAACAATACCACAATTCAAAGCCTATTAAAATTCAATCTCATTGTATTGTTCATTATTATTTATATATCCATTTCTTACCGTTCGTTGTTCTTCTCTTTCAAATAGAAATGTAGATAGCACACCCACTGTTTGAGATATCTCAACAGAGAATCCACTAAAGTCCAACCACTTTTTACGAAGCTTTCCTATTTGACCTTGGACACCTATGCTACAAGTTGCACGTGCAGTTAATGGCTTTCTTTTCAACTTTTCCTTAAGCAATCATGTGAATAATTGAAAAAAAATCAAAAAGAGACATCTACTTACTGCTCTACCCACAAAATGTCCAGTCATAGCCACAAAACTCAAAGGCAAACGATATTGTTGATGATGGAGAGTTGATAAAGAATGATTTTCCTTCCATAAGAAATGAAGATATTCCATTTCCAAAGTAGCAAAACTACGTTGAATGGTTTCTTGACGTTCATCTGAAACACCCAATCCATAATGATATTCCTAATTATCTGTTATGATTGATAATTTGCTCCTTTCCACAATCATGTTCCTACCATTTCTTGTATTCTATCAGCTTCGAGTGACTCCATACCAACTTCCCATTGTCTTCTTAATTGACCATTATGATAACGAGTTACTATAGGATTCTTACTAAAACTAGTTCCTAAACAGTGAGACAATTCTCTCCATTCAGATACTTGGTTGTTTCCTTCCAATGTGGTTTCTAGATATGCTGTAGCAGGATTGAATACTTTGGTTTTCCAATATCCATAAATATTCCATTTTCCAATGTATTTCTTGAAATCTTTTTCCCATAGAAAGTGTGCTCTACAACGATTCCAACCATTCTCATGCCTATCTATCAAAGAGTTCTCTCTATCACCTGAATAGTAATGAGAATAACTAGGAATAGTAGTATGTGAAGAAGAAGTAGTCATAAGACAAGTGGTTTGAATATCCTTTTTTGAGTCTTCATCATTTCTTTGCTTCTTCTCATAGTCGTTAAATGGTGAATGAACAAGTATTTCTGCCATCAAACGAGTTTCATCATTCTTATCATTCCATTTAAGAGAACAAGCCAATGCCAATCGATCTCGAAAACTTGCTTGTTTAGATAAACTAATCAGAGTAGCTACATGAAGATGTGCTTGATGATTGGCAAACCATAATGATGGCTTCATCAGTGGTTTCTAATAAAGAACAATGAAGAATGTTATTTCCAATCATACTATTCCAATCCATACTTACCGTTATATACCAACCATTCATATCCAACAATTGATATCCAACTTGAAAGTTTCCAAAAGGTAAACCATTCAAACAAATATGTTGAGTTAAATAAGGAACTCGAACTCGCTCACCCAAACAAAGTTTTGCACCACTCAGTTGCAAGTCATTGACTCCATAAGCAATCTTTTTGGCTTGAATAGAAAATGGAAGTTGAGGTATATTGTCCACAGAAGTTGGCTTCCGTTGTGGAGAATATACTTTGGCATTCTTAGCTATCCATTCATCACTCATGATTCCTTCCTCTTGAGACAAGTTTAATAACAATTGATTACTTTTCATTACAATATAGCTTTTGGATTGGTCTTGATTATCTTCCATACAACGACAAGTATTATTCAATCGTTCAAAAATGGAATCGGTATCATTTTGTTGATAGACCGAGTGAGTAGGTATTCTATATTTTGATTGCATAGAAAAGAAACGATAATTGGATGAAGAGAAAATAGAAATCATTCCATCGGTATGACTACAAGCTAAACTTCCGTTCTGAAGGTTATAAGAGCAACTAAACTTCTTCTTAGTCAAGCACTTGATATACAACCATCGATTACCTTTTCGCATTTATATTACCTTTAGGCCATAATACTTTGGTATTTCCACTCAACTCTACTTTACCACTATTCAAATCCATGGCAAGTGACTGACTGGATATCTTTGTATTTCCATCTTCCTCGAGTACACCTCCTTTGGCTTGTACTACTCCATCTTGAGTACCATAAACCATTTGGTTGCCATAAATACGTAGCTGAGGTAGAAAACTTGTGGTATTTTTGGTTAAATAGTCTTTTGATCTTTGTAACCAGTCTTGAAAGGCTTCTTTCTTTTGTGCTATTCTATGCTTTCTTATATCTTGTTCTATAGCTTGTTGGGTATCATCATCTTTTATATTTGTTACTACATACATAGTTTGTGAAACAATATATCCAAAAGGTTTTTCATTCTGATATACATAAAGTTGACTATTTTGAATACGCGATATCATCAAAGATTTGTTTCTGATAGAAAATAAATTCTTGAATGGTCATTCCTTGTGTTTGCTCATAAAACCGAATAGGCGAATCTTTTTGTCCACGCAAAAACAAATAGAAAACAGGAAAAGAACTGATATCCAATTTCCTAGCAATAGGTGGCATATCTCTTGGTTGTATAGCTGCAAAAGTCAAGTCTTCTATATAAGATAGATTGGAAGCAAGTTCCATATATTGAGGAATAAAGTCTAAACAGTGTCCACACCAAGTTGTAAAAATAAACAACACAACATCCTTATCTGAAGAATATACAACCGAAGAATAACTATCAAAGTCCAATACTTGAACTTTGCTATTATTCTTCATCCTTATTTGAGGCTCATTTTGAACAGTAGAAGCCAAGTAGATGAGTAACAATATGGAAGCTATCGATAACAGAGACAACAATAACCAAGAAAAGTATTCAGTATCTATTCTTCTTATTTTCAACCACCACCAACTTAAACGAGAACGAATAGGAATCTTATGCTTTATATGGTTTCTTTCTTTCTTTTCTTCTTGAACTGTTGTTGGAGTTTTCTTATTCGTCTTTAGACTGTCCATGTGAATCATCAATTCAATAGCCAATTGAATGAGTATATATGTCGGTTGTGGAGTCTTTCGGTATATCTACGAAACCTAAAAAGCAATCTGCTCTTCAAACACTTCCACAAAATATACTTTTTGGTGGAATGGCAGGAGTAGTGGGTACCAGTATTATCTTTCCTCTCTATACTCTAAAAACCAACTTACAAAGTAGTCATTCTACTCACTCCTCTTCTTCTTCTTCTCGTTCTCTCAAAGGAGTGACAAATATTTTATCCGTTCATCATCAGTGGAGAGTAGGTGCTGTTGTTCGTTCTATTTTAGGAAGAGAAGGTTGGAAAGGATTCTATAGAGGTCTTACTCCAACACTCATAGGAGTTGCTCCAGAAAAGGCCATCAAACTTTCCGTCAATGATATGCTTTGTTCCTTTTTATCCGATGAACAAGGAAAGACAAGTTTTATGAATAGTATTATAGCTGGAGCAGGTGCTGGATTTTGTCAAGTAATAGCTACTTGTCCTATGGAAATGTTGATGATTACTTTTCAAACTCGTTCTTCACAAGGACAACCTATACATTCTGTCACACAACTTGTAAAGGAATTGGGTATTCGTGGGATATATAAAGTAAGTTTAGCATTGCAAAAGGATGGATTCATATATGAGTTTCTATTAGGGCCTCATTGCCACATTATGTAGAGATGTTCCTTTTAGTATGATATTCTTTTCAACCAATGCCCATTTGAAAGCCACTTTTCAAGGCTCTTCAGAAAGACTTGCCATTCCTTATGTATTTGTATCGGGTATTGGTGCTGGTTGCTTAGCTGCAGTATTATCTACTCCTATGGATGTCATCAAAACAAGATTACAATCTTCCCATTCACCTTATAGAGGCATTGTGGATTGTTTTGTTCGAACATTACATGAAGATGGAATAACCAAGTTTTTCTCGGGTTCTATTGCCAGAGCTTGTATCGTATCTCCTTTATTTGGAATTGCGTTGTTATTTTATGAATTTCAAAAGAGATTGGCTTCTCCTTCATAACAAAGATATCTCATATCAGCATTATTATATATCATCATTTCAAATCACGCTATTTCCAATTAGAATCAACTGACAACTACATCAGCTGCACTACAATCCACACAAACCATAATGCCATCATCTCCTACAGATATTAAACGACTGGATTCTACACAAAACTCAACTCCCCAAACTTGTTCTTTGTGCAAGTCATGAAAATAAATACTTTCTCGTTGCCTACAATCCCATATCTATTCATATATACACACACATCATATATATAAATAATTGATAAGATAATCATTTACTTTTACCTTGACAGACCGATCGACTGAACCACTAGCCATAAAATGTCCATGATTCGATGATACATCCACTACATTGACTCCTTCTTGATGTCCACGAAGACTAGCAACCATTTCTCCATGTTCTACATCATATATATGAATCAATTTATCATCACAAGCAGCAAATAACAAATAAGGAGCTGTAGGAGAAAAGCACAAGGATCGTACAAATAGTTTCTGTCCTTTCAAAGTCTTCAACCTACTTTGAGTCATCCAATCAAATACTTGTATAGTACCATCACTTGTACTACAAACCAACCACTTGCCATCGGGACTAGTAAGTTTCCTTTATATTTCCATATATAACTATACAACATCAAAAGACTTACCTAAAAGCTACGGCAAATATAAACTTGTTGTTGCTTTCCGTTTCTAAACTCTTTTGTAAACTTCCCGTTTCCACATCCCAAATAGAGACTACACCGCTATGTCCACCAGATACGATTACTTTTCCTTGAGGATCAAAAGCCAAATCCCAAGCTTCAGCAATATTCACATCTATCGTACGTTGTAAGTGACCACTACTTGATTGCCATAGACGAATAGTTCCATCCAATGAAGAAGAAGCTAAAAGATCTCCTTTAGGTTGAAAAGCAACAGAAATAATAGCAAAAGAGTGTCCTTGTAACGTCTTCCATTCTTCCACAACGGCATCCCTATCCGTCTCTTCTTGAAGTGGAGGTTTCCATAACTTGATCAATCCTTCTTCATCACCTGTTGCTAATAAAGGTGGTGTACAATTCTGCTCGTCTCTATGAGATAAACACCATATGCCTCTTTCATGAGCTTGTAGTGTTGGTTGTGATCCAAGTGGACGAAATCTTTGCATAGTTTCTATTTTATTCCAATGAGCAGAAATCAATAGAATGGCTTTCTCTTCTTCATTCCAAATAGACATTTTAGAACAACATTCATATTACATTCATTATCTATGTATGTTTATATAGTTGAATAAGAAGTTCGAACGACCATTTCCATGAGTTTCCAACAAGATGTTTCTGATGATGTTGTTGGTTGTTCAAAAGTTGTATGGGACTCTTCACTAGGCAAGTCTATATCTCTTACCATTGCCCATATATAATGTACCGCTCTTATATAAAAGAATAAAAGAGTTGTTAATGGAATGAGAATATAAAATGGCCAACATACCGAATATCATCTTCACTACCTTCAATAACTTTGTTGCTTAGGTTGCGAATGCAATTGATTTGTTGAGCAGCAAAAGTTACAATCATGACTGGAAAGCCTTGAAGAAATTTACCCGTCATCACTTCTACTTGACTGATATCTAAAATATTCGTATCCATCTATATCATACGCATTCCATAACTATACACAAACTCCAAATATTCCAACTTACCACTAACCCTGCAGCTTCTCTTTCACGAATAGAAGCACTCAAAGCTCGATAAGCATCCTCTGTACACAATTCTTTGAGTGTTTCGCGGTCTCCTCTTAAATAGGCATTCAATATACGTGGTGCTGTTTCTCTTTCAATTTGTCTCACAAACTCAGATAACGTGAACTGAGGATCGACTTGCCGTATTTCTCGAATAACTTGACCCATTTCTGTTTCCCCAAATAAGCGGTCATAAATATTCCTAACCAATAGAACGATAGGATTGTCCGACTCATCAACTCGTTCAGCTATCCTTTCTTTAGCATATAAAGCTTGTTTCATAAAAGTAGAACCTGAAAAACGAGAAAAGATTCGGTCTCTCAGACTTTGCTTCTCTGTTTCTTCTTCTTTCTCTTGACCAGGAACCAGAACCAAACTCTTTTCTTCCATATTCGTTGGGTGACTAACATCTTCCTCATCGAGGCTTCGTTTAGTACTATAGCGTTGTTGTTCTGATTGGGTACTCATATCACAACAACCAAACATCCCATGTAGTTCCATACCATTGGAAATCCATTCTTTCCGATGCATATAAAAATTCAAACTTACAAGATTCTGTTTCTTCCAAGTTACATTATCAACTTGAGCAACTTTGTACAACGAAAACCAAGGAGAGGCTGGAACGTGTATATGAGAATAACCAACTCTAGTTGAAATCATACAACGACGTCCTATCGCATGGAACTGTTGAAATATACGCATCATCCTCCGTTGACAATGATTTTCGATCAAACAATGTCTTCGACTCATCTTCGTTTTGGTGTGTTTGGTTTTCGTGCTTTGGAAGAAAAGTGGATGGATAAGCGTCAAATAGATGCTTTAAGGCTTTTATTACAAAGAAAATTGAGAGATGCTACTGGAAAACGTGCAGAGCTATGGACCCACGTAGAGCCCAACGTACCGGTAACCAAAAGAACAGAAAAGCGCATGGGAGGTGGAAAGAGTCCCATCAAAGGTTGGAAAGGAAGAGTCAAACAAGGACAAATCTTGTTTGAATGGGCAGCTCCAGTTCAGATTCCTGTTGAAGATATTCAATCCAAGTGTAGTGTAAGGCTCCGAAGCGTGGTAGATCCCGTATATCAACTTCAGTCTTTGCAAAGAAATTGGTCACTTTAAGTGTCAACTTGAGACTCTTCCCTTTTTGTCTCTTCTTGGGAAAGAGAAACTATCAAGCGTAAATAGTCTTCGTGGATATTCTCGACCACTTGAGATATCGAGTCTTTGGTACTATCTATACTTAAGCAAGGAACGGCTTTCATTTCGGCTTGCTTCTTGTATTCCAGTTGAATATCATGCAACTCTTCATAAAGTTGTTTTGTGATATTGGAATCTGCTTCAATAGTTAACTCTTCTTCTAGTTGTGGTTCCAATAACTCCGAGTTGATCCAATATTGTAAAAAATAAGGTTTCTTTCCATTGACTGAATACTTTTCTAACGTAGCAGCAATGGAAATAGGTTGTAGAAATAAGCCATAGATAATCAACGCCTTTCCTTCTCGAAAGGATTTGTACAAGTTTTCTTCCAATGCACTGAACCAACTATTTTGTTGCACATCATTCAACAACAGTTGTTTCTTCAACTGACCAACTGTATAAGCCCAACAAGATGTACCGAATGATTCTTCCTGACCTTTCATAAGGCGCCAAGTGTGATATACTGTATCAGTATCCAATACGTTGTAAATATTCAGTCGTTCAGCAACTCTTCCTGCAATCTCAGTCATAGCTACTTGGTGAACACCATATAAAACTATTATGGAAGGCAATTGGAGTTGATAAAACTGCAACACTTTGGTATATAGTTGAAAGGAGGTTTCTGAAATGCCAAAACTTTGTGCCACTTGGAAGAGTGATTGGTTCAAGTGTTCTTGTTCAATATCCAATATGCCTTGGTCAATCAACTGTTTCTTTAAACGCAATGCTATCTTTTGTGCTTCCTTTTGTGGAACTCTACAAAGCATCAATATTTGAGACACCGAAAAACGAGACAACACATAGTAATATTGACTACCCAACCAAACACGAACTTTTACATAGTCATAACGACTAGAGACTCCTTTTACTACATTTCTAACATTTGGAGATTGCATCATTATGAAAGAAAGAACGATGATTTCTTTCTGTTTCTTTCCAAAGAAAGAAAAGAGAAATGAATAGATTACATCATCATTTTCAAGTCATATTCTATATTCATGTTATATATTTATCTTCATAAGGAAATACACAAATAAACAATATTCAAGATGTACAACCTTCAAAACCCACATTGGGTCTAGTCATATCTATATCCAACCAAGGAACAGCATGCGGTATCATCATAGGAATAGGATTGAACTCCCATAAAGTCGATTCTTTTTGAGTAGGCTTCACTAATCGTGTTCTGTGTCCTAATAAAGGATCCACATAGGAAATTCCCAATGCTACCAGTGCAAGAAGACCTAAATACTTGTTATTTAGAAATAATACGTATGCTACCCATCCAATTTTGACACTTGCCTATAATAAAACAAATCATAGATACCAACAGAAGCATACCACCTTCTACAGCAGAAGCACTTCCACGTAATGTCTCATATTTTTGATCACTGGAACATGTGTGCATATAAATAGTAGCAAGTGGCAGATTAGCAACTTCACATTGGACAGTCGTCTTACAAGATTCATATATTTGTAAAGTTTCCTATAAAAATGGATTGTTCACACATTGATGATCATTTCTTCAATAATTGAGTCATACTTACATTTAATACTGTCATAATGGGTCCAACTTGACTCTGGAAAGACTTGATAACAGCTTGTTGTAACATACTTGCATCCTTGATAGATATGCTAGGTAGATTGTTCTCTACAGGAATAAAATCCCTCAAAGCAGAAGGAAGTACTTCCAAACTCTTTCTTTTAAAGTATAAATACACCAAATGACAAGCACTCGATGAACCCCATAACAATATCAATAAGAGAGAAAGAATTATCCAACAAAACCACATCAAGAAAATTCCCAAAACCAGCGATGGAATCTTCACATAAAGTGGACGATAATGTAATACATAAACAAGTAGCAATGAAATGGCAGTTATAAGCCCCATCAATCCATATGCACCATAAAATGAGTAGGATGAGTATCTTTTCACTGTTCCGAGTGTATTCTGTATGGTTATCAACACACTATTCATAGCATTTTTGAACTGCGTTGCTTCTTGTTCTATGTTTTGCAAAGCTTGTTTTACTTCACTATAGTAAGTATAGCTGGAATTCAATTTGGAAGGTAAACCAACAGAAGAAAAGCTCTGATAAAAAAAATTGGCAGATCCAGTCATCCAATGAATAGAGCTGTCTAAAGAGTTCTCGTCATGACTTAGACTCTCAACAAGTATATGAGTTCCTAGAAAACCAAATGCTGCGGCACAAGCAATGATAAGTATACAAAAAGTGGTTACAACTCTTAGCACAATCTTTGGTTTCATTTCAGCTGAAGATAACTCAGCCTGGTCCCATTTTTTTCTCAGACAAGTAAACCTTATAATAAGAATAACCAGGCATATGATACTCAGTCCAGTGCCAACTCCAATATAAGGAACCGAATTAAGTACCAAGTCCGTAATGTCTATAACAAAGAAAAATGACCCTATTTTGGCGCGCTTCTTTAAAAAGAAGTTAACTTACATGAATAGCTCAGTTCAAGGCTATGGTTACCAGCAAAGAAAGGATAGTTATTGAACGAATGTACAACTTGAGCTGGTTCTGGAGGAAATCCTGTAACCCATTCCATTTCCAACGTATATAAAACAAAATAGAGAAATGTTCTTTTGTAACAATGAAGAGTGGCAAAATACCCCAATACTCAATGTGGGATTGACAGAATGTCATTCCAAGTCTCAACTAATTTTGTTTGTCATTCTGTTAAAAACTCGTCTTTCGTGTCTAATTCAAGTGACAATCCTGTTGGGCCAAATTGGACCCTCCGTCATTCTAATTGATTCCTAATCGTCAAACACTATTCCATATCTTAACGTCAAAACTGAAGAGATTCAATATTCTCTATTTACTTCTTTCTTGTTGGATTTGTCACAACAACAAGTCACTTGGACCAACGATCGTTGTGCTCATATCTTTACAAAAACCGAGGTAGTTTGCAATGTACGTTTCTCTCTCTCTTAATGACCAACAGTAGTACAACTGAATATGAGGGTTTTTCTATTTTCCTAGACTTGAGTACTGCTGCGATGTACTAGTGAGATAATTGGAGTCACTCTCTGAGTGGTTATGGATAGCATTCAAGAAGAAGAGTGTATTTCATTCTTTATTTATTCAGTATAGATTCGGAAATACATCCATACAAAACTGGTGGTCATTGTTAAAAGCGCTCAGGTGTTGAAGTCGCTAAGAAGACATCAGAATAAGAAGAATCAGTTTCAAGTATTATTATGATGGTTTGAATGTAGCCGTTAAAGCTGACTATTCGAGAAGTTTGCGACATATTGTTTTTCCCACAGTTGGAACCCTTTTGTTTTGAATAGCGACTATGCTGAAAAGTAACTTTGTTGTCATATTGCCTCTATCACTTTGAGTGACCACGTGTTCATATGATAGGATTACGTCCGTGCTCAGAATTCGAATCTCACAATTTCAAAGGAAAAGTACATCGAGAAAATATTTTCTCACGAGTTTGTTTGCTGCAAATAGTTCCATTGCAAGTATTTTATCATCTATCGAGTATCTAAAGAGTATTAGACTACAACGACACTTTGATGTAAAGCCTAATATAATGTCCTGAAATATTGTGAATGTCGATTTCATATCAATCCAACTAGTATCAGATAGTAAGAGCTTCCTCCAAACTTTATTTAGTCTTATCACCACTCCATGTAATGGATCCGTTCATATTCTAAAGTTAGAAAACTCTTCAGTAATGCCAATAAGCAGTTTGGCTATTACGGTGGGATCATTGATACCCATGCGAAGTAACGAATCTTCATTGAGTCTGGAAAGCGAAACTCTGCCAAACCTTGAAAGTTTCGTAAAACAATAGCCAACTTCTTCTTCAGAAAGACCACAACGTTGTCTTAAAAATGTATTCCAATCAAATGAGGAAGACAAAGAACTCGATGCTGCAACACTTCGTTCGCTTCGTGCATGTTCTACTTGCATAGCACTTTGAAAACTTTCCATTTGCATACTATTCTCCTCATTTGTTCTCCGTCCTATATGTTGAGCCACTCTTGAAGTAACATTTGACTGCTCAGCTTCCAAAGATGATTTATTGGACATCGACTCAAAGATAGCTTTACTCCATTCTGAAAACTTGTCACTCATCTCTTCTCCACTTGCCTCACGAATTTGGGCTAGAGAATCAGCAAGTGATCTTCCTAAACATCTTTCAAGATTCCTTTTAGAAACAATGACCAATTGCAGTCGTGATCGACTACTTTCATTCAAAGTTGATCTCGAAGAATGTTCAGTTACAAAATAACTTGCATCTTCAACAATATTCTGTTCTTCACTAGAGAAAGCTACAGATCGACCATAACTAGTACAAACAACCACAAACTGAAAACGAAGTTGAACAGATGAAAAAGATTCGTCATTCAAAACGGACATGATTCCTTGGAAAAATTTTTTGGCTTCCTCCTCAATATCTCCTTTCGAAAATTCAGTTTTGTTATAAAATTTGAATGAAAATCCAACAACATAATGTATTTGTCCATTATGGAATACAACATATGCATCAGGACAACCAAAATTGCCATCTTTTGGAACAAAAATACCACAACGTTGTAAATGTTTTCTATAATGGTCAGAAAATGAAACAGAGACATCTCTCAAGATGGGTATATCATAACATATTGCTGATTCCAAAGAATAAGAAACATTGTCCTGTTCAATAAAAGATCCTTGGAAAATTCCTGGAATAGCAGAATGCACAATCTCCCAGGAACTAGAACGAAGAAAAGTTACTAAGCGAAAGCGAAGGATCCTCAAAAATACAAATTGAAAGAAGACTCTTTTTGCTGTTGCAGTATCGGAAATATAACTAAACGGAGATAAAGGCAAGAGTTCAGTAGCCTTACGGAAAAAGTCACGCCTGTTATGAATTCTCAATATAAACTCACAACAACCAATCTTGAATTCATTGCCCGAATAAACCCCTTCAGTTTCACAAAATTCAGAGTAAAAACCAAAAGTTGCAAGCAAGTCCATCAAATAAGTTTTCGTTCCACAAACAGTGATTGCAAAGTTAATTGGAAAAACTGTTCCGAGCTGATAATTCAAAAGGACAAATTGATATTGAAGAAGGGTTGCGGAGTCTGATATCTCTGGAATAATAAACGTTATCGTCTCTAGTAGTACTATACTGCTAAAGACACCATCTAATAAACGTTCCATATTGTCATCGTTGATAGCAGGTAGCGATAAGTTTGCAACTTCCTCTACTAGGGCTAATAAAGCATTCTTTACAATCAACGGAATACCCCCCGTCTTCTTTTTCAACAATTCTAAGAATCGATGTCGCAAAACAACCGAGGGCAATAACCAGTCCTTCAAGGACTTTCCATCATAAGTTGCCAGCTCAAGATATTCGTAAATATCATTGCGGTTAAAGGGATTCAACCGCAACATATGGAGACTTACGCCATTCGAAAGAGTATCATTTGGGCAGGATAAGATTTCATCTGTGCGACCTGCCAAGTAGACAATTACCTTTCCTGTAACCAAAAAATCACGTAAAACTCGGAAAAACTCACGAAAAGGTACATATTTTGAGTCAGACTCGATAAATTGTTTCTCGTCGAGTTCACTATAGTCTTCGGCAAGGTTACTCAGGCCGCTAAGTTCGTCTATCATCAAAAATAAATATTGTTTCTGAAACTGCTTGAGGAGATAATCAATGGCATCGTCCACGTTTAGTTCCCTGGCTACCGTTGAAGCAACTTGAGCGGCATCCTGTATCCTACCATTTTCAAGAAAGGCTTTAAAGACAATGCCATGCGTTAAAGTTTTCCGAAAACATGATCGAAAATAACGATACAGATCTTTGTCTAGTTCTAAGACAACTGACAAAGTTTGTTCTGCAAAGAGTTTCCAAGAAAAAATCTTAGTGTCAACTTTTCCCGATGAACTCTTGTTGCTTTCAGTGCAATGGCCAGTGGAAACCTCCGTCTCTTTCTGCTCTTCTTCTTCTTCGGCGAATTTTTTTAGAAACTCTAAGAAATTTTCACCAAGAAAACTCTTCCCAGCTCCAAAGACATGAGGGGAAAAGCAAGCTGCAGGACGTACATTGTTCAATTCTCCGTCAACTGAAGAAAACTGGTCGTAATAAGTTCGAAGAATAGAATAAACATCTTCTTTTCTATCTATCAACGGTTCTCTAAAACTCATTTTACACGCCGCCGCCAATCCGAAATCAATTCATAACTAATGAATGTCCGAAACATTTTTAAAGAAGCTAAGAACAAAACACTTGGAGGAGGACAAAGGAGTTGGAAGGAGTGTATGTTTTATTGTTCGAGCGATTGCTTTATTTGGTGATTGGTAGAACTGATCTCTTTGACACTTCTAGACTTACAATGACAATAGGGAGAATGCAGGAATATTTTCTTGCTTGTCATGACTAGAAACTTTCTTTTACTATAGACAAGAAATAGGTTTCTATGGGTTTTTGTGGTGAATTAGATTGATGGGTACTCTTTCTATGGCTTGTATACTGTAAGAGAGTTTTTCTACTATCTTCCACACTATCTTACACGCAAACTCCTATATACAAGTCTAATAAGATACAAACCTTTTGTAAGTTACACACGAAATACAGTGGGAAACAGATAATTACAATGAATGGGAAGTCTGTTTATGTGCAACTGGTCGTAGCACAGTTTATAAATACAAAAGTATCTAAATGAGTTTGGAGAAGAGTATTATGTAGACTGTCATACTGACTTATCATTAAATACAAGCCAATATTGATGTAATAGCTACACAAGTTGTCTATCCTTTGTTCGACTTTTACCAAGTTGTGAATATGTCTTATCTAAAAATATCAATAAAGGCTTCAAATATAGTCACTATAACCGTTCATTTTGCACATATCGATGCTGAAAAAAGAGTAAAAGACTGAGCCAAAAAATTGTTTTGCTAAAGAAGAAGCCTTTTATACTTGAGTCAAGGTCGAGTAGTGTACCAACTTGAAAGCTTCAGCAATTCTCCAACTGAAAGCCACTCCATATTGAAGAACTTTTACCCAACATGACTCTTGGCTGAAAGACTTTGTAGTTCCTAAGTTATCTGTCAAGTGATTGTTGTGGAATGACAATACTTCAAGATTGGATATGGTTTCCTTTGACTATTTAGAAACAATTCTGTTCCACTCTCAAAGTTGTCCTTTGCAATGCAATATAAATAGAACTCCTCTGTAAATAGTGATTTTCTGAAATAGAAAGTTTTTTACTCTGTTTGTCACATGGATAGATTCATTTAAGATGTCTCTTGTTCTATTGATAGTCAAACGAAATTTTTTATATCGAATATCGTCTTTGCAACCGGGTTACTTTCCCTATCTAAGAGTCGGTGAGTTTTCAGTCTAATTCACTAAAACAGAGTTTGGATATATAGTGTTGTTAGTACTTTTGAGATAGAGTTTGAATTGCAAACTAAAATACTTTTTTTAGTATTTGTTCTTATCTTTGCTATATTTTCTCTTGGTTCCAACAAGTTTCATATTTGTAGGAGCCATTCATATGAATTCCAAGGCTAGAAATGCAGTTTGAAAAAAACACATAAAAACGAAAGGAATCTAAACTTTTATCGAATTTCAAGAAGCTAAAACTCTTTTTTAGACCGCAGTGCAGGTTCTCAAGTTAGAGGAAGCCTCAAGTTTTTGCTGCCACTTTTTTCGTTTGGTCTAAAACCGAGGAAAACTCTCTTCTATTCAGTTAACAAAAGATAGGAAGGACAGTCCAAGTGAAATGTACAAACAACTTTTTCTGTCTCAGTCTTTGAAAATTATAGTAAAAAAGTTACTGTTCTTTTTTCAACAGACTAGAAAGACAACATAGCAGACATTTGAAGAATGTTTTGAGATATTCTTTGGGTAACCACTTTACTAAGTATTTGGACAAGAAAGGATATTTTTCGTTCTAGTTGTATCAACATGTATGTATGTATAGTCTATTCATTTTGAATCATTGCTACAACTCTGCAATATTATTGCAAATTGACAAGTAAATCTAATCTAAAATCCCAAAAAGTAGGACTACGAGAAACATGAAATGCTCTTTCAAGTCCGCTCAATATTTCTTCGTCAATCAGCATTTGGACATCTCTTTCACAAAGAATAACAAGTTCACAATTATCAGGTACTTTGAAAGAATCATTTCCAATAAACATTCCACTGGAGTAACAACGACTTTGATTACCCAACTCATTAGAAACATTCAATGATAACTTTGTACTAACGATAATAAGCATACAATGATGATAATCCACTGCACTGGATAAGACTTGATCATAAACAGGATCTAAAAATTTCTTGGCTTCATCTATAATATCTGACCAGCCAATTCCTTCCGACTTCCAGCGTCCTTTACAAGCAACTCCAACAGTAAGAACTTTGGGTTCCACGGGAGATTGTAATTGGAATATAATATCAGGACTATGAGAAGTAGCGTCCAAAGGAATGTAAACAGTCTCTAAATAAAGTGTCTCTCGAATAATCTTATTCCATTCAGTACTGGCAAAAGTTCTTCGACTCTTGTTCGATTCATTTCTTGTTTCTCTAGAACTAACAACAGACTTGATATAGTGAATAGGTGATATTGTACTGATTGGAAGTTTCATTTGTTTCCATATCGGAGACATCTGACACAACAATTCCCTCAACTCATTTCGATTCTTTGAAGACAACATCAAAACTAGTCGTAAAGCAACAATTCCTTCAAATACACGACACTTTGAATAGAAGAAACAATCTACTGGTTCGACATCGAGTGATCCAAGAAGTATCTTTTCCAAAGAAGATATGGAAGGGTCGTTCTTGAAGATTACAACAAATACTTTCGGAATTAGGACTTGAAAAGTATTTTCGTCAATAGGATATCGATATAATCCCATTTCAGTGACTGCATCATATAAAAAGGACTCCGAGGTCAATCTATCATCTACTTGAAACGGTATACGATAAAGAGCCATCATCAAAAGTAAATCAAAAACACTTTTTCTATCTTCGTCCAAATTCAATATTCGTTCCATAAATGGTTCAGCACAAATTATTCGGAAATCGTAGTCATTCATACAAGTCAAACATTCCTCTTTCGATATAAAAGGCTTATTTCTCATTTCCACATAATCAAAAGCATATTCACTGCACGAGTCAACAAACCAGGAACTCCACCTGTACATTCCAATAACGAATCTGCCAATTCATTTACTGAAAATGAAGAACTACATAAGACATTACAAACCGG